AGGCATCATTCAACTTGTGGAACCTGGGTCTGTCATCGTCATGGACAATGCCCCATACCATAGTCGACATTTAGAACCATTACCGAAACAATCATGGAAAAAAGCAGCCATTCAAGAATGGTTAATTAATAAGACCATCCAATATAACAAAGATAGTTTAAAGGCAGAACTACTTCAGCTAACAAAATTACACACAGACAAATATAAAAAATTCGCTGTGGATAAAATGGCGTTAAGTCGTAGAATTACAGCTTTAAGGTTACCACCATACCACTGCGAATTAAACCCAATAGAATTAATCTGGGCGCAAGTAAAAGGATATGTGGCACGAGAAAACAGAACATTTAAATTAGTGGACGTGCAATATCACCTACAAGAAGCTATTCGAACTGTTTCTGCAGAAGACTGGAAGAAATGCATGCAGCATATTTTAAAAGAAGAGCAAGAAATGTGGGACGTAGACAACCGTATTGAACATAATATTGAACCAATCATAATTCACTTTGATGATAGCGGTAGCAACAGTGACGAAGTTACTCGAAAGCTTGAGAATAGTAGTTCACTTATCAATTGCTGCAACCCAATAGTGAAAAAAAGTTGACGAACAACAGAAATACCTAGGTTGACAAAGGACGAGTAGTAGTATGTGGTACTATAGATAATGTATTAGATAATGAATTAGGAGGGAAAACATGAATATTGTAAACGAAAATATTAATCAAGAGCTGGCAGATACTATAGAAAATGTACTAGATAAAATACTTGGTGAGTGAACGCTACTAATAATAATAGAACCAAGTGAATGCGAAGAGATAGACAGTGAAAGTGTTTATAATGACAAAAACAATGAAAACACAATCAACGAATCTAGTAGCACCTCTATAGGTGATTCAGATTCTGAGATGAAATTTTTGATTGAAGATAAAATATCTAAAAAAGGCAGAAAAATAATGAAGTCTTAGAAATTGAATTACAATTAGCATTAGCAGTAAGTTAGTTTTGTGAAAACAGGGATGTTATGAGAACACACCTAGGTTGACGAACAACAGAGATACCTAGGTTGACAACGGACGAATAGTAGTATGTGGTACCAAGATGATGTATCTTGTTTTATAATATTAAAATAGTTTATTTAGATACAGTGGTGTATGATTAATACTAAGAATATAACACTCGGTATAGATTACCAAGTTTGTAAGAGTAATTGTTACACATTGATCATGAAACATTGGAAATCACAGTTATTTTTATGTTCTAAATAATCCATCAAACCAAGATATCAGTTCAATGCATTAGGTAATACAATAATAATTTTCATAGATTATCGTTATCGTTGACGTCAACGTTAACGTTGATGAAATCGGATTCAACAGAGACCTCGTTCATCATGAATGTACGATGTATAAGTTTTCAGTGTATCCATTAGATAGGAAGCTGACGTGGACATTTGTGCCCCTGTCTACTAAAACAGAAGAGATCAGATCAGAAAATATGCGTACTCCACATCTCTCAACTTGAACACATCAAGTACCAGTTGTAGCCCGCAGCTTCGCTCGCGTAGAATTTGGTTTATCACATTACATTTCGTGACAGATCGTTTTGAACAAATGGCTACAATATTTTTTTATTAAACCAAAACTTCAGGTTTTCAACTTCAAAACTGAAGAAATTCAATACAGCCTTTGAACCCCCTTGGGGGGTGGAAGGTCCTGATTCCTTTTTTGACGCTAGCCACCGTATTCACCAGATTTGATCCCCTGCGACTTTCTTCTGTTTTCCAGTTTGAAGAGACTCTTGGAAGACAGCGTATTGCGTATTTTTTGTACATACCTCGTATACAGCAATATAACGATCTCTAGTAGCCTCCAGCATATATTCGAACCTCGTTTTCAGACTCATACTTTGCTTGAATTTTCCGGAGTTACTGAATAATTTGTTTACCAACACCCAATGTGGTTTTTGACCAAATCACTCTACTGCTCTCGCTGTCGTGAATGTCGTGAATGACATAGTATCTACATTGGAGGATGGGATGTAAGCGGCTATCACCTTGTGTGACCTTTCCAAAGCTTTTGATTGCGTGTCACATGATAATATTGCTTGAAAAATAAAACTACTACGGGGTTAGGGGGTACCACTCCATCTGATACAATCCTATTTGAAAAACCGCCTTCAAGCGATAAGTATTGGAAATGAACATGGTGTTCCTCAAGGGTCAATATTAGGACCTTATTGTTTATAGTATACACTAACGACTTAAGTAAGTATATGGTTCCGGTGAAAACTTATTCGTTTGCAGATGATACGACGTTCATATTTTTTGGCAAACTGAGATCTGATCTGCACATAATTAAAGAAGACTTAGATAATGGATCCGAAAACTAATTTGCAGCCAATAAACTCAAACTTTATTATGAAAAATAACAGTATCTTTATCTTTCGTCTATTAATGCCATAGAAACTCATTCTGTAAATTTACTACTGTAACTCTGGATAGTGATCTATCGTGGAAACCTCATATTACCAAATTGAGATGTAAACTATGCAGTGCTCTGTTTGTCCAACGACAACTTCAAAATATAACCAATTTAAATTCACTCACTCAGAACAACATATTTTTCTCTATTTCATGTTACGCTACTATTCTTTGGGGTGATTCATCGGATTCTCTCTCAATTTTTCGTTTACAGAAAAAAGCTGCTAGGATCTTGTCCTGTGTCAGCTATCTGGACACTGCCAACCTCTCTTTATTAAACACAGAGTAATGCCCTTACCGTGTTTGTACATTCTCCAAGTTCTAACAGAGATTCACAAAAACTCCTCCATGTTCACCAAGCTATTGGACATCCATTGCTATGCTACCAGAAAAGCAGATAACGTGAGATCAAACAGGTTCCGCCTAACCAAATCTAAGAAAAATTCACTAAATTATTATCTCTACAATATATTACCATCGAAATTGAAATCATTAGGTATACATTCATTCAAAATAAGGATAAAAAACTTACTTTTGACGCATTGTTTTTATTCCACAAAGGGATACATTGAACATTTCAGACTTTGTAGGGAATAAAATTCGTCTCGTTCAATTTTCCAATTTTATGTTACTTTCTATGGTTTTTTTAACTATTGTTTCTTTTTTTAATATTATTTTGAAAAATTACATTATATTACACTATAGTTTGTATTTTAACAACTATTATTTTACGGTATTGTCTTTTTTTTCCTTAATATGACATGCTACAAACAAGCATGTATTGTAAATATTGTAGTCAAATAAATATATTCTATTCTATTCTTTACTTCATTTTGCTTTTGAATGCAAATACAAATTTCTAATGGAAGCTCTAAAATAAAAATAACTTTTCAGGAGGAAATGGGATAAACAGCCCTCAAGTCGTTGCACCCCCCCATGACACGAGATATGTTCAGAGACCACCACCTTACATTCACTCAAATACGAATGCACAGACTATGAGTTTTGAGAATCCAAATTTTCGTCCCAGCTACCAAGTGTCTGTTAATCAAGAAATGGTAAGTGTGGTTCGAGCTTTTGAAACCTGTTGAAAGCGATGAATCAAACCAAACTTTCAAAAAGCCCTCGATGAAATAGACCATTATGTTCTTCTCAGCAAATTGACAAAACTGGGACTCTCTAACCGACTGCTTACTCTAATTGAATCATATTTAGTTAACAGAAAACAATTCGTCGAATATGAATCTTTCAAATCGGCTCAGTATGTAGTTACATCTGGGGTACCACAAGGTTCTAATGTTGGACCTCTTTTATTTTCAATTTTTATTATTGACTTGGCAACCTCTTTGAATATTCCTAGCCTACTATTTGCAGACGACCAGAAACTATATTAGAAAATCGACGACATTACTGACTGCCAATGTGTACAACATGAATTAGATGTAATCAAACTTTGGTATAATAATAATCGTCTACAGCTGAACGTAGCCAAATGTAAAATAATATCATTTATAACAAAAAAGCGAACTTTAAAGTACGATTATTCAATCAACAATACTACAATCAACCGCGTACATGAGATAAAATTACAATATTGAAATTAACCTGACGTTTTATACTACCAAAAAGACACTTAGCCAGTAATGTATTTGGATCACCCCATGGTTGTTAGGGGTGGAAAACGCAACCCCTCAAATTTATTTCCAATATAACTTTTTGTCTTATTATCTGTTTTCCATTTAAAAATTCATTTCCGATAGCCTGTTTCATTCTAAACAAAAAATGTCTCTTGGGTTTTTTGCCCAAAATAAACCAGTCCGCAGCAAAAAAAAAATACGAACAACTACAGAGACACATCGTCATAAATGCAAACTGGATTTATTGTTATTTTGTAGTTAGTACCTGCATTAAACGATTAAAGGGTAATGAACCAAACTAATTTATTAATAACAAAACACACAACATGTGGAAATCATAGTAAATGTTCAATATGTCTACCTTCAGACATTACGCATGCGTCTAGACGTCGGCGAATTGAGCCACGTATTCGCTCCAATATTCCTGGAGTCTCTCTGATTACCCTGCACGCATCGATGATGCGGTTTCTTAGGTCCTTTACATCGCGAACAGGAGTTCGATAAACCAAATGCTGTAAATGGCCCCAAATAGAGAAATTGAGAGTATTGAGATCCGGGGATCGAGTGGGCCAGTTTTGTGGTCCTCCTCGACCTATCCACTGATTTGCATATGTTTCAGTTAAATGCTAACGTGCTACTTGACTAAAATGAGCGGGAGCCCCATCATGCATAAAAAACATATCCCTTCTGACGCCCAAAGGAACTTCCTCCAGCAGTACTGGGTGCACTTCTCTCAAAAATTGAACGTATGCCTCATCATTTGATCGAGGAGTTAGAAAATGAGGCCCAATTAAATTATCCCCAATAAATCGTTGAGAGCAAATTGTTCTTGATGGTTACTTTCGACAATAGCATGAGATTTTCATCAGCCCATATGTGGTAATCATGAAAATTAATAATCTTGTCCCGAGAAAAGCTACATTCGTCTGTGAAAAGCGACCTACTAGTAGTTGTTCCTAAAATAATTTTTTGCTGCGAAATCGTAAACAAATAATAAGGAAAAAAGTTACATTGGGAATAAGTTTTAGGGGTTGCGTTTTCCACCCCTTACAACCATGGGGTGAACCAAATAAATTTCTGGCTAAGTGTCTTTTTGGTAGTACAAAACGTCAGGTTAATTTCAATTTTGTAACTTTTTTAGTGCTTGTGAGAAAATTGTCATACAAATTTTATGTACCCCCTTTAAGGGGCTGTATCTTATCAAGGGATGCTCCAATGAAGTTTCTTTATATGAAAGACCTTTTTTTCGATGAGGAATCACCTCCTTGAATGTTTTGAACTTATCTAGTTACACCCTGTATACTCGATTTTTCATTCCTCTTTTGAAATTCTACGTATACGAATATTTCATATATACTTTGTTTTAGCATTTACTTTTATACATTTCTATATTCCATTATTTTTAATATTTATTCCATATATACTCTGTAATAATAGCATTTTCTGTAAATGGGTACTCATGTTGGAAATAAATCGTTTTTTTTATTATTATCTGTTTCATAAGCCTTTCAATCCATCGAAACTTGTTATTGTTGACAACCAGAGTCCAAACACAACGCGTTTAGGATTCACAGCAGAAAGCGTTGTTTCAATCTGCCATACTACTGCCGTACAGTGAAAGCTGCAGTGAAAGATAGAAGACGAATCTTGTCGGTGGTCCACCCTTGGCTTTGCAACTAACTGTCTTTAGAAGCTTCATTTATCTTTAACATTAGATGACTGAGTTCTCTGTCGACCCCATAGATCAAATTATCTACAAGAACAATTCGTTCCGGCCAATCTCAACTCACCTACACTGTAAGTTAATGTACTGACACCTATCAGAAAACAACTACTCCCCTGGCTAACACCACGAAGGGCGTTGGATTATATCCGACAGGTGTCAGTGCAGGATTCTTCACTGAAGTTATTCCTGCGTATGCTGTTGGCGATACAACTGCCGAAATCGAGTTTCAATTATTGGAACACACTTGCAGACCGGTTTCGGACTGTTTGGCCACTCGCCAGTGCAACGTAGTGTCTATCATCAACATAAAGTCCATGATTTCCTATAATTGAAAATCGAATTTTTTCGGAGTAGCTTTCCTCGAACAAGAACAATTTAAGGTTATTCTTACAAATCTGAAGCCGTCCCTGACCGATATGTCGGCCAGCGAACAAACACATGACATCACCGCGAAAGGAATGCAGTCGACAACCGCCGATTAAAGTCTAGTTGAGTACCGAAACGACTATAGATTCTATAACGATCGTTACCGATATATAAGGCCGGCTTCACGTCCCAAGAGGGCAGTTGATTTCAGCAAGTGAAGCCGTTAAACAAGGAATTCAAATAGTGGAAATAAATTAAGCGTTAGTTGCTAAGTGTTGTAAATGAATGTAAATGAATTATTTTATGATAGTGAAATCTTGTTGGAAATAAATTTGTTTAGGACAGTTACAGTTTACAGTATGTTTGGGGGCGGAGGGAAAATGTTATCGACTTGACTAACACTTGTTATCCTAAATTTTTGAAAAATTATATTCATAAGCTTCTATTCATACTTATTTTCTATATGATAAGCAACAAGCTACATACGTGGACATTTCAAATTGTGATGAATTCATTTCCAGGGGGTTGTGAAAAATCATATTCTCATTTATTTTTTTAACTACATGCCTGTCATATGTAAATTTTCCTGCCGCTAACGTCCATATATTGACCTTTTCATTTCCTTTCTGTTTCAGGTAATCCATGCAATATAAACCGGCCACAATACAGGGCACTGGAATCACTCCAAAGACCTCCCCTTATAATTAATTTTCTCATAATTGAACTAAACAACATTGTACAACTATTCATTGTGCAACTATCCATTTGTACGTGAATATAATCATTACGGGAATAATAATAGTAATAATGATGATAATCTTTATTCATTCCTTTCAGCATGATGTAGAATACGTCACAAATAAAAACCATCTGTTGGTAGACTAGTTTACAATCAACAATATTGAAATATCACTATTTAATAAATTTGTACCTACACATATACATAAAAACATCTATACAATTTATATTCATACATATGAGCAAACACATTTTCATTTTGCAACAAGAAAAATAGGTACTACAGTGATATTTATCTTGCAACAAATTTTTAATTTTGATTTGAAGAAGTTTTTATTCCGTTGCTCTCTTGGGTTTGCGGGAAGATGATTGAAAAACTTTATACCTGTATATGAGGGCCTTTTTTCGTAAAATGATAAGCTGTGTGCAGGAATTCTGATGAGGTCTCCATTTCTAGTGGGGTAATTATGACACTGAGAACCTGTTTAATACATCTCAACAAGGTGCAGAAATAGCATCATACATTTGAAAACATGAATACATGGAACTGTTAGTTCTATATTTTTGAAATTATGTTTAACAGGACTCTGTTTAACAGTCTGAAAATGAGTCGAATAATGTTGATGCTATATGATTTGTGGGAGTAGATTAGAGCATTTTGATGATTTGATTATTATTGAAAATATTTTTTATTTGCAATATAAAATACTAACCCGTGTTCACTTTTTTACTTATTGCATCAATACTATTTTCCCAACTCATTTCACTATCTATATAGGGCCTTCAAACGAAAACTTGACCCCCTCCTAAATCAGAAATAGACGTATAATCGAAGATTTCAAAGAACACTTCAATTTTTATATCTAGGGTGACTCATACCCGAAACTTCACCCCCTGCGGTCAGCAACTACCCCCCCCCTATTTTTTTCAATGCCATGGGGGTTGAGCGATACATCATTTGAAAAGTTTGAAATTGATTCATTCGTTATTGAGACAATAAATATTGAACGTTTTATTTAAGAAAAAAATACAAAATTTGCTGTCGCTTATTTCATTGAGGGAATAATAATAACGTTCATTGTGCAAAAACAAGTTTTATACACAAAGGGAAAAGGGTTAGCCGGATGCTATCTTCCACCCGTCCCATAATTAAGAAAAAAAAAGCATACAGTAAGATTATAAGTAACAGTTACGATAGACACAAAAATAATATAAAAAAACTATTATGGAGATAATAATATAAAAGATTACAATCATTTTTGAACATCTAAGAAATGTATTTTCGAAGTTTTTTCGAATTGATATATAGACAAATGAATATACGGTAATAAATTATTTAGATACTTCAGTCCAAAGTAAGAAAAACATCCCTCAAATTTGGTGGTAACATGATATGGAATGGTAAATGTTAAATTGATCAGATCGCTTACTAATTAATCTGAACAAGTAATTACGAGTTTTGCTTTCCAATAGTTTATATAAGAATACAGATATGAGATAACGAATTCTAAACTCAATATTCAGCTGATCTAATTTCAATAAATATGGAGTTACATGATAACGGTAGTTTATGCAGCACACAAATCTCATACAAGCATTTTGTATGCGTTGAAGTTTGTGTTTATTATAGTCTGGCAAGAAGTTGTAATACACTGAGCAGCAATACTCAATATGGGGATAAATCAATGATTGAACTAATTTCAGTTTTGTTTCTTGAAAAAGCTGGAACTTGAACTTGTATAAGGATTTCAGTTTAAAAGAGCAAGTTTTGTAAATGTGTTTAACGTGCTCGTTGAACGAGAGGGTGTTATGGATATATACACCTAAATTTTTTGCTGAATTCACCCAGTCAATCGGTTGATTGTCAAGAAAAAGATGGAAATTTGTTTCAACTTCATTTTCTTGTAAGTCAGATCCCAAACATAGGTCTACTGTTTTATTTGGATTTTTTCGAAGGACATGATTTTTGGAAAATAGAAGTGTATTTTCTAAATCTAAGTTCATCCTGGTGATAGCATGATAAATAGATTGACTTTTCAGATATAATTGAAAATCATCAGCATATAAATGTACGTCGCACTGGGATAACGTGGCAGGAAAGTCAAAAATGAAAAGAGAAAACATTAATGGACCTAGAATGTTACCTTGTGGTACACCAGAAAAAGTTTCCTGAAGAGATGAGCATAATTGATCATTATCCAGTATAACCCGTTGGGCCCTTTCTGTGAGATAGCTTCTCACCCAATCTGAAGAACTGCATTCAAACCTAATGTATTTTAGTTTACTCAGCAATAGTTTGAAGTTTACCAGATCGAAAGCTTTGCTTTGATCAAGCATAACCAAAAATGAGACCATCGATTTGTCCCGAGAAGTAGTGATATCATTGATAACCTTCAACAGAGCAGTGTTGGTACCGTGTTTCTGTCGGAATCCAGATTGCACTTCTAGAAGTATGTTAGCTGTATCCAAATATACTTTGATTTGTTGTGTTATTATTTTTTCAAAAATTTTTGAGAATGCTGGTAAAATACGTATTGGACGTAACTCGTTGAAACAGGTGGGTATAGGTATTTTGGAAGTGGGTAAAATATTAGCAATTTTCCAAAGATCAGGAAAAATGCCTTGCCTCAGAGACTCATTAAAAATATGTTTTACTGCAATGTGGAATAATAAATGAAATCATTTTAATATTTATATTATCGATACCGAGAGCATTTGATTTTATTTTATTGATAGCTCCAAAAATATCCTCATTGGATATTTCCATAAACGAGAAACCTGCATTGATATTGAATCTGTTATTACTATAAAATAAAAAGGTATCAGTGTTAATTGTAGAATTTCCAGTAACATTAAGAAAAAAGTTATTAATTTCTTCTGGATTACGCAGTTCTTGCGGCAACAAAAGTAATATCAATGGCAACACAATCAACAGATAAAGTGTTCAAAATGACCTCCATCTAGTTCCATACAGTTCCATACTTTCGAAAGCGTTCCTTATATTATTGAAGATGTCCAGAGTAGATACTTGGCCACTGTCACTTCTTCACGAATTATTATTCAGACATCCTTGTTCACTATGTTCCAACATGGTTTATTCTATAATGAAGGAAGAATAGAAATTGTTGCAACCTATTATCATAATAATGAATGTGCTAAAGCTGCTGCAAGAGTTTATAACACGAATCATCCAGACCACAACGTGAGCCATCAATACGTTAAACAGTTAATGGATAAGTTTTGAACTTCAGGTTCTGTTCACGACAGAAAACATGGAGTATCCCGTCCTGTCAGAATTGACGGAGTTGAAGTTGCAGTTTTAGGACATGTACAAATGGATAATCGATAATCTATCAGACGAGTAGTTAGAGCGTTTGGTGTATCAGCTACAAGTGGTTATCGGATTTTGAAAGCCTACAAATTCCATCCTTTTAAAATAAGGCTAGTTCAGGAATTGAACGAAGATGATCCTGATCGTCGACTTCAGTTTTCTGAGGTGTTCAGCGGAAAATTGACCAATATCCCAAACCTATCATACAATACATGTACCCCAATACATGCCATCATATAATACATCATACAATACATGATGTTTGGATAAGACAGTTTCTGCACGAATGTTTTCCAATGTATTAGATCGGCAGAAGGGGTCCAGTGGAGTATTAGAATTCAGAAACAACTGGGATACTTTAAAAGATACTGATATTTCTCCATTCCGCAACCTTACATCTTCATTTTCATCTATGATATACTACTTTGAATTACCAAGTCCCTGATTGTGATAACAGGTGATCTATATAAATTCAAACCGAAAGCCCATCGACTAGCAAGTCTCGTGATTTTCTTGGCAGATCTTATATTTCAAGTACAACAGTGTCAACGACCTGTAGAAACCTGCTTCAAGCCAGTTTCAAAAATTTATGTTCACTTCAACAAGTTTCTAACGTCTTCAAAAACCAGAGGGGGATACTGGAATTTATGAAAGGGCCTATGAGGACTGTAAGCAAATATATATTGGTCAGATTGGATGAGCCACCAACACCCGCTTCAAAGATCGCAATATATGATACCAAACTTGAATAGCAAATTGTGGCACGATAACTGTGAACAATGACAGTTCCAAATAGACCATTGTTTACTCTTTACTCACTTAAAATTAGCGGGAAATTTCCAGTTGAGTTATTGATGAATGACAGATAGTAAATATTTGAGTCATCCTGGTAGATATGAATACGCGAAAATTGTTCAGAAGTTAGAATAGTTCATATCCCACTGACGCCAACTTCCACCTTGAAATCGTCATGCCTTGTATCAGGTATCAGATAGGTATGAACTTTCTGAACGTAGATGACAAAGTTCGATTATTACAAAAGACGTATATGTGTTTGGTTTATACTGCTGATATCAAACAAAGCTGAGATTGCACATTTGGGTCGATTCAAAACAAATCAGGCCAAATCTATATTAATCAGATATTAATAATTGATTTTTCATGTATATTTCGAATAATATTGATTATATCGTCGAACCCCCACTCACGTGGAGACAAAATGAAAATATTATTTCTGACGAAAACATCCAAATATTTCGTAAGCGATCCAAGGTGAAATTACTTCCTGAAAAGGAACATACACAGTGTGTTCCTCTGAAAACTCCAGAAATAACGATTCAGTAAAAAAACTACAGAATGGAATTAAAGTTCAAGATAAAAAATTGTTGGTAATAATGATCTACGTGGTGGAGTGATTGGAAAATGTATGTACATATGAACTCAAATTCACGGAGCACGTCACGTCAAAGTTGAGAATTGGCTATGCTAATTTGAAAATGATCTACCCCCAGAGAAAATTTCTAAATCAAAGCACGAAGAAAGGACTATGTGATTCAATTGTTCTCTCACACATGAACTTCTGTGATAGTATACAGCGTGACTCACGGTCGATGGTAGGTTAGACGTTTCTGGAGAACGCAAAGCATGATTTTTCTGAAAATTTCACCTCTTACATTTCCTTACCTGTTCTATCGATCTAAAATATTTTTAGCATTGCGGCGTTGCCACTTCCATCAAAAAGTCCTAGCAACTTTATTTTTTTAAATAGAACACCCCGTTGGTATTTTAATACTTTTTTGTTAATAATGTCCTATACCTATCTCTATCTGTTTTCGAGATAAAAAATAAATTGTGCTAAATATGGTCCAAAACATAGCCTTAATTAAAATTAAGTATATCAGTACTCTCAATTCATGAAACTTTGATATTTTGATGATAGTTTGGACAAACTCGAAATATTCAAATAACACCAAGAAATCGACTCCATATCATACAGAACGTGCTAAAATTACTATTATTTCCATTGTGCATAAAAGTAGTCAAAAATTCATTTTTTCAAATGAAACCCCCTGTATATTACTCGGTAAATTGAAAAAGATGGTGAAAAATGCTTCAAGATGATATATCATGTCCCTATACCTAAATCGTCAAGTTTTCTTAATAAAGCCGTTTTTGTGGAAAAAATAGTTATTCACGATTTACCAACAAGTGTTGAAAGTGGCATTTTATTTTGTGAGTGGGGATTATTGCAAAACGAGCGTCAGCAAGTGGAGCAAACTCACGAGCAAAATAAAATCGTTTTGCGAAATCACTGTGGCCGTAAACAAGCAAGTCGTCGTTGTGGAAGGATAGTGCTGACAAATTATAGAAATTGCGAAACTCACGGCTGCCGATATTATTCTTGTTTAAGATCAATTTTGCTACAAAAGCAGCAATGCCATTTTTTGTTTAAATCAAATTCAAGTCGTCACCTTGAAGTTGGAGATTGACATCATTAAATAATTTATACAGGTCTGTCAAGTCAGTTACCTCTTGATAACCAGCAATCGGTTGAAATCGTTGCGTAAACGTAAGCGAAACATAAGTGGAACCACCTATTGGTGTGACACCCAAGTCAACTTGCCAAGCTATATATCAATATTAATACGGTCAGAGCGTCTCAACTGAGGTATTTCAGGTACTTTAGGTAAATTTGTCTGTATAAAGAGGCAGACGACAGGATGATAAGTTTAGTTTGAGGAGTGCCTAGAAGATGACAGTACTATAAACTGTATTATTAATATTATTATATATCTGCACGGAACAGGAGTCCATCCAGTTCGACAACTGTTACTATGTACCGCACGAGGGAACACCAACATTCTGCTATAAATACTCAAAAACAATCTTTTTCTTGAACGAAACACAAGCAAAACAGAAAAATCTTCAAGGCGCGATTCACGTTAGATTTGAATAGCTGGAGATTCAATTCATTTAGAAAAACGTTCTTAGGAAGTTCATTCCACATAAATACAATTCTCTATATGAAAGAGTTCGCAAACATTGAAGTTCATGGTGTACTGAGTTGAACCTCAAAACGATGAGCAGCCATCGATGAGCAGAATTATCTGTCCTGACATTATTATATCCAGTTCGGAGACATTTATCTTTTTGGAGAAAACCGATGCCTGGGTTTTTGTCACCCCAACTCGAAATCACTTTTAGATCTTAATTAAGATGTGCAACCTCCTGCTGCCGGTGAAGATGTCCTTCCGTAGCCGATGTTTTGGAATCCAAATGGAATGACGAGACAAGTGTGCTGTCGTCAGCAAAGCAATATATTGGATTCTTGGTTTTTTCCAATAAGCCGTTGATACACAATAAAAAGAGGGTTGGAAACAATATGGATCCCTGAGGAAACTATTATAGTGCAAATCTCACAGTAATTTTTTCCAGTCGACAAACTGGCATAAAGTTTCATAAAAATGAAGACTAGAGGCGACTGTAACCTTTCAACCAACGTGAAATTAATACACTTTGTATACCGTTTCAGGAGTACCTACGAGAACGAGTAAATACGAACTTCAGTACCCCTCCCATTCCAATCTGTTTCGAGACTCACTCTATCTTATCTCAAGGCATCTTGAGATATTTATCCCATTATACTGAGATGAAAATTGATTTCTTGATTCAATCTCGTTGTATGGTTACTGTGGAAAGAAGTGAAAATGCTGAAGACGCATGAAATAGGGCTAAAAAAGTTTTCTTTTTTACTCCCAAAGTCTCACGATCCCCCTTCACATAATCCAAACAATCACAAAAAAGAGTCTAGTGGTGAACACCTTTTGTTTCTCCTGTTTCTGCTTCCTGTGCTAATCGTCATCGTTATATTCGCAGCAAAAATGAGGCGACGAAGTGAGTATTCAATGATAATAATAATGTGGATTTTATTGTTGGTCCTAAAAAAAACAACTGAACAAACGGCATGATTCAATCTTTGCAACTTCAATCCTGGCAGAGTTTGCTCTTCTATCAAACGCATAATACTATTATTATTGGTTTTGCTAAATATATCTGATTGACTGAAGGCTATCAGTTGCGTATTACAGATACTCGTATTTTGAAACCTCAGTTACTTTGGCAATAAAGTTCAGCAATATTTCGTATTTTCTATTCTCTTTCCCGAAACAGTGAAAAATGTATTTTGAAGGCATCATGAATATTTGAAATGACGGAAACTATAGAAAATAGTGAAAACTGAACGAAAAATCCGAGCAGGGGGCGGTATACTTCTGTCAACATTTTAATCAGACACCCTGCCACCTTCATATTTTGTTATAGTGTTAACAAAAGGAAACGAAGAAATATAGCAGTGACGAAATCAAAAAACCGGCCGTCGGAGGCGGTACAAATTTACCAATATTTTTAATAGAGTCTCTGCCACTTTCATATTTCGTTATAGTGGTGACAACTGGAAATAAAAAAATATGTCAGCAGTGAAATCAAAAAACCNTCTCTAATAAAGATATTGCTGGATCTGTACCGCCCCCGACGGTCGGTTTTTTGATTTCACTGCTGACATATTTTTTTATTTCCAGTTGTCACCACTATAACGAAATATGAAAGTGGCAGAGACTCTATTAAAAATATTGGTAAATTTGTACCGCCTCCGACGGCCGGTTTTTTGATTTCGTCACTGCTATATTTCTTCGTTTCCTTTTGTTAACACTATAACAAAATATGAAGGTGGTAGGGTGTCTGATTAAAATGTTGACAGAAGTATACCGCCCCCTGCTCGGATTTTTCGTTCAGTTTTCACTATTTTCTATAGTTTCCGTCATTTCAAATATTCATGATGCCTTCAAAATACATTTTTCACTGTTTCGGGAAAGAGAATAGAAAATACGAAATATTGCTGAACTTTATTGCCAAAGTACCTGAGGTTATTTTGAATAATTTATAGGACCTACTACTGTAAACGTAAAATAAATATTTTTTACAGACCGTGAAAAATTAAAAGTAATCGTCGATTTAACTAGATTCAATAGGATTTCAAAACAGATGTTTTTGTGTTGATGTACCAGTGGGCAATAATAATAATAATGTTTATTATCAAAAAAAGTGGCGAATACGGGAAGGAAAATGCTGTCAAACTGTGAAAATGAACCTGAAAGATCACTGAAGCTTCAGCTAGTGATTATTAATATGGTGCAGCGTTTTTTGAGAAGCTTGGAGTTAGTGAAACCACACACTATCAAGCCGAAGACTTGGAAACTCTCTTTCTTCCTATTGATTACTTGCAAATTTATTTCGTTTGATTTGTTCCGCCTTATCTTACACTGGAATGTATAACAAACTTACGATAATGCATCAAATTGTTTGGAAACAATTGTTTTGACGACTAGTGAGAAGGGGAAGTACAATTACACGACTATATCAAATATTCAATAATCGAATCTGATGAAATAAATGCTCAAGGTTGATTGCCTAGGCCATCCAATTGATTATTGATAATGCAAATTTGATTTATCAGAGATTTACTTGGCGATCTTTTGAAGGACTTATCTGTACGTGCACTTACGATAACAATCGATTTAATTAACAAGCTTGAAACTGAATTTAGAACCTGTTAACCACCTCGATAGATCAATCTGAAATTTCACAAGCATGTTTACTTCTCGTGACAGCCAAGATTATTTGCTGTTTCCCAAGGTTTGCAGGGTTTTGACCTGAAGTGTCGTCTGCAGCTGAGCCAGACATTGTCAGATGCGATGCAGAATGGTCGGAGAGATCTAGCTTGATAGGTTTGCGGTAATCCATTCATGGGTGCATTGCAGCCCCTTATTGAGGTACTGGAGGTGATGTTCCGTGATCCTATCCTGCTTCTGTATGGATCCAAGCGTTCGAGATGTCGGGGCTCGCGGTCCTTCCAACAGGCACTATAGTATCCGATTCTAGCCTTGGAGGGCACCAAGGCAGACGTTTGAGGTGTCGGACCCCGGATGGATGGAGCTATTAGTATCCGAGCTTAGGATCCCGACTTGCCATTTCCAGGGACCAAATTCCCAACTGATTTGGCAGGTTAGCGGGGGCAGGTGTGCGACGCGAGCACTCTCTGGCGAAAGACGAGCTTAGTTAACGTACGAACGTTCGGTCGAACGCTGTCGATGGCCCTGTCTCTTGGTTAGCCACACTAGTAGATGTAAGGAGGCAGCTCCGGGTTTGGTGAAGCGAGAGGAAGTCCTGCGAAATCCTGTTGGTGTGGGCGAGGGGCGGTACCCGCAAGGATTTCCCGAAAATCCACCCCACCACGTCCAATCGCATCCAACGCCAGGGTGCGTCTGGGGGGCCTCCATTACATACCATATAGTATATGACATGTGACGGTAAAATGACAGATTACCACTAATAAGCAACGTACAAACTTAAAATTCCCTAGGATTTTTTATTTTCGTCCATATCAACTTTAATACTTCGATTCATATAGATAGATAGATAGATAGTTTCGTTTATTTAACTACGTTACATAATGTTTGTAGCAGGTCATATAACAGTCAAATTCTTACAAATTCTAAACAAATTTTTAGATATTAAAAAAACAAAAATATAAAATATAAATCAATAATAAACATAGCATAAACATACAATTTTAAAAAAAGGCTAACAATGTCGTAAATCTGCAACAAGAATTCTATACTGAGATTAACAACAAGCTTTCCCTTCTTATATATTATTATCATACACAACTATAATGATGTCAAAAATCATTTTGTAAATATTTTTGCAAACTGTTAAACATTTAGATTTCAAATATTGTTTCATTGTGATTTTGGACTGATAAAATTAAGACTTCTTAATCTTGACGGAATTTTATTATATAAATTTAAGTTTAAAGAATTAATTTTGGATGTTGTCAAACGAAATTTGGGTATTTTCAATAAGTCGCCAGATCTGGTGTTATATTCATGGTTATGAGAGTGTTTCATAATTATGTTGTAGGTGTGTTTGACAAACAAACTAAACAGAAAATCGTGATTTCCGTGTAATTCAATGTTCGTGTTCGAAAATAGATTTTTTCGGATAAATTTATATCTACACATCTTTCTGAAGGGCTTTCATTGATATATTCAATGTATTTTGGAGATTTTCATTTTTTATATATCAAGAGATGAGTGGAATGTGTGAATAGAACAATGTAACATTTTTCAGGAAAAAGAGAAAGACGGAAATTTCTACAATCCTTGCGAGAGCCATATGTATTCGTCATAGCAGAATCATCAAAAAGTAAGTTCTTTCAATCCTAAACAAAATGTTTCAATCTTAGAAGTAACATCCTCAGAATGTACAGAAATTTCAGAAAACCAGCTGGTTTTAAACTTGTTATATAACTATCTTATTATTCAGCACCTCTCCAGTGTTGATAAAACATACTTTTGCGAATGAACGAAAATAACAATACAACAACAAACGTAATGACCAAAAAAATTAAATTGAATTTAGAACAACAGAAAGTTTTTTGAGCAGTAAGATTATTAGATCTTCAGGCAATTAACCTGACTGGGAATGTGAAAAAAATAGATTTTTTTGTAGTACAGTTTGTTTAGTTTTTATCTAAATAGTCACTTCAGTAGAGTTTTCATTGAAATCGGTGGTAGTGCGCCCGACTCACGATCGAAAGACTGTGGGTTCGATTCCTACCTCTCGACCAGATAATTTTTTCTCGAAAGAATTTATCTGGTTGAAGCTGGGATGATTCTGCAACCATGTTAGGAATCACACGTTAAAAGGTAAGACCTCATTAGTCCTTAGCTCGCACAAGTTTCTCAACTTCTGAGAGTTGTCGTTCGTATGGGGGCGACAGCTGATTAACGGAAAAATAGATTTTTTAAACAGATTGTGTCCCAGAAATAATCGATTAATTTTAGTAAGTTCAGTTTATTATTGTAGTCAATACAGTGATTTTGGATAACATCACCAACATATTTTTCAGCAATAACTCAGGCAAATGTTACTAATAGAACTATAAATAACATTGGGGAAAGAAAAACCGACAGCATAGTATCCCAGTCAAATGAGAATGAAAACGTGGCAGTAGCTCATAATTCTCTTTATGATAACTTCCTCTTCTTACCACCACCAGTTTATAGAAACCAGAGGAATCCAGTCCGTTTAATTCCATTTACTCAGTTGCCGCCTGACTTTGGTGAGTAGCGAATTTTCAATTTATTCAATTATATTTTGCGCCACTCAAAGATCTTCGTCACATAAAAAACACTGTCCAAACCAATGAACTGAACAAGTAGTATATAACGTAGATCAAGTTTACACGAGCATATAACATCCTCTCCCTGGGAAGTACCTATTAACATTTACACAGATCAAGAGAAAATACATATACATTGAGTAACACTTCACAGAAAATTCTTCTTCTTCTTCTTCTCTTTTTATGTTCTTTGCTTCCCTTCGGCTTAGTAAACCATGATAGAAAATAGTTTAAGTATCGAGTAAAGCGAAGTATTTCGCGGAAAAAGGTTGGCAGCACTAGCTGGTTTATTTTCAATGGTGACAGTTGACGTGTCAAAACTGATAGAAGGCGTGTGAGAATACTCTTCAATCCAGGGTTTCTATATACGGACATTGTTTCAGTGTAGACTGTCGTTTTCAAATGTTTCAAAATTTAACAGGATAAATAAAAATGTAGATTCGTAATTTTAAACGTCAAAAAGTAACATTTTGCTACTAAACTACCGCGGAGAACAACACTGTTACCGAATAAACCACAGTCCATATTTGATAGGTATAGGTTTCACTTTGAGCACATCTATTTTCTCTGAGTTGACTACTCTATATATTTGTCATTAGTGTCAGGTGTCGAGCTGATTTTTCACGACGTTATTTCAACTCAATATTCAGATAACTAAATGATAAAGTGAATATAAGGAAAACAGCAAATGAAACTTAAAAATGGGCGATATGAACATCAACTGCATGAGACAACTGACGTTATTGGCAGTGTAGCCAACACAGAAAAAATATATGATCTCTAAACAAAATTTTATTTAATATGGGATGATAAAATAAATACAAAGAAAGCGATTTTCAAACAGCAAAATGGACAATATGAACATCAAGTATATATGATAGGTGACATCAATAACAAATACACAGGCTAGTCAACTTGAAAAAATACAAGTGCTCCAAACCATCATTATACGGCATTTGGCTTATAAGTTATCAGAAAGCTGAGTTGTTTTTTCTTCGAAATGGAAAACTATCTTGGTTTATTATTCTGCTTACAAACCTTTGTTCAACTGTATAAAGAGTACATTGAAAATCTCTCCTGATAAATTTTCATACCTGAAAAAAATCATATATTCTTCAAAATGCAATGAGTGATTGAGGAAAATCATGTGTGAAACATGCTGATAATATATGTATCCACTTATAGAGTGAATCATCAGTAATATTTCCTAAAACACGGGAATGAGTAGATGAAATTTTGTGTGAGATCATCACATTTTGAAGACAAAACGAACTTGAACATTGTTTGACTGAATATGTTGTTGTTCAGTAAATACAGGGGGCTACCTAAATCTTCCTTTTGAACCATGCTTTTGGCTTCGGAGCCTTTGACATTGTTAGTTGATTCATGATGCCCCGTTATTTGTAATTGATAGCTCGTTTTTATTTTCTGATGACTCATGAGTCCACATTGAACTATTTGATCACATCTCAATTGAAGTTTTTAATTTTATTTTCAGATTTCTCGTCTAAAGAAATTGAAGTGAGGAGCGATTTCATTATCCTGAAGGAAATGAAACCCCCTTCAAAAGAATCTGTAAAACCTCCATCATATAAAGAAGCTGTGAAAAATTTGAGAAGGAAAATACGAAAATAGTTTTTAGCAGAATAGTTTGGAATAAATGTGTGCAAAAAGGCTCAGGGAGATAGAAAATGTATGACTGAGTTACGTGGAAGGGTGTTACGATTTGAATAATTAGCTAATAAAATGTCACTAGAATATAACTATTTGTATTGAAACTACTTCTTTCCAAAGTTTTCTCATTTATAATTTACGAAACTTGTTCGGACAAATAAAAAGTGTTTTAAATAATCCCCTTCATAGAGTAAAGATGTTATCAAGATATTGATCACATCAAGTTTAGATTGCCATCATTGTGATATAGTAATAGAAATTAAATATTTAAAGAAAAAACTGTTTTTTTAAACTCTTTTTTATAAATATATTTCTTCGTGAATTAACTTTTTCTCCAATAAATTCCACCAAGAAGTACAGTTTCACCAAAATTAATAGTGACTTCTGGGATATTCTTCAATATTTTTGACACAATTTTTTTAGTACAAAAAATTCAATATGGAGTTCTCAAAAAAATCATATCTACCAAAAGATGAGGTGTTGCCGTTTTATACGGTTTGGAATTCATGTTATCAAAAGTACCTTCAAAATTGCTAATGCTCCTTGCTACTTCGTTTTCAATAATCAGTCCACTCTTGAGAAATGCCAATAATACCGTCTCAACGTTGTTCGCAACTTTACCCTATCTTACTCACAGGTAATCTTCAAACCATCGTGATATATTTTAATGCGTTGCAGCGATACTTTGCGACATAAGTGGACTGTTGAAAAACTAGGGGTAATATTCAAATTTCGCGGGCTACCATCGTACAAAACATTTAACAGTTCATGAAAAGTGTTATTCCCGCTCGAAATAAATTAATAAACAGATTAAGTTGATAAAAATAACATTTGACAGAAAACACTTCTTCTTCTCTTTTTTTATGGCCTTTGCTTTCCTTCGGCGCAGTAGACCATGACAGAAAATTGCTTGAGTACCAAGCAAAGCGGAGTATTTCGCGGCAAAAGGTTGGAAACACTAGCTGATTTATTTTCAATGGTGAAAGTTGACGTACCAAAACTGATATAAATACGTCAACGACGATGCAGATTTGCTTAAAAGAGCCATTAATGGTAAAATATGGGAATATGGCTATGACATCAAAAAAAATTAAATTATTCCAATGGAAGATCCCAGGAAGCCAAGACAAAAAAAAGGAATGCCAAGTTCGATCAAATTTCAAAGTTATGCTCACTGTTTTCATCAATTACCGTGGCCTAGTACTTCAGGAGTTCTTGCCACATGATCGTACGGTCAATAAAGAGTTAACGAATTAAGAGGAGAAAGCAAAAAATATTATGTTGATAGTCAGTCAATATGGCTTTCAAGCCTCTAAAAGCACAAATGATGCAATGTTTGCTTTTTTAGAAGAACTTTACCTTCGACTGAATATTGGTGAGGCTGCAGTGGTAGTATTTTGTTATCTGACTGTGTTGATCACAAAATATTGCTTCAAATACTTGAATTCTACAGATTTAGAGGAAACATCTTGTGGTTTGAGTCATATCTATCAGATCGCGTTCAAGTAGTGACTTTCAAAAGTTCGTCTTCAGATAAAATGAGCATTAAATGCGTAGTACCTCAGGGACCTGTTATATATATCGACTGAAGGCAAATTCACAAGTTTTGCTGACGACACGTCTATATTTTGGCATGGTAGAAGCACTGATGCACTGAAAATTAGGGGAGAGCATGACAGGCAAAGTTAAACAATGGTGTGATGCCAATTTATTATTATCTTTCGATTAATCAAAAAATAATATGTCCTTTAAATCTAACCTGGACCATATAATTCTTGAAGGATACATCATTGATCATAAACTAGAGAATACATTTTAGGCCTCAACATAGACAACCAATTGAAATTTTGAACGCATATTAGTATACTATGCAAAAAATTATTCTCAAGTTATTATAAGATCTATCTCTAACTTTTTGGACTATCACTCTGCTAGAAAAGCATACTTTTTCGAATCCCACTTGCGGTCGGAGATTGTTTCTGGGGGAGCAGCTGTCAAAACTTAATGAGTCAAGTTTTCACAATTGAAAACAGAGCAGTGAGATTCATTACCAGAGCAAGAGTCCAAGACCAAAAAACAACACTGTAATCATGCTTCATCGGCCACCGTACTCACCAGATTTGACCTGTTTCCAAGATTGAAGAGACGCATGAAAGAACGGCGTTTTGCACCTCATGGTGAAGAACCAAGTAAAAAAAAAACATTTTGTCTCGATATTTATTGATCTATAATACGTACAGTCTTACCATGTTCAAACACTATTCATAAAATATATAATTTCTGACATTCTCAGGTTATACTAACCCTTAAAGCTCTCCTGTTCAGAATGGAAACGCCAACGGTATGATATACTCGTAAAAACTAACTCATCCCTCATTTTATATACACTGACTAATAAGCATTATATCACATCTCAAAGCATATCAAATACATCATTAGGAATAAAAATGTTCTGGACAAACTCAAATGTATTCGAAAACAAGTTGAGAGGTAATAATATAATAACTTTTATGATGTATTAATATATAAATATGGAAAAAATGAATTTTGTCACAGTTTAGTACAAAAGTGCAGAAGGGTCACATATTTTTATTATTTGTTTCATAGAAATTACGACTTCGAAGCTCTAAATTACGACTTCACTCTCGAAACTCCTACTTCAACTCAAAATTATGACTTCAAACACGAAATCTCGAATTTAAAAATTTTGACTTCAAACTTGACATTTCGACTTTAAAATCGAAATTTAAGAGTGAATTTCTAGTTTAGAGTAATAATTTCGTGACCAAACTCGAAATTACGACTTCTTTTCTGAAAATTTAACATTAAACTCGAAATTTGGAGTTTAAAGTAGTAATTTCGTGATTGAGCACGATATTTCGACTTTATTCTCGAATGTACGACTTTAATATCTGAATTACGACTTTAAACTCGAAATTACGACTTTAAACTCGAAATTACGACTTCAATCTCGCAACTTCGACTTTGAAATCGAAATTAAAGGCGAAATTTCGAGTTTAAAGTGGTGATTTCATGATTGAGCTCGATATTTCTACTTCAATATCGAAATTGTGACATCAATCTCTAAATTAAGACTTTAATCTCTAAACTACGACTTTAATCTCTAAACTACGACTTTAATCTCTAAATTACGACTTTAAACTCGAAATTACGACTTCAATCTCGCAACTTCAACTTTATTTTCGAAATTTTGACTTTAAAATCGAAATTGAAGGCGAAATTTCGAGTTTAAAGTGGTAATTTCATGATTGAGCTCGATATTTCGACTTCAATATCGAAATTGTGACATCAATCTCGAAATTACGACTTTAATCTCTGAATTAAGACTTTAATCTCTAAATTAAGACTTTAATCTCTAAACTACGACTTTAAACTCAAAATTGCGACTTTATACTCAAAATTACGACTTCAATCTCGAAATTTCGTCATTGAAATAGAAATTCAAGTCGTAATTTCGAGATTTAAGTAGTAATTTCCAGATTTAAATCGTAGTTTCAAGATTAAAGTCGTAATTTCAAGATTAAAGTCGTAATTTCAAAATTAAAGTCGTAATTTCGAGTTAAAAAGTCGAAATTTCTAGTTAAAAAGGCGAAATTTTGAGTTAAGAAGTTGAAATTTCTAGTTAAAAAGGCGAAATTTTGAGTTAAGAAGTCGAAATTTCGAGTTAAAAAGTCGAAATTTTGAGTTAAAAAGTCGAAATTTCGAGTTAAAAAGTCGAAATTTCGAATTTAACGTCTTTATTTCTAGTTTGAAGTCGAAATTTCGAGGTTGAAGTCGAAATTTCAGAATTAAAGTCGTAATTTCGAGTTAAAATGCTGAAATTTCGAGTTAAAATGCTGAAATTTCGAAGTCAAAACCGAACTTTCCAATAAATAATAAAAAAATGTGGCCTTTCTGCCCATTCCTAGTTTAGCAAAGATCTGGTATTTTCTTGATATGAAACAATAAGAGATCTTTATCGACATTTTTTTGTGTTCCGAACCGAGTGGAGAATAATGAAAAGCATGAGCTGGTATTCAACTTTCCTTTTGAATATTTATTTTGAAAATCACTTCTTATTGTGAGAAGTTAGAAATCAAATATTGTCCAAAAATCAACATAAAACATTCACAAAAAATATCCATAGAATAACAAAATACCACTTGTAAATTTGTTCGACTAAATATTGTTATGACACATTAAACAGTCAGTTACCATATTTCCAAAATAAATTTTACTGATGTATATCTCCACAAGGGAATTCATAAGCAGGAATTACCCTATTTTGAGTTTCATAATGTCTCTCAAATAAAAAACAAAATAAAAACTTCATCACACATCCGACATTTCATCAGGGTTTTTCTTCACCCCCCCCCGGGATTAGGGAAATCGAAAGATTGAGCAATTTAGACATTGGATGCAACTCCCCCCCCTTCACAATTTAAAATGCAAAGATACCAAACTTATTTTATGTTTTGTAAACCCCAATATCTACAAGACAACTCTGGTACCTACAAACTTTATTCAAGCCTCTCAAAAACTCCATTAAATGTATCTCGAACAAGTGGAAGGCCTCAGTTACACTTTAAAACAACAACCAGATCGAAAATCACCGGCGAACTCCAAAACATAACATTTAAGTAACAAAACTTAACCTAAAATATGAAAATACAAAACATAACCTAATTATAGTGCGGATTGTACGGAGCTTGCTTTCCATAGCCCTCCTTCACGGGAAGGGGTTGCACGGGAGGTGTAGAAACGGCAACGTCGTAAGGGGGAGGGTTGGCACTGTAGTCTCCAGCGGCGGGGGGGTAAGGCGCTGCGTTACCAGCCGGGGGATACGGACTGGGTCCTCCAGGTGGGTAGGGGGTCGGACCGCTCGGTGGATAAGGGTGAGAACCTAGAAAACGCGAAAAATCTTTATATAAACAGTACATGTGTAAGTAATGTGTAATTTCAGAGGTGTCCATATTTCTTTGAGAACGACGTGGGCCAAGCCATCACTGTCAACGGCGAGCACAATAGGTTGATGATTGTCAATTTCTTTTGGTCTGAACTGGATGATCTGAACACCAACGCCTACGATGATATGCATACAGCTGCCTTGCGATAAGCTGTCCAATCTAATCACACACACACCCACACATCCAGTGATAAATACTGGCTAGTTTCAGTTTAAAATAAGCGATAAACCGTCCCATATCATCGCAGGAAATTATAAACGACTGACCATCGCGACAGATAATATCGAATTCGATTCAATACAAGACAATGGGATTGTATCGACCTTGACTTTGTTTTCACGTCCGATGATTTCATTTCAGCGAATTCCTAAAACGGATCCAAACACCGCACCGAAAGTGCGTTATTGAAATATTGATGATGTCTCCCATTGAAATGAAATTTTCTCGTGAAAGTAATAGCTAATTTCAACAGAGTGTTTCACTAACCTTTATTTTTCAACAGCCATTTCAGTAATTCAATAATTTTTAACCCTGATCATAGATTAGTTATACCCGTCAGGCGCCTACCGGTGTCATTTCTCACTCGGCAAACAGCATGGAGTAGGGATGAGAACGAAGCCGGTCTCCGGTCTCTCTCACACTACGAGTCTTTTCTCACTACCTAAACAGTTTCCGGCCACTATTATTGTTCAACCATCGAGCATAGATACAGTTTGCGATGCCCCCGAACTTTGAATTATCCAACAGAGTTTTAAAACTCATCGGATTTGCCAGGCATGCAACTGAAGGTTGGATAGCTCTGTGATTTAAATCCACCACGGCTGTGCAACGGCACGCGATTGGTCATTGAAAAATTAATGAGAAGCGTTGTCGAAGCTGTAAATTATCCAACAGAGTTTTTAAACTCATCGGATTTGCTAGGCAATGCAACTGAAGGTTGTATCGCTCTGTGATTTAAATCCACCACGGCTGTGCAACGGCACGCGATTAGTCATCAAGAAATTACTGAAAAACGTTGTCGAAGTCAGCATTTTAAATGGCAAGTTCTGAGGTGAAAATATAATAATACTATGAATGTGCCAATTCATTTTTTGAAAAGTCCCAGAGCCAATGTCTCTTTGTGGCTTGGATTTGGGCACACCATGTTATTGACACGGACAATTCTACGTGGCATGCTCTGGAGTGGGCAAACCATTCAGTTTGTCTACGTTAGCTAAATATGGACTAACAAAAAAATATTGTACACACTATAGCAGTAAGTGATAATTATTATTTGTAATCTTATTGTTCTGTTCTGATAGATTTAATTTATGTGACAAAGCAACGTTTGCCAGATCCGCTAGTAATTTCATGAAAAGAAGCCCCATTATTACTACAAACAAACACTATTAAGTGGTTTAATCAAAATCGGCGAAATTAATTGCGGGTTATCGAAAAAAAATGTTTAGTAGAACTGTTACACCCCGTTATTCGGAAGCACGTTCATATGAACTTTTTTTTCATAAAATATGACAAGTAATCACCATCTGAAGTTAATGACATCATTTAAGATACACCATGTTTACTGACAATTGATTGAACACGATTTATGGTAGTGAATGACGTTATTTCAATTTTATTTACTGACGTTGTGTATACTTATGTCTACAAAATGAAATTATCGACTGGCAGCTTGAACAACAAGATAAGGTAACAAATGCAATCAGTATATTTATTGAGATTACGATATCTAGACCTAATGTAAATTCCCAATTAGGTGAAATTTTTGCTAACACAAAAACTATTCACTCTCAATCACAACCAATGCACAAAATATCGTAGAAATAGCCGGAAACATGCAAAACGACACATATAAATATTCCACGAAAATACTACTATGAACTCATCAATAATCTCACCTTACCTACCACATTGTAGTTTTGAAATTGATTATACACACTGTTCACTAAACAATTTTGATAAATGACAAATGATTTTTTGCAAACGACACGAATGACAACCATTGATTAGTGTTCAGAGTAAGTAAACCATTAAAAAACGGCATGTTTCACAATAGATATGCTAGATGCCACTTGTGCAAATAAATACATAAACAACAACTTATTTTAGCTTCAAAAGTTTTGTCCGTTTTCACGTCATTGGTTTTTGTAGCTCCATATTTCAATAAATAAATATTCTACTATGTTGTTATATTGAGCATGGATGTGACGTTTGGCTAGTTCCGCAATTGTCGAAGTCATCAGGCCGTAGTTGCTGTCCTAAAATTCTTAGTCCAGCCGCTTCCTTGGCTAAAGAGTCGGCAATGCGATTACCTTAACTCCTGTCATGCTTTTCAACCCCTCAGGATAATATTATTATCTACCAAGGCTTTGGCTTGATCTTGGTGGCACTCTAGTACTAGTCCTGAGGTAACACGTCTGTTCAAGGCTAATAGGGCTTGTCTGCTAACAGTGCAGATTGTTATGTTTTAGCCAGAAATTCATTTCCTGGTTATTTCTTTTGTGGCGATTGAGATACCAGCCAGTTCTGTTTGGACCACGCTGGTTTTTCTTCCCATTCCCCACTTAATCCTTAGGCTTAGTGATCTGGAGTACACTCCACACCCTGAGCCTTCTTTGGTTTTTGAGCCGTCTGTATATATGCGTATTGCATTTGTAGCATCTGACTCTGTGTTCTGTTTTATTTATATTTTGTAGGGTTTATTGAACAAGAATTCTTACTTCGAGGTTTACACCAACTGTGCGCAATCGAAACATGACCATTAACGCAACCTCCTTGATAATCATCAGAAAAACAACATCTGGTGACCCCGACGTGATCACGACATGGAGACACGTACGTCCAAGCGAGAAAGGACAGGTCTGAATCAAAGTCTGTCTTCGGACTACGTATGGCCAAAGGGATTTGGAAGTCGTGAGAAACCAGATTTCAATCTAGAAAAACTACCCGAAAAAGTCGTTGACGATAAATCTGGCGAGTCAACATCCTTGATACATGAGAGCCTCAAAGGAAAATAATCCTTGAAAAGAATAACTCTGAAAATAGAAAGACAAAGGCGGGAGCTACAAAGAAAATCCTGCGGGCTAGAACTGGAAGAACAACTGGAAGAAAAGAACCGTAGAGAGTTGAAGAAGAAGGAAATAGCTGAGAGTTTACATCTTGGATGCCCAAGAAGAAGTCAGCAGTTACGTTCAATCAGAAGCAAGTAGCGAAAATATCAGGAAATAATTAGTTGAAGAACAAGAACAAAGAAACAGGGCATCTCAATGGGTAGATTACACATCTGAACAATGTAATTACGGTAGACAAGAAAATCTGTCACGTATTCCTGAAAAAACTGAGGAACCCACTGACAACATACCCAATGTCGAAGAACAATTTCTCGAAGAGAAACCGGGAAATATCACATAACAAGATATACAACAGCTTTGCCGAACTGTTGTAAACGTTCTTAGCACGTTTTCTCGCCCAACTTCAGCAACTCAAACCCCAACGTCACATGAAGTAATGAATTCGGATAAATTTCACATGCGAAAACTATTAGAAACAGATTTTCAACAGTTTGATAGCAGTCCCTAAGATTGGCCCCTGTTCCATAAGTCCTTCAAAAAACTTCGCAAGTTTTGTGACTGCAGCAATGAAGAAATCATGCTGAAGCTGAAAGAGAAGCAAAGACAACAGAATGACAACGTAGACCTTGTGATTGAAACTTTAGATATACGGTTCGGAAGACCTGAATACATCATAGATACTTTGATGAACAGAATCAGTATCCTTCTTTCCATAAGAGAAAAAATAGCTTTGAAAAGCTTAATCATTAATCTGTAGAGGTTAGCAAAGTGGTTTCGATCATGAAGAGTCTACTAGGAAGTAAACGTTATCTCGAAAATCCTCAATTTATCCGAGAAAAACTGAGGAATACTCCGGATTCAATGAAAAACGGTGACATCAATTTAGAAGATGTCTCTTTGTGGTTGAACGAGAAGCAATCTTTGCGCGTAATGTTAGTACCCCACCCAATGAAACATTCTCAAAGAAATTCACAAATCAATCGAAGAAAAATGAAAGAGTATGCAATGCTCACACTCACAACACTCACAAGACGTGTGGTTATTGTTACAAAATACATCAAGGAAGCATCTGTCCACAGATGAATTATGATGACCTGAATAAGAGATGGGAAACGGTTACCGTAAAAAAACCATGTTTCAGTTGCCTTCAAAAGAACCATAAAAAATTCAAATGTAAAAAGAAGAAGGTAAACTTCATCATCGTCATCCTTTAACCAGGCATTTGGGAATGAACGCACCGTTAGATGTTGACTTGCGAAATTTGGTTCTGGAGATTTTATTCTCATGCTGAGCCCCGAAGTGGTCGACCAGGACGATTTGAGGACCTTGGTGGAGATTGGCCTATCACAAACGGTACGTGGGATGACTGTACAACTGAGCGTCAGCTCCCATGCGGTTTTTGATGGTTCAAAACGTGTTGGAACGGTCAAAAAGCTCGGAAAGTGGGTGTTCCACGGTTTGAACGATCGACAGATATTGTCAAGTTTTGAGGTATGTTCTTCTTTGCTTTTGCGCAACCAAAGTGGATCCTCTACGACAACAGACGTTCAGAACAGTGCTTGGGCACCAATGAGCCCCCCAGACACTTCCCAAAAGCAAAAACCCACCAAAAAAACACCATGGTAACTGTATGGTGGTCAGCGGCTGGTTACCAAACCCCCGAAACCTTCAGCCAACCGACTATCATCTTTTCAAGCACTTCGATAACTTTCTCACCGGTAGAACCTTCGCCGATCGGGATCAGGCAAAAACGGCCTTCGTCAACTTCATCGAATCTCGAGCACACAATTTTTATGCTGACGGAATTAATCGACTTGTATTACGTTGGCAAAAGTGCATTGATTCAAATGGGGTTATAGGTTAAAGTAGACTCACAAAAACGGACAAAGCTATTTCGGAGGTCATGAATTCTTCAGACGTGTCATTTTCGGATTTGCCTTTCCAAATATAATCAATGATTGTTCATTATTTCATTAAGCGGTATATATTTTAGTGGAATATTTTTGGTCACGACCAAAACGAATAGAAAACTAAACAATCCATCAGAATATGAAAAAAAAATCATTTGGTAAAAACTATTTCAAAATAATAGTCCACAGTACCTACTTAAATGCCATCTGAAATCAAGCCACACTGGAAAGTATAACAAATACTGTGTACTGGATCTACTGATAAGCCTGACATTACTTTGTGAAAAATCCTATATTTCAGTTTATTACATTGCACTTTTAATAAAACACAACATTTTTGAATTTTCTAGGCATATCAGTAGTTATATGTTGGAGACTGTCAAAATAGTAGGATTTCACATGTCCAAAACATCATTATGTAATTGATTATATTATACAGGGCTATTCAAATGCGTTTCTGTACATGACGATCTCGTAGACGATAAGAGATAGAGTGTCGGTTGAATGATGGCAAAGTTGCGTATTTTAGAGACCTATTCAATAACGTAAAGAAATCGAATACAGCTCTTTTGGTTCTATATATCTCCAAAACCAAGAAAGCTATATTCGATTTTTTCACATCATTGAATAGGTCTCTAAAATACGCAACTTTGCCACAATTTAACCGACACTCTATCTCTTATCGTTTACGAGATCGTCATGTACAGAAACGCATTTGAATAGCCCTGTATATACGTATATACATTCAAAACTAATGTAAAATATTTGTCATGTGTATGCATCTAACCATGTTTGCATCTATATATCTCCGTAATATTTATATACAGCGAGTTCCAACGAAAACTCAACCACCCTGTAAGTCAGAAACAAACGTGTAATCAAAAATTTCAAAGGACACGTCAATTTTTATTTCTAGGAGGACTACTTATGATATGGAAATCATCCCCGAAACTTTACCCCCCTGCAGTCGGCAACTACCCCCCTATTTGTTTCAACGGCAGGGGGTGTCGAGTGATATATCATTTGAAAGGTCTACATTTTTTTTCGAAATTGGTTCATTCGTTACTGAGAAATTAAATGTTGAACGTTTTATTTAAGAAAAAATAGAAAATTAGCTGTCGTTCATTTTAATGAGGAAATAATCCACAAATATCAGTGGAAACAAAATCAACGGATTTTGTTCCGTACATTATTCAAGATGCTCGGCGTCAGCAATTGGCATTCCCGAACAATGGCGAATGACGAATTCAAGAAGTAGAAAATCAAGTAGTTTTCATAAAAGAGCTCTAAAACAACGCATTTAAATATATCATTTCAACCTTTTTCTTTAAAAAATTATTTAAATACTCAAAAAAGAGGAATGAAATAGTGCATTCAACATTTAAAGGGATTCGTTTCTATTTCACCATTTGGCAACATCGGTTATAGCTAATAAATGACAATGAATCTGTTACCTGTATGAGACTAACAAAGATGACATATTTCAGAGGCGTGCTGTTCTGTTTACTTATGTTCCGAGTTCCGAGACATTCTGTGACATATGACATTTTGTGCACCTAACCTATCTTCCTCTATATAAATAAATAACAAAACAACTGTTGTTTATGTGGCTTGTGGAGGTGGTATTGAACTAAAATTTATATTTTGCCTTAATTGTTGATTTATAAAGATAATTTACCTTTTATAAAGTAGGATATCTAGGTACGTATAAATTATTTCAATTATTTCTAGGCGATGTTGCCAATATATGAATTAGAAACAAGTCCCTTTAAAAATTAAAACCCAACATTTGAAACATCAATTTGAATACTTTTCGAAGTGAATTTGAAAAACTCGTGAATTAAACTTAACTTTATTTTGTTCAAACTTGCATTTGCTGTAATAACTCAAATTGAGGAACATTCCCCATTATGGAAAACATTCTCCTTTGTTCAGAATTCTATCGAATGCCAATGGGACCAATATTGATTTTTTTCACATCTCTCAGATCACTCTTAGATATACTCTACGTGATATACATTTATAAGACTTTTCTTTTTATCACAATTTTATTTCAATTTTCTCTAAGTAGGTTGATTTATTAGATTTATAGATAATAGAATAGTTAACTTTCCAAGGTTAATATGAAGGTCCCTAATGAAGGTTCTACTGTGTTTGTTGCCTGGTACTTTTGTCCAGTACTCTGTGTGCTTCTTATTGGTCCATGTCCTAATCTGGTTCCTAATTACAGAGGTAGTTGAGGGACAACAGACCTTTCAAATGATGTATCATTCGACCCCCATGCTATTGAAAAAAATAAGGGGGGTATTTGCTAACCGCAGGGGGGTGAAGTTTCGGATATGACTTTCATATCAGAATTAGTCCCCTAGAAATAAAAGTTTACGTGTTTTTTTGAAATTTTCGATTAGACGTCCGTTTCTGACTTACATGGGGGGGTCAAGTTTCCGCTGTAACGCCCTGTATATATGAATGTATATATGCATGTATGTATATAGTCGACAAAATAGAAAATGATGAATAAATAAATATACCTTATTTTTTTAACAGTATATACGTATGTGAGTATGCAAAATAGAAAAGTATTATTATTATCAAGTATGTTCCAGCTATTTTGTCAATCGCCCATGTGCAAAGCGGAAACCGAAAATTAGGTTAACAAATTGACAAACAACTAACCATTAGGGAAAGCAGGATAAATCGTCATCCCCGCAGGTGGAGCGGGTGGAAGATGATATCCCGTGACTGGCACAAAATGAGATGAGATGATATCAGTATTCAAAGAAAAATACGATAAAAATGATTACGACACTTTATCATAAAAACAACAAATGTTTTGTAAGAAACAAATTTACCAAGTGTATGTCAGTTGAATAATTTGAATGTCACTTCAAGATTATTGGTTAAAAAACTATGATTATTTTCGTAAATACAGGGCTATTCAAATTCGTTTCTGAACATGGGGATCTCGTGAATGATAAGAGATAGAGTCTCGGTTAAATTGTGGCAAAGTTGCGTATTTCAAAGACCTATTCAATGGTGTAAAATTATCGAACATAGCTCTTTTGGTTCTGGAGATATACAGGAAAAAACAAAAAATTCCAAATTATTTTTTTGCCTATATCTTCTTTATTCGCAGACATATTGAAAATCTGTCAAAATATGTCCATGAATCTTTTATACAGGGTGTCATCTGACTTTGATCACCCCCCTCTTTGAATTTTTAAATACGGACCTGTATTTTTTGTTGTAGTTTTTGTATCGTCGACCTTCACTTCATACTGAGAAAATATATTGATATGTGTTTTAATGAGCAGAAAAAGAAATGATAGCAATAATAACATCCGAAATGAATACTATAATTGTAATGAAAATTGAAATGAAGTAATTTATATACACAAAAAAATTAATGGAGCAATAAATGTTCCAATTGGACTCCATCCATTTCGAGACATTTTTGAAATCCGTTTTTTATATTATTTATTACCCTCAATATACTTATTTGCTGCATTGTTGCAAAATCATTCAAAATCCTCAATCTAGAGTCTTCCACATTTTCTATCTCTCTACCAGTGTAGGCCATCTTATTGACCCATTATTTGTCTCGAAATGGAAGGACTCCAATTCGAACATTTATTGCGCCAGTATTTTTTTTGTGTATATAAATTACTTCACTTCAATGGAAGAAATATAAAAAAACTCTTGAAAAAGAGCTATATTCGATTTTTTTACATCATTGAATAGGTCTCTAAAATATGCAACTTTGACACAATTTAACCGACACTCTATCTCTTATCGTTTACGAAATCCCCATGTACAAAAACGAATTTGAATAGCCCTGTATGTTTTTGGTGATACTTTTTCAAACAGCAAATTGCTCATAAGTTTTGTCCAATTTCAGGCTAAGTTTCTACTCTGTTCCCTAATTTTTTGATAATCATTTGATGCAGTTTTTGTGTTTAGCCAGCTTAACCACACTGAAGAAAAAAGTTTATTTGTCTTATCTAACTATGCAACAATTTCAAATCAATCTTCTTTCTTAATACTGGTTTCACTTGGAACTCATTTTCAACAGTGGGTTCTGCTAGCCTAATCATCAAGATGTCAAGCTACAAGAACCAATTTGGAATGCAAAATTCCAATTATTTTTAAACTCTATTTCCAAATTCCTGATCTTCACTGAGGAGTTTAAGCCAAACTCCCATAGTCACCGCACTGATAAAGCTGATAAAACCCATAGAATCTCAAAGAAACAACACATCAAAAATTCGAGATAAACAGAAATAGGAGCCTAAAATGAGTATCAATTTCTTGCAAACTTGTATTTTTCATTTGTGTTTGACCACAAAAATATTCGATTTGAATGTGAAGAAAAAATCGTTCAATAAAGTAATGAAGAATTCTAAAATTAACGCAACATTATGAGCGTAGAATTATTGACAAAATATTGCGACAATCTACAATCTCAATGATAAGCTAGCAAATTCCACATTATCCCTGTTGAGTGAGGAGTAAACAATTATTGAACAGCACAAAAATAGCTTCAAATTATGTTCTAATTATGAATTTGAATGCCAAACTCATTCTGCTAGCTAACAAAGCTGTTGAAAAAAATAGTTGGGGGACTCTAATTCAAATTTTTGAAAATATCCTGAAAGAATTAAAATGATAATTTTTTGAATTTCGATACTTCTAAAATTAAGACACATCTCTTACTTTTTCAAAAAATTTAAGAAGATAAATATATCAACTGAGAAAAAACCAAAGTTCTGAAATGATGAAGAATCTATATTCCTGCCTGCTCAATTAAACAATGATGTTTTTTAAACTCTCAAACCTCATTTGAAAATGAAAATATTTAACATTATGAACCAGTGTATCAAAATGAAGGTCAATTATTTCCACTTGTTTAATAGAAGTTGAATCAGTTTATATACAGGAATGACCATTTAAAACAATCCATCTTGGTCGATATTATTGTCCATTTAGCAACTCATATGATTTGCTGACAAACGTTTATTCATTTCCTCTTTCAGTAGCTTTGTTCATCAATCGAAAGAAGACATAAAAGTGAACATAACCAAATATCTAATTATGTATAATTAATGTGAGTATGTAGTTAATTCGGTAACTATTTAGTTTTTATGCCATTCGAATTGACTTTGTACATACTATAACTATGTTTGTAAATATGTATGTGAATATGTAAGTATTTATATAAGTATGTAGATAAGTACGCATGTGAGTATGTAGATAAGTATGCATGTGAGTATGTAGTTAATTCGGTAACTATTTAGTTTTTATTCCATTCAAATTGACTTTGTACACACTATAGCTATGTTTGTAAATATGTATGTGAGTATGTAAGTGAGTATGTATGTAAATAAGTATTTATGTAAGCATGTATGTGAGTATGTATGTGAATATGTGAGTATTTATATAAGTATGTGAGTATGTAGATAAGTATGCATGTGAGTATGTATGTATGTACGCATGTAAATATGTATGTATATATGTATTTATTGCGAAAATTGTATGATTATTATAATCAATACCCCAGGTACTAGGTTCATCTAGTTCAACTCCTGCGGAGCCTCGAGATTCATACCCGGTAGCTCCCCACGTTTCCAAAGTTCACTAAACCAAGTGTTTAAAATAGTTATTCCTGTATATTTCACTTTGATCCACGTGTAAACTGCTGTACTTGCATAAAGTTTCAGTCGTGTAACAAAAACAATAGTCTAGGAACTTTAAAGTAAACGACTGTGCTAACATCGAACTGTATACAATTTTCTACATACCTGATTGTGGTAAAGGCATTGTAGTAGCATGCGTCGGGTAAGGAGTCTGATGGGTGTTGAATCCTGCGTTTGGTGCGTTAGAATATGGCGTCGGATGACGAGGATCGACTGGATATGGAGGTACGACTAACGGTGACTGACTTGGTTGAGAAGTAGTGTGCGTTGTAACTGTCACTGAGGGTCCATCTAGAAAAAGAGGAATTGAAGAGCTCTTCCACACATTTAACGCTATCTTCGACTAGAGAAAAATATTTCAAATGTTTGTTCATGAGGAACGATTTACAGTAGCATAGAATGATATCGAATGAAGAATAATCGAGTCTGTGGTTCTATAAAAAATAATTCACTTTTCTTAGGTATAGTCTTAGCTACTCGTTATTAAGTTTAGTTATAAGGTATTGTTGCATAAAGAACGTGACAGAATACAAAGTTACAGATTAGAAGTAATAAGAAACGTGTTGTGCGTGTGAGCAAATGGTTCTGAATGGTCAACAAACTAATAAAGCACAAGTGATAATAAATAAGTAAGTGATAAGATTTCTGAATAATGAATTCTTGTTCGTTGTAGCCTGTAACTATCCAATTAAATTTTTAATCTGAATCTTGTACACAATGATATCCATTCTGTGCCCTTAAAATGACAAATAATGAAAAAAAACTATTAATTTCAAGTCTTCAATTGAATTGCAGAAGACATTCGAAAAAGAGTATTTTTGAACTTGGCAATAATCTTGAGGTTAGATTAGGTATGCTTCAGGTGTTGTCAGAAAATGGAACTTCTTCAATTGGCCAATTTTCTACAATAAGTGCCTGTATTCAGCGGTAACATACAATAAAAAACCTATCACTTGTTGTTTATTACTTCTGAATTCCACCATGACCCTAAACCTACTATACCATAATTGCTATGGTTCTGAATTGATAGAATAGGAAGCTGTCTTTGCATAGTGTCATGGTCAAGAATCTTCTTAATCAGATATAATTCATAACTATGGAAATATGACTCAGTACTTACACCCATAAACAGTTCCCTCGCGTTTCCTCTTGCAACACCAGCCGCACAATGTGAAAAGAATAATGAAAATAACGAAAATTGCAAGTGCCATAAATATATCCATCTTGTCCTGATGTTTGACAAAGTTTCTTAATTAGATGATCAATCGTATAATGAATACTTTCAAAAGCATTCAACAAAAACAAAAGTATCAAAACAATTATGAATCACTTGATCAGATACAGAAATTGCTACAGATTTCAGTGAATACCAGGCTGTCAAAACTGCACCATTTTTACAGTATACTATTCTAGTACGTAAAAACCCCAAGATTGTTTTGGGAAATTCTGGGAATATTCTCACATCACTTATTTGTCATCAAGGGTTTTCGGAATCGCCTCTTCCCTTCAACGTAATTGTGCACTTCTCTCTTACCATCACCAATCACCAGTGATCACAGAATACTGTAGTCTGTGCCAATGATATATGTCAATCGCCAATTAAAAAAAAATAAACAAGAGACCATAGACATGATTCAATATGGACTGGCCGAGACGTCACTTTTTCATACGAGTATATTCCACCTGCGAATCACATATCTTGGTCACTTCGTCACATCACCATATGACACATCGAATCCAAAAATATTCACGATGGAAAGATGCAACACGTAAAACATCGAAACGTTGTATCTGACGTTGAGTGTATGCGTGACGTAAATGCCAAGAGGTGAATCTCTTATATTTCTTTAGTTGTTGGAGTCTATGTTCTCTCTTCAATGACTAGTTTATATTATGACGTCACTGCAAGGAACAGAGAAGCAAAGAACGAGCAAACCAACTTATCAACACAAATATTTTATTGATCTGAGACCTGGGCCTCAGAGTAAAAAAATATCTAGAAAGGACTTGTCTATCCTTGTTTTTTTCTGGAACATATACAACGATTGTGTATTTATATACGGCCAGGGCCACAATGAAATCAGACCTCATTAGTCTTTTCATGAATACCCGTTTGTTTTTATTATACAAATACTCATTATGTGTATACATTCTCAATTTGTGTCGATAACCTAACCTAACTTCCAAATGTTTCATTCATAATCCTCATTCGAATTTGTGTTCGTTTTTGAATATTCATTGAATTTCATCAGTCTTGTTTCTTCAAGAAGGTCATTAAAAATGTGCTTACATTATACTCCCACAGAAAGAAAACGTGATACAAAGTTGTATTCTTTCAAATTGATTATAGAACGTTGTTATATTTATTCTTTCACAATAATAAATCGTTTGGAATGAAGGTATGATACTAATTCAATTAGAACTTACTTTTGTGTTGGTAAAGCTATTTATATAAATTGATATACTCGATAACTCGATATATATTCGATAATACTCGATTAATTAAATCAACATTCATGGATAGACAGGTATTGCAGCATATGCAACATGTGTTTCGCTATAGAATAGCTTCCTTAAGCGTTTTCATACTCTATGAAGTATTTGCTGCTTTCCAGGGATTGTTTCATGTTATTGTCCTAAGAAATTTATGAGTTGAAAGTGATGTTTCCACTATTATTGCCTGAAATCGATTGTACTCTTATTGATAATAATTCGAGGTTGTTGTCGAATTTGTCTTATTCGACATCACTACGAGTGAAGCTGGCGTTAGGAAAAGTCATTAACATTCAAGCTCTAATCGAGTTTCAATTTTGAGCTATTTTGAGATTTGAATCTTCTGAAGATGAAGATTTATTCACTGTATGAGATTTCTGAAACCCATATCAATTGAAATCATTTAAAAAATTGATACAACTGTCAGTTGAAGAAATAATGTCAATGGATGTTTCAAAAGAATGAATGTCAGATGGGCTGAACACTTATTGGTGGAAAAAATTAACAAGCATCCACCGTTATCTGGCCAGAGTTTTCAACTCATGGCTGGACGGAGAGCAGCCGATTCCGGATTGGTTTGTCGAGGGGCGGACTGTTCTCATCCCCAAAAGCGGAGATTTGTCGATTTCTAAGAATTACAGACCCATAACATGCTTAAATTCGTGTTATAAGTTGTTTACAAGCATCTTATACGCACAAATATTCACCGCAGTTGACCGAGTGTTCGAACGGATATATGAGCAGAGAGGGTCGAAGAGAAGAGTTGCTGGATGTAAAAAGAACCTACTCATCGATAGATGTGTAACGCAGGACTCGATACAATATAAGCGTAACCTCTCTATTGCCTAGATCGGTTACCGCAAGGCATTTGATACATCGCATGAGCTCATCTTGCATCTGCTCAGGTACCCAACAAAATAGTAAGATATATTGAACAACTGATACCACTCTGGCGAACTCGCTTCACCTTGGTGAAATGATGCCCTTTCTACTCTCGAATATTGAAATCATACCGGCTTGCCGCACTAAGGCAGAACTCTTAGCCGGACAGATGGCTCACTGCGACTGCTCAGGACACATGATTCTCGGACCCGATTATCACTTACCCCACGATATGGGGAGTGATCGTTGGTTGATAATGCTGGCGCGGCCCCCGAATGTATCGAGGCTCCAGGGGATGGGGCCTGACCAACACATACTACGGTAAAAAAAAATAATGTTTCGCGATTCGATTTTATTGTCGTTGCGTATGAAAAAATATATCTTTTGTTACAAGGATATCTTGAATAAATAACATAACTGAGTGAAGAGGCTAGCCAAACTCCCGCCAACCACATTTCAAAGATACTGAAAATCAAATGTCCCTATCTACATTTGAAATAACGTTACACCTTTGTTTCAAACTGTTTGAGTTACAAACGAATCTACAGAACTAGAAACCTCTAGTTTTAGAATCTTTCCCGAATAAAGTTCTCATTAACTAATCATTATAGCACCGAAAGGAAGTTTATACCAAACATTTTTGTCTCCGTGATATTAGGATGGTCCGATTCCTTCGAATACCAGCGACAAACGAACAAAGCTTTGAATATCGTAGATTTTGAATTTTAGTTGAAGTGCTCCGAATGAAATATCCGTAGGTTTTTGTGGTGTGACTTACCGAATCCGAAATATCAAGATGTCTAAAAGATGTAAAAAGAACATGGACAATAGGTCTATGGATAAAAATGAAGCCAGTACCTCAAAAATCAACAACTCCAATGAGAACAGGTCCGAAAATACTATAGACCACATACCAAACAAATTGCATAACTGTTGGATCTTTTGGAAAATTTCAAATAACACTACCTTGCCGTGGGAAGAGAGGTTCACACCAAAAACATATTTTCTGAATGTTGAAGAATTCGAGAGGAAATACAAGGATTTATTTCCAATAACCAATGAGTTGGAGACTGATTTTGATTATGGGGTTTTCAGACTAGGTATACGGCCTATATGGGAGGATGAATCTAATAGAAATGGCGGTAAATGGATAGTAAATATGCACAAAAGCCGAGGGAATGGAATATTGAGATATTTTTGGAGGAGAACTTGTTCGTTCATGATTGGAGAAGATTTCAGTAGATCAGAAGTGGTTTATGGTAGTGTTGTTAATATTAGGAATAAAACAGATATACTCGCTTTGTGGACTGCGAATGCACATGACGAATGTACCGTATTACGAATTGGCAACGAATTAAAAACATTACTGGCTTGTGTTTCAATGAATAATATAATGTACCGGACATACGAAAATTCTGTGAGTCAGGATCCTGAAAGAAGACGCAATGTAACTCACACTATTTAGGATTATACACGCATCTCAGATTTTCTTGTTAATTCCAGTGATATTGTACATAGTTTTTAGTTGTAAATGACCAGGATCATTTATGAGTTAAAAATCATTTATTTTTTGTTTACCGTTTTACACTAATTATTCGACCGACGTTATATTCAACGGTTTTAATTCACAAACTTTTTTGTGTATTTATTAAATGACTTCAGGAAGAGTTAAATTCTACAGACTTCAACTTTCATCATAGTTGTCTTCAGTATTATATTTCTTGAACAATATTTTTTATATCTTTGTGTTAGTCGGTTTTTTATCATTATACTGTAGAAAATATTTGACAAATGAAATTTTCGTAGTGAAAAATATCATACATTATTATAAAATCTAACAGATTCGGAAAATAAATATTATCTGAAAATTTATTTTTCTGTTTTATAAACTGTAAAACCTCAAAAACGAAACATAAAATGTTTCAGTAGTGTAGCAGTTTCTTTTCATTCACTAAAAACATTGCAAGAGTTTTTGTGCAAATAAAAAAATGAACTTGAAGAAGTAAGCAACGTCAAAAAAAACTACAACACATCACGGAACGATAATTTACAATTTGGTTCTGAAATTTCAAAGAGGCGGTTTGCAGAGTGAAAATTTGAATATGTATACAGGGTTGGTCAATGGGGACAAATTGATGTACAGGGGTAACTTCAGGGATAGTTGTGAAGGAAATATCAAGCGAATAAACGAAAGATAATACCTATTTTTTTGAAGTTCGGAAACTGAAAGAAACTGTTTTCTTCAGTTCTCATACCATACTCTAATATTTTGAGAGTGTTTCCAAATTCACAAATCAATGAAGTGAAATAAGTTTCATCAATAGTTTATTCAATCCGATCAACATACTTTTTATCGCAATCTTAACGCCTCATTTCATAAATCACAACCGGCTTTTCAGTTTTTATCAACTCATTCTTTTGAGAAGCGAATAAATATACTACAAAATAACCACTTATACCAAACTCCAGAACTGCAATGCTTTTCCCGAAGCGCGTTTCATCAACCAAGTTACCGCTTTCAGGAGATGAAGTGAGAAAACTTTTTACGCATGTTNACAGGGAGGTCAGTTGGAGTCGTAAACTCGACATCCATTTTCTCTGTGGACTCGCTCCTGAACTAAATTTACAGGGAGGTCCGTTGAAGTCGTATACTCGATATACATCTCCTCTGTAGACTCGCTCCTGAACTGAATTTACAGGAAGGTCCGTTGGAGTCTTGAACTCGACATCCATCTCCTCTGTAGACTCGCTCCTGAACTAAATTCACAGGGAGGTCAGTTGGAGTCGTAAACTCGACATCCATCTCCTCTGTAGACTCAGCGTCAGAAAGAATTTCTTAGTTTACTCTGTTCATAAAAGTCCCACGAGTAGCTAGGGAAAAGAGGTCAATAACGCAGAGCCCCGCATTACCGTGACAAGGCGATTACACGACGAGAGGGCGCCCGGTATTTCGAAGGTTCCGTAGAAACAGCTGATAAGCTCAGTGCCATTCATCCTCTCGGCATGGATATACACACCTTAGAATTAGGCCATCGTTGGTATGCCATTCAGTTAGGGAATAACAGAACCACAAGTGATTTTGTCATTCCCGTATCCAGCAGGGCTACGTGGAAGCAGGCATCCGATGGCCAGTTTAGTCAACCCCCACATCTAAGCCAATTCACTCGCCGAAAACAGTATGCACAGTGGATCAGGCAGTGAATGGTAAACAAGGACTTCTTCTCAAGTCCATTACTAACTGAAAAAGCGGTGAATGCAATAGCACTAGCGACATCTATGTGTTAGGCCCGAGACTTCTCAGTCCATGTACTACTTAAAATCGAAAAATTGTGAAGTAGTTTTGTTTCCATAATGTTATTGCTTGTATATCATTTACGTCCTACTTATTGTTCAACACATTTTCTTAATATTTTTTTACCTCAACTGTAATGATATTATCAATTCAAACATGAATATTATTCTTGTATTGGACATGCTAATAGGAGAAATATATTTTTCCAAAATCATATGTATTATAAAATCAAAGCTAGCAATGCTCTGGAACCGTTGATGTAGGAGAATGGAAGTAAAAAGAAAATTTATTTTTCTGTTTTATAAACTGTAAAACCTCAAAAACGAAACATAAAATGTTTCAGTAGTGTAGCAGTTTCTTTTCATTCACTAAAAACATTGCAAGAGTTTTTGTGCAAATAAAAAAATGAACTTGAAGAAGTAAGCAACGTCAAAAAAAACTACAACACATCACGGAACGATAATTTACAATTTGGTTCTGAAATTTCAAAGAGGCGGTTTGCAGAGTGAAAATTTGAATATGTATACAGGGTTGGTCAATGGGGACAAATTGATGTACAGGGGTAACTTCAGGGATAGTTGTGAAGGAAATATCAAGCGAATAAACGAAAGATAATACCTATTTTTTTGAAGTTCGGAAACTGAAAGAAACTGTTTTCTTCAGTTCTCATACCATACTCTAATATTTTGAGAGTGTTTCCAAATTCACAAATCAATGAAGTGAAATAAGTTTCATCAATAGTTTATTCAATCCGATCAACATACTTTTTATCGCAATCTTAACGCCTCATTTCATAAATCACAACCGGCTTTTCAGTTTTTATCAACTCATTCTTTTGAGAAGCGAATAAATATACTACAAAATAACCACTTATACCAAACTCCAGAACTGCAATGCTTTTCCCGAAGCGCGTTTCATCAACCAAGTTACCGCTTTCAGGAGATGAAGTGAGAAAACTTTTTACGCATGTTTGCGAAAAGCCCTCATTTAGTATTCATGAGATGAAGAAAACTGAAACTCTTGAAGACGCCACCTTGGTTGGTGAAACGCGCGTTAAGAAGAGTATTGTATTTCTGGCGATTAGGAAAGTAGACAGTACACATATATAAATATATAAAGAGCCATGAACATGCATGCGCATGCATGCATGTGATGAAAGTTAGTAAATCTTATAATCTATTACGAATTGATAGAATTTGAGTACGATTATAAAAAGTCATATGGCTACTTTTTTACTAGTTCTATGGTAACGTACCATGGTTGGTAACATGTTTTCTTGTGCATTGTGACAGTGGTAACTTAGGTTGTAACTTATGTAGTTCTATGTCTATAAATAAAGGTGATCTGGGTGATCAGTCTAGATCAAAACAAAGTAAATAAGTAAGAAATATCTTTGAATAGTTATACTCAATGTGATCATGCCTGAAAGTCATTAAACACTTGTGTAAAATCATGGTCAGCTTATCAAGAAGTTTCAATACCAATTCGGGGGTAAGTTTCTGCAGCTCAAAAGTGAAAACCCTCTAAAACAGTTTTTCAGGGAGCAACATTTTTCAGTGAATCCGTAAATATGGAAGATAGAGAACATATGCAGCCTATCTTGGATTCCTATGGAGTATTTAAACCTCTCAAAACTATTCCCCCCTTCAGTGTCCATTTGTTATTCACAGTAATTCTAGATATCATAGCTATTGTTTATGCAATTCAACACCCTGATCAAAATGGCAGATGCAGAGAGTATTTTCTGATTATTTATTTGCACATAGGACTTTGGTTCATCACTCTTGTAAGTATCTAAATAAAATTCAATGTGGATTCATGTGGCAATTTTGAATTGAAATAAATCATGTTGGTCAAGATTTATTCATTCATTTTAATAAACATTAGATTTATTATTATTTTTTCTAGTTTTCAGTACACTTTGTATTATATCCAGTGTAACTATTTGATGTAATATTTCCAGATAGTTGATCAACTAGCCAAATGGATGCACCGTAGCATTAGACTTAACGGATATCTAGAATTCTACCAGAAGACCAAACTCCACATCAGTTTACCTTTTTACATAATCAGTCTCTGGAGTGTGGTGTTGATGTTTGTACAGGCCCTAATGCAGCACTTCTACCCCGACGATTTTGCAAAGAAATGCGTTCAGGGAGGAACATTCACTCCTGTTTCATATTTGTGTGCCCTCATAACTTTGGAGACCTGCCTCATAGCGGGAATCAACATAAATTACATGAGTGAGTATTGTGTGTGGCAGAGATGGACGATTATTGAAATTTTTATTTCCATCGTATTTGAATTTGCGGTTTTATCGAATTTTTAGTGAAAGTTCGAAATTTCAACATCCAGAAAGCTCCTCCAGATGTCCAGAAACAGGAATGGTTGAACTGTGGAGTACCAGAAACTGTTACTCAAAGTGAGGTTGGGTACAGACAGATGGGGGATAAAGTTTACGATTTACTAGAGAAACAGGTATGTCATATTGTTATTGCTGTTTGTTTGATAATCTCCCTCAGTGAATTGCATCCAATGGAAACCAATCTAAGAGTACCTCAGGGTTCGGTACTTGGTCCCCTGTTGTTTTATCATCTTTATCAGTGATACCAACAGAACTAATGGCACTCCCATTCTCCATCTTATTGTTTCAATTTTTTTCAGGCTGACTTGATCAGGTTTTTGAAGGAACATAATGCCAGACTGGGAGAAAAAACAATGATATTGAGTACTCAACTGCAGCAAGCTAGGGCTCAACATGACCCTAGGTAGATTTAGTTGATGATTCTTGGTCTTTTGACTGGTTGCGTAATTATCACACTGTTACCAACCAAGGTTTTGTGAGACTTCCTTCATTTTGAAAGTGATTTAGACTAGGACTTAAAGATCAATAAGGCTGTAACCAGAGATTTCATAATCGTTGAGCATTCAGCTGTGATTACTGTTGAGAAATGACTAGATATATGGATATTGATGAAGTGAAATCATTACTATCATTATTTTGACTGATAAATGCAATCAACTTATGAAGTTTGTGGTTATGACTTGCTATATAACTTTTTACCAGTTAAGATGAAAGATCAATCTATTAATGAAGATAAGTTGCAGGAGAACTTATTTCTTTCGAAAGATTGAACTTTTAAATAAAGCGATATCATTTATTAGAACAATTAATTTCTTCTCAAGGATTCAGTTGGTGCTTTACCTTTGAATCTCTTTAATATTATTTCTCAAATAGTTTTTTTTAATATAGAGAGCATGAGAGGTATTTATTCAAGGGGGTTATTGACTTTTCATATTGTAAATTGTAATTATAAGCTTTGAAACTCCAAATGGAGTCATTGACAATATATTTTTCATGAAGTTTACATTGTTGTTTATATTAAATACCATCTATAACACCTTTGGACGTGAGAAATTGTTCATTTTTAGGTTATGTTAATTGGTAAGTTTTTGATAGATGTTACAAGATTTTTATCCATTTCTGAAATATTTAAAGAATCATGGAACGCCTTAAAAAGGTGACGAAATTCGGCAACATTGAAGCGTGAAGATATTTTAGGTTATGTTGAAAAATTGACAGATTCTCTTCATGTAATATGCAATTTTGAATCTGTACAATCATTGGCGGATGTTATTTCATGCTATTGTATGCAGAAAGAGCATATTCTAAATTTATTGCCAAAAGTGACCTTTGGTGTTTTTTACAATGTGAACCACAGTTCACAATTTATGGGATACCTATAATAAAAAGTAGCAGAATACTATGCATTTGAATACCTGAAATGAAAAAAAAACCTTTTAAAGTAAATCAAGTATTCCATTAACTCGTTACCATTCATTAAATACATAACCATATTTGCTCAATATTTTATTATGTTGAAAACAGCAACAGTATTCTTTGATGAATACAACCCTACTTTGGTAATTTAATCTCAGTTCGATAAGACCATTTTGGTCGCTGGATAGGTTGGGTCCAAAGTGAGTGGGTTACACCGCAACCCGCAAGGGTTTATTGTGGCTCAGACCTATTCACACTCGGCCAAATAAACCCAGCTTCTTAACGAAGCCGATTAGTTTGTATAGTGAGTGGTCTTTCAGGTCAGATGGTAAAAGTAAGGCTCTGCCGAACTCTAAAGACCTGATTCGGTCCCCAGCGGGGCAGGCACTAAGTATATGCTTTGTTAATGAGGTAGTCGGATAGTCAAGTTGCAAGATTCCCAACTTGATACCCAAGACAACCTTCCCATATGAGGGTTTTTGCACGTCAACTACACCTGACGGCGCCTTAGATTCAGCCTTGCAGGGCTTTTTCGCCTCTGGTTTTGGAGAAACCTCACTTGAGCGCAAACGTTGGCTAACCTGCTCATGGGGGGTTTGTTTCTCCACCTGAGACAGATTCTGCGTACGCTGCTCTAGAATTAGGTGCAAGGCGGTTTTATAAGATACCCCGCTCTTGAGGAGACGACTTAGTCGTTTCCTTGCTACACCACCAAACTTCTTTTTCAAGGTTCAGTTGTTGGATCAGGAGTTGGGGAGTTGAGAAGCTCTCGCTCCTGAACTAAATTTATAATGAGGTCAGTTGGAGTCGCAAACTCGACATCCTTCTCTTCTGTAGACTCAGCGCGAGAAAGAATTTTCAAGTTGACTCTGTTCATAAAAGTCCCACGAGTAGCTAGGGTCAAAAGGTCAATCACGGTCAAGCCCCGCATTACCGTGACAAGGCGATGGTACGACGCCCGGTATCTCGATAGTTCCGTAGGGACAGCTGATAGGCTCAGTGTCACTCATCCTCTTGGCATGGATACACACATCTTAGGACACACAGTTGAGGAATAACAGAACCACAAGTGATTCGGTCATTCCCGTATGCAGCGGGGCTACGTGGAATCAGACATTCGATGGCCGGTTTACTAATGAAGATGTCTGTAACCTACAACCCGTAGGGTCCAAAGACTAATGGACCCACTGGATAGGACTCCAAATGTTTGATTCCTATCGATAGAATCAAGAAAGTTTGTTCAGAATTCTTCTGAAGAAAAAAAAAAAAATTTTTTGCAAACATACCGAGAATCTGCGTTTCCATCAGTTGTAACATGGAACGGCTTTCAACAAAAATAACAAAAGAAGGATTTTACTATAAATTAATCTTTATTTGGCATATCTGAATATCGATGTAGTTCGTTTTCAACAACCTTGGATATTTTTTCTATAATACAAATTTTCTCTCTCCATATTATAGTTTATTCATGACGGTCGTTCGCACTTAGGTTTGTATTTGAATAGGATCAACACCATGATAAATCAAGCATGCATTTTCCTTGAAACCACTTGTGCTGCAGCTGGTTTTCAGATGAAAGGTCCTCCAAGCTAATACCGTTCATGATTTCCTCCCTTGTCTGAAAATTTCAAAACATAACCTATAATTAATTAAGTACTTCATTTTCACGTTTCATTTTTCAGGTTGTGATAAGGAAGGCCAGCCTGGAGAAATCGAAAACTGTGAGATACAGAGTCGGTTGATTTTGGAAAAAGTTGCCCTTTTTAGAGCATATTTGAATGTCGTCTTAAAATTTAGGAAATTCCACTTGGCTCCGGAGATTTTCGAAAGGAAGCGAAGTGAAAGTCGCCATGTTTGTTTCAACTTTTTTCTGGCGTCTTGAGGTTTTCGATTTTCAAATGCTCTGACCCTCTATATCTTCAACACATTGTATATCAAATGTCATTACTCAGCACAGTGTTCATTTTACTGTTTACATCTGTGAATGAAAAGTAAACATGACAAATTGCTCTGCTTAAACGCCATCTATGGAGTTGACTGATAACTGTATGTAGTGCTGATATGGACTGTAATACTTTTTTGAATTATACTAACCATAGGTGGGGGAAATATCCTTTTGCAGTCTCCTTTATTGAGATGTTCTTTGAAAGCTTGCACAAGGTATTTCCTGGTTTCTGGTGACAGACAGGGCCTGCACAAATGGCAATCTGTCGATACACAGCTTGTTTGGCAGAGGATGCTACTACATTCCTTTGGAAACGTAGCTAAATTCTTATCTGACACGATCATCTCTTCATCTGATTTGGATCTGAAACAGGTAAATCCATTTGCCTTCTATATAAAGGGCAAGAAGATTCAAAATAAGCCATATTTTGTATCCCACCCTCTGGTGACATGGCTCAATTTTACGTCCTCTTCTATACTATACAAGTATTTCAAATATTGTTATATGCTGGTTCTGAAGGCACAAAGCACAATCTTTCTTTCTGCCTTGAAATATGAACACTAGCTAAGGATCAGGTGAAGATGAGAAATATATAGAGAATGAAAATAGCGTCGCTGATTTATTTTGTATTGACTTTGAATGGATATAAGCGGACTGTATTTCTTTCGAACTGAACTTGCAATTTCTTTGATTCAAATCAATATTGATTCAATATTAAACTGAAATATCGTTATAAAAACTGGTTTATACTCGGAAATGGGTCATAAAATATGTAGACAGACAAGATAAAGTAGTTATATATTTGTGTTTCTTTACCTTTGTGCTAAAGAATTCCGAAAGATCATTTCTCCAACACCTACGAGTCCAAATACATTGTACAAAACTTGCTGATACAGAAGCCGGTTCGGAGGAAAATGAGCTGAAGATAAGTTAGGGCTCATGTTAGCTTCTAATAGATATATTTTGAGATCTTCGTCTATTACAAAGTCAAAACGCATCATCTCAAAGAAGTTCCATTTAGATTTGAACCTGGAAAATATATTTTGTATATTTATGAATACCAATAAACAGTAGAAGTTTTATTTGAAGAAAATGAATATTTCCAATGAAAATCCACGCTGGGAACCAACTGTTTCCCTGGATAATATCGGAACCAACATTGGATTATTTCCGACAGGTGTTATTCCTTTGCTCGGCAGTAGGACTTCGCTCAAATCTATCACGTGATCATCTACAGATCGGTTTCGTTAGTATCGGTTAGATCCAACAGTAAAAACGAATGAAAATATTCATTTTCTCGTCGTATGTTTCTCATCGGTACCCACCTTCTCAAGGTGTCAATGATGAGCGCTTCTTTGGATAGAATGACAGTTCTAATAGCGTCCTCGATTTGCTCCCAAATAACTCCTGGATCTTGACCTTTAGAGTGAAGGTAAGCATTGAGGCTGTCTCTCATACCAAATCCGAGTTCATTGTAGTAGTAGTCTAACGCTGGTACGTCCCATATTGGCAGGTAATCGTCCCCTACTACATATTTATCCAAGTTCTCAGGATCAAAAGGATAGTATTTGCTAGGACAAAACCTGGAAAAGTAAAATGGACAATTTGACAGGTTTCGACAACAAAATACTAGTTCTTACCTCAACAGCGCCTCTCCATTATAGATGTATATCCTCAGGGGCTCAACGGAGGTTATGACTGTATAAATCCCAATATCGAACTTGTGACCGTTTATCAATAAAGGCTTGTCGACGTACTCTTGAATGAAGGTACCGTTTTTGTCCAAATTGATATTGATGATTTTCTTTATTTTTATCTCGCGGTGGTCGTTATTTTTTTGGACAAAAGATATATTGGGGTTTGCCTCGGAATAGTCTAGTAACTTTTTTTTGTCTTCTGGTAACCTGAAGGCTGGCGGGATGTATTTCAAACCACTGGTCGCTAAGTTAACCTTGAATTTAGAGAACAATAACCTTGAATTTAGAGAACAATTGAACTCAGGCCAGGAGGCTACTAAAGTAGCAATTTCACAAACCTTACACTTTGTTACTAAATTATAATGTATATATGAATACATTTATAGTTAAACATTTTTAAAACAAGCCTTTACCTCTCTTAAAACAAGATAATTAACCTGAATTAAGATTAGAAACATTCCTTCTTGAAACTGTTTTACACAATAGGATTTGCATGGCAGATAACGGTCAAAAAACAATTGAATCTGATTGGCCAGCGCAAGGAATAACCTTGTATATTCCACCCAATAGATGCAAATGTGCGTGGTGATAATGCTTTGATCACGCATATATGTATATTTGTTTGGGTTGCATTGTTTGTTGGATGGATATAGTTTAGAAATAACACAGAATGCTCTAGAAGAAACTTGAAAAAACTGCACCTACCTTATTTGTAATATATCCACATCCTGGGAAATGATTGACCTTTTGATGAGGTTTCAGGTTGTGCAGTTCTGGATACAATTTCCTGAAAGGATAATCGTGCGCCCAAAGTAGATCCCAGTGGTTTGAATCTGGATCGTTTTTGTACCCCAATCTATCCAAAACGGTAAATACCTCTTTCAAGTATCCGCTCTCCACATTTTTGCCATATGCCCAAAAAGTTTTTCTGGGAGAGTCTAATATTTCATTTGAAATGTTTTTTTGTTTGTTGAAACATTGGCGACATTCATCAGCAGCTATGAATAGAATAGTTAGAATTGAAAAAGAAGCCACTATTACAGCTAAGGGGTAGTAATTTTCGATAGAAAGTGGTCTCTGTTGTCTTCGAGTTGGTTTCTTGGAGGATTCCTAAAACAGGTTGCGTGGTGTAGTGTTCAAAAAATAAGGTGAATGTTTAAATTTAGCGGGCTGCGAACATTCGATTAGCGATTTTTTATGTTTTATGAATGACGTCAACGGCGATCCATATTTGCTCAAAAGGTTCAGAACTGGTGACGGATCATGGGTAAATCAATTCAATGCAGAGTGCAACAGAGTGTTGGCTGACACTGGAAGTCACAGCATTCTGGAAATTACCTCTGACTTTATGCCTCTAACTGTCAACTACGAACTGCCTTATAAAGTACTGTTCCTGAGTAGAGAGCACTGGATCCTCCGAGAGAAGGAAATATTAAGAGCAGATAGTTGATGGTTCACAGATGGGTCAAAAACACCTTGCGGTTTTGGTGCAGGTGTTTCCAGTAGCAGACCTAGCGACAGAGATATCAACCTGCCTAGGAACCTAGGCGACTGTATTTCAAGCGGAAATTTAGGCTATTGAATTGTGTGCGGAAAGATTGGTCCAACCTCACTCACAAGTCAATAGAAATATTCTCGGACAGTCAAGCGGCGTTGGAAGCTCTTGGCTCCTACCGAGCAACGTCTAAATTGGTAGCAAATTGCCAAAAACGATTTTCCTCGATAGGGAGCTTAATAGATTGTATCTGGTCTGGATTCCTGGCCATACTGGCCTGGCAGGCATTAAGCCTGCTGACTACCTTACAAAGGGGGGTGCTGCAAGCAGCTTCATCGGACCAGAACCTGTCATTGACATCGCTTTAGGCTTTGCCAAACAAATATTGAACACCTGGATGGCAAGAAGAGTCATGGACTTCTGGCAGAATCTTCCATGATTGGCTCACTCCATCCAAGGCGTTTATTCACCCTTCGAAGTTTGATTCCAAACAGCTGTTGGACTACAGTAGGGATGTCTAACAGGCCTTCTTACAGGTCACTGTCATTTGAATCATCATATGCAGAGACTCAGACTGTCGGAAGACAGTGTGTGTCGCCTCTGTTTGGAAAATGATGAAACAGCAGATCATATACTTTGTGCCTGCCCCGCTGGGGACCGAATCAGGTTTTCTGAGTTCGGCAGAGCCGTACTTTTACCATCTGACGTGAAAGACCACTCACCATACGAACTAATCGGCTTCGTTAAGAAGTTGGGTTTATTTGGTTGAGTGTGAATCGGCGTGAGCCACAATAAACCCTTGCGGGTTGCGGTGGAGGGTCGAATAGACCCACTCACTTTGGACCTAACCTAATCCCATGAGTTCTTGTCACATGGTCGCACGGTCCGGCATTGTGGAATAACAATTCACAGCTTTTGCACCACGATAATGTACCTGCTCCCTCGTCATTGCTTGTTCGTAATTTTTTGGCCAAAAGCAACACCATAATCCTGCCTCAGCCTCCATATTCACCAGATCTGTTCCTATGCGACTGTTTCCTGTTCCCAAGATTGACAAGACCCAAGAATGGAAGGCGCTTTACGACGATTGAGGAGACAAAGACCTAACCGCCGAGAAAGCTCAAGGACATACCAAAAAATCCAAAAAAAACGTCATGTTTATCACTTCAGGGGAAACAGTTTTGATAAAAAACTATTATTTTTTTTGTGTTGGAATCCTCTGTTTGTTCTTGTAATTCACCGGCCTATATTCAATTTAATTATTGATTTTTTTGATTCCCATTGAGATTATGCTCCAAATTTGCATCCCACACAGCATTAATTTTTCAAAAATATGTGGTAGTTTTCAAAAGATTTGCCTTGAAAATTGTGCAAAAACATTCGATTGCGGCCGAGGCTTTCACGTCGAAATTTCTACTTTGCTGAAATCCAGTCTATTCTACCTTATTGCATTTTACTATGCACAGCATCTATTTCTTATTTAGAAAAAGCAATAAGAACTATAAAAAATGCATCACCCAGGAATTCCTGCAAACCATTGTTTGCCAAATTGAATATTCTTTTTCTGGCCTGTCTTTATATTATGGAAGTTGCCTGCTACATTCATAAAATAACAAAAAAAGTCTCAGGCATTCAGACATGCATGTCTACCAAACCAGAAACAATCAGCTAATCTATCCAAATCATAGCAATCTCCAAATAACATCAAATGGACCACTCTCAACAGGTGTAAGAATTTACAATCAATTATCCACTGACATTAAAATTCAGCCTACACACTTCAGATTTCGAAACTCCATAAAAAGCTTTCTGCAAGAAAATTTATTTTATAACATTGATGAATTTTTAATGTAACTTCTTAAGTAAATAATTTATATTGCTGTTCTTTTTTGTTGTTTTGTAGTTACGTACGTAGTCTTCACTATATTTATATAGCTACATGTACTAAGACATTATATCCTGATATACCCTATATGGGTCCTTTGAATTAATAAACTGATTTGATTTGATATAATGTATACTCCGTTATCTCGACTAACTTCAATTTGAATCTCAAAAATGGTATCAAGATCACCTACATTCTTTTGCCAGTTTCTTTGTAAGCTGTGAACCGCAACACTCTACTTGTAAAAACGTCTTAACAAAAATATACTCACTCACTTTTTCTAGTTCACTACTATTTTCATTTTCACCTTCACTAACCATCTTGCTATTTCTCGTGCGTGTGTATTTTTTCTTGAAAAGTCCATCTAGCACGCCAACACATCGAGAGAGTACCGTCGCATAACGGTACCATCATGTGCGTACCTACTTGTAGGCCAATAAAAACAGATTCAATTCTTTCATCTCATTACCTACATCTGGACTTGTATGAGTTTGGATTCTGCTCCTAACGTTGATATAACTACGGTTCATCATTCGGTGAAGTAAATTTTAAATAATACCGTCTCGTATGTACGTTGCCTCAAAATTACGACGTGCGAAATTCCAGGTAGATGAAATTATATGTATGAGAGAACTATCTTTATTTTCAGAGGAAATTAGTTATTTCTGAAATGCAATTCTAGATGAAAAATATGTATATTTATTTCTATAAAGATTATAAAATTTTGACGGATAACTTTAATCACTGGTCTCCCAAATATGCTCTCTGGCCTGGATTAGAGCCAACACGGGTCTGGAAGGTGAAGGAAGTTGCTAACTTACTTGCTCTGCAAACAGTTTAATCGGGGACATAACCTGTCATTAGCATCCAAAGCTGTAGTCAATGACAGGGATGAAAGTTAAGGGGCTAGAGCCCCATGAAACTTTGACAAAAACAAATTTGAAACACTATCTAAAGTACTATAATAAATATAAACAGTTAGTGTCCGACCGAAAGTTCGGTTTCGGTTGAGTTTCGGCAAATAAACGGGTTTCGGTGGCAAACATGCCGAAACTACGACCGAAACCGCATTCGGGAGTTCCCGCACTTATCGGTCATGTTCGCCGCGTTGAACTTCATACAAGCGACGAAGGCATTTTGCTGAGTCCACGTGCCTAACGCTAGTTGCACACACACCGATTTTGGCCGGCCAGTATAAAATCGGCCGATATTTTATTGGTAGCGGGTGCTTGCACACTCACTGGATTCTTATCGGCAAACAATCAGTTGCTTTGTTGTCGTAATTAGCACGCACTACCAGAACGAAGTTAATGCGTAGTAACTACAATTCCACCGAGCATTCGAGACTGGAATGGTCGGTAAAAAACCGGTGAGTATGCAAGAGAGTGTATTTAGTCATGTACGCCACTACTTCCCGGTATTGCCGGCGATACAGTGGCAGTGGACGGCTACTCACCGGTATTTTACCGGCGACGATCACCGGTAGGCATGTGTGCAAGGTCCCGTTCCCACATGGTTCACTATTGGAATTTGGACGACCGGTACAAAGTCGGCCGTCCAAAATCGGTGTGTGTGCAACTAGCGTAACGCTAGTTGCTAGTTGTAAAATACCGGTGAGCAGCCGTCTACTGCCACTGTATCGCCGGCAGAACCGGGAAGTAGTGGCGTACATGACTAAATACACTCTTGCACACTCACCGGTTTTTCACCGACCATTCCAGTCTCGAATGCTCAGTGAAATTGTAGTTACTACGCATTAATTTCGTTTTGGTAGTGCGTGTTAATTACGACAACAAAGCAACTGATTGTTTGACCGATAAAAATCCGGTGAGTGTGCAAGCACCCGCTACCAATTAAATATCGGTCGATTTTATACTGGCCGTCTGAAATCGGTGTGTGTGCAACTAGCGTTAGGGACCTGGCACACACGCCGACCGGTGATCGGCGTCGATCACCGGTAAGCATGTGTGCAAGGTCCCGTTGCCACATGTGGTTCACTATTGGAATTAAGACGACCGGTATAAAATCGGTCGTCCAAAATCGGTGTGTGTGCATTTAGCGTAATCATGTCATGGCTCTGGAGTATTAGGTAACAACTTAAATAAGTAATTTTATGTCTAATATTTTTGAAAAACCATCAATAATATTCAAAAGAAAGATCTACACCTACTCAAATAAACACCTCACCTATTTTAAGTATTTTCAAGGTGCAATTAATATTTTTTCTTAAATAAGGGTTTGTTATGTTAATTATCAATAAGTAAAAATGTCGAAGACTGCATAACGTTGTAATTTAAAGATAAAAAAATTAGTACTGACTGATTGTTATATCGTTTTCTTAATTTTCCACTCAAAACATAATCCTTATACGGAAGTTTCGGTTTCGGCCGAAACTGAGACCGTTGCCAAAATTCGTTTTTGTTTGCGAAAACCAGTTTTGGTCGGACACTATAAACAGTTGAAAATTCTTTGGTGGCCCTGGCAAATTGTTTCAAAATTTTGTCCGTTTTTCTGAAATTACTTTAAACTGTGTAATATTCCAGTGAGAACTTATTCAATTCAATCGAACTAATCGGCAGTACACTTTTGCCAACGTAACACAAGTCGATTAATTCCGTCAGCATAAAAGTATCTGCTCGGGATTCAATGAAGTCGATGAAGGCTGTTTTTGCCTGCTCCTGATTGGCGAAGGTTTTACCGGTGAGAAAGTTATCGAAGTGCTTAAAAAGTCAGTTGGCGAGGGGTCTGGAAAGTGTGGTGGGTGAGGCAGGCGCTCAATTCGTTTAATTTTCGGACGGTGATTTGTGAAAAGTGTGGACGGGTGCTGTCGTGGATCAGGGCCTTTTCTGTTGACCAGTGCCGGCTGCTGCTGTCTGGGTGTCTCATCGATGTCCAAACACTGTCCAGATCGTCCCCTGTAGTCGTAGATGATACACTTTTCATCAGACGTGACGATCCGATCCAAAAAAGGATTGTTTTGGTTGCACAAAAGCAAAGAAGAACAGATCCCGAAACGTGACAACTTCTGTCGATAGTTCAAATAGTGGGACACCCACTTTTCGAGCTTCTTAACCTTTACAATACGTTTTAAACCATCAAAAATCGCATGAGAGTTGACGCCCAGTTATTCCGTCATCCCACGCACTGTTTGTGGGTGGGTGTTTTGTTCGGGCAACGTACCGCGTGCTTTGCCAATTTTACGGTCGCCATAATCATCCTAACGAGAGGACTATTGAATGTGACCAACACGCCCGTACGTCAACTAAGAAAACACCTCCATGATATGGGGCTAATAGTCATGATGCGCGGACAGTAACTGCACAATACAATATCTTTATTCCCTAAAATGATCACTTCACAATGATATAGGCGTCGTCAATGGTGAAAAACATGAAATGTGTATAAACATTAGTACAACAGTGTTACAAAATGCATAAATTCAACACATGAGAGTGGTTGTTTAAAATAAACAATCAAAAGTGTTTATACATGTACATAATAGTTGAAATAGGCAATGCCGGGCATGATATTGTTGTAAAAACAATCGTCTACGAGATATTCTCTGATTCTCCATTCAAATACTAAAATTGATGCTACACTTTTTAGTCTGGAAGGTAGTTAATTGAACAATTTGGAACCTGCTAGAGATGGCGTCTTTTCCTTATAATTTTGTACGATGTTGTTGTAGTTTGATTAAATTCCCGTTCCTTGTTGCGTAATTACGACATTGGGAGTTAGTTTCTAATTAGAGTTCGCGTTTTTTCACAAAGAGCAGACAGTTATAAATATAGAGAGAAGGTACCGTTAATATCTTCCTTTGCTTGAAAACAGGTCTACATGAATCAATATGACGTAGATTGTGAAGCATACGAATTATTCGTTTCTGAGCAACAAAGACCCTGTTAATACACCAGACCACATTATAAGATAGAACAGAATTCACAAGAGCATAGTGAACATCTAACCACTTGTTCTTCACTCTGTATTTTTTTAAGCTGCATTAGGGCATAGAAACTGCTATTAAGTATTTTACTCACGTAGTCAATTTGAAATTGCCAGTTCAATGAGTGGTCGATGTGAACTCCTTCGTGTTATTTATAAAACTGTACCAATACTGTTTTTTTTTGGATTGACCACAAGTCTATTTCTTTGACACCACTTTGAGAAATTTTGACTTGATACATTCAATTTTTCTTGAAGTTCCAAAGGACTGTCGGCTTCTGCGGAAATAGAAGTATCATCGGCAAAAAGAACTATCGAAGCAGTGCCGATATGTTGTGGTGAATCATTTATGTATAATAAAAACATTAATGGTCCCAAGACTGAGCCTTGTGGAACTCCAACTTCCAAGTCATAAGTATTCGAGTTTACATTATCCCATTCTACGTACATCTTTCGAAATTTCATGTAAGACATAATCCAAGATAGAAATTTACCTTGAATTCCAATTGCACTAAGTATTTTGAAGTTTATACAATCAAAAGCCTTTGATAAATCGAAGAAGAGTGCGGCCACAAACTTTCCTTCGTCAATTCCTCTATAGATATTTTCCAAGAAAGCTGTAGTCGGACTTTCCGTCGATCTACCGGGGCAAAATCCATTTTGACATTTGACTTTAAAATAAATCTTTTGCTCTATGATTCTGATGGGCGCGAAATTCAAAAAAATGTTACAACTCCAGGTGGGCCAACCACAAAGGCCCGACGGGTTGCATGCGGTTGAGTATGGCTGTTATAGACCATTAAACATAAAAATAATTTCAACCGTAGGAGAGAAAGCTCAACAAGGCATGGATCCCGGCACTTCGTAACACAAATATTCTCCCAATAAATGAAGTCGTAACTTTTTGCTTATCATAAACAGTTTTTTACCGTCACTTCACTTTAATGTACATACCTATTTTACTTTAAAATACTTACATTTCATATGCAATATAGAGCGGCAGGTTTATCCTATATTTAGGCGCTTTTCTCGTTGTAGAGCCCGTCATTGTCAACCCGAAACAATAGTAACGAACAAATCCCAAATTAGTTCTCATGTTCAGAAATGTGGGTATTACTTCATCAGGGTGTCTAGTTTCCAGTTATGATATTAAACCTCATACGAAGAATCAAATTTGTATATTTAATTTATTTACAAAATTTTGCAGACATCTCATTACATCCCAAAGTTAAAAGTATAAAAATCATCTGCACATTACACTAATACTCGATAAATTAGATGGCGATACTATCCACACTGAAAAGAGCTTATATTATACCAATTTCATGCAACTTATTTCTCATTTTTGTTATGGTTCCATCCCACAATGTCTGAAGAGGTTCCCTCACAGTTTCTACCGGTAAGTTGGTCATGATACTGATAGCCGCCTTCAAAGTAGCAACCATGTCACCTGAAAGACAAAACACAACCATAACCATTAATTGTAGACATATATGTTAATTATGATGAGTAGGCGTTAGCGGAAATCTTACCATTGCAATATATATTGTCAACAGCTTTTTTCAACAGATTCTGAGACGCTTGGGCACTCTTAATTTCTCCATCTTTGATGCACTGACATATTGATTCCGCCAATTTCGGCAGAATGTTAATACTGTTTCCCATTATGCAGGTGAACCCACTAGCTACAGCACCCAACATTACCTGAAAAATGATCAATATGCAACGGTTTTAGGTCTTGACACAGATCTTCAATATTTTGATAACTGAACAGTAATGATTATTTTTGACTCAAGTGTTTTGTAACGGATGATCAACTTGAAAGGCATTGAAATAGTACACTTCACAAACTATATTCAACATGGCGTTTGTTGTTTTTCTACAAAAAAATATTAAGCTGTTAAATTTTTTGCCTCTTCAGCTTAGTAAAGTTTTTTATAGAGATACAGAACTTAAAGTTGGCAACACTTTCTTAACTTCAGGCCATTTTGTCAGCTGTCAAGTGCAGTGATGCCAACTTGGGGGGTTTCCCCCTAAATTTAGTGGATATAATTTGAAAAAGGGGATTTTTTGTGCAGAAATGAACTGCAAATTTTGCGTAGAAATGACAAATATTGATAACCTGTTACTTTTTTTTATGATTTTCGATAATATTTTTTTAATTTCTATTTTATGATGTTTTATTATCTGTTTGAACCAGCAATTTGATTCATCTATTTAGTCGTTTTATGTGAAAAATACTTCTTCGAGTAAATCTGTATTTTTCCACTAAAAGAACCCATTGTTTTGATAAAGAATATAACGATTTTTTGCTCGTTTTGGTAAATCGAAAATTATTTCATTACAAAAAGAGATATTAGAGTATAGAATTCTCATACCAACAATGTTGGAATTCAAAAAAATGTTAATTTTAACAAAAAAATCATATTGGGGTCTCACATACCCCACGTGTCTACAGAAGTCCACATGTCGGACGCAGGGTTAAAAAAGAATGTAATAATAATCATTTAATTATGAAACATCAACAAAAATTAATTGGCACTCCGGGCGACTCCACTGATTCCAGTGGCGCATTTGCTTTTTCAGCTGCAGAAAAACCCTGAAAAACCTGCAGTACCACATCACCTGAAGATCTTGATCAGCCAGTATCTTCTCTTTCATAAAACACAATGTAGGCTGTCTTCAGAGACAGCCAGAATGTGTTCTGTCATATCAATTTAAAAATTAATATTTGTCTTATTCCATTTCGAAGTTCTGTACCTGTATAAAAAAACACCCTATACTATATATCGTTAAGCGATTGTGGGCCAATTTTTCTGTACGAATTCAAACTGAACCAAAGTGCTGCTAATTACAATGAGACATAACAATCAAAATGTAATACAATATTGAAATTATTGCGATACTTCCCAAATATCTTAAAGATAACAAAAAATTGAAGGCTCATAGTAAAAGCCTGGTAGATGTTCAATGTCTTTGGAAAAAACTGTATGAACAAAATATCATTATACTATTTTGAATATCTTGAATAGAAAACTTGAAAATACCTCATCAGTTCCCATGAAGACGACATACTTCTCAGGATTTAGGGTAAGGGCAGTTAAACCGTCCTGTAGATCGTTTGTACTATATATCACACCTACAAATGATTCTATTTCTCCTGTTATGTCCAACAGAAACGCAGTCATATCAACTGAAACGAAAGCAATCAACAATTGAAAATAAACTCATAATTATACAAAAGAGCATATTATGAATAGGAAATTAAGTGAAAGCAAACAGAAGAAAACACAAATTTAACAATAACTTTTACATTTGGAGAGGGCAAATTCTGTACAAGATGTCCGGATAAAAAATGATACTCACTGTTATATAATTGCGTGTACTTCGGATAATGGTGATAAAGTATTGGAATTTTATGTGTATAATCTGATATAATTTTTATATATCGGATAAGATCCAAATGATTTTTTGGCCGATGGTACAGATCCGGCATGAGAACAATGGCCCCTACTTTGAGTTTTTCTGCATGCATTGCCTGAAAAAATTAACTTTTGCAAGAACCAATTCGACTATAAGTTGCTATAAATGCCGATGCACTCAATCGAAAATATCTTCTTACCATATCAATGACACACTTCAATGGTGCTCCACCAACTTGAACCATGAGAAACTGGTTTTTTTCTTTGCAAATATCGTACCAATACTCCAAGAGTTGTTTCCTCTCGTCAGTAGTCAAAGACATACCTTCACCAGCTACATCGTTCACTTAAAAGAAATAAAACTTATTCACTTGAGTCAATACAACAAAAAAAACAACTTACATAATATTCCTTTCACACCACAGGCTTTCAAGAACTTTGCATATGGTCCAATTAATTTAAAATTGACTTCTTTCCCTCTATAATATGGAACAAAAATCAATGTACACGCTGTCTTATTTCTAAAGAATTACTCTCACCTGCTTTTAACGAACGGCGTAATAGTGGGACATAATAAGCCTCTGAACATGAATTTATTCTGAAACAAAATATTTATTGATTTATTTATTCATGTGTACGGGTAATCACCATGAGATAAAATAAATATACAAATATACCTTGAAACTAACATAACCTTAATATATGCGTGAATGTAGACATATATCAATGTAAATATATGAGATTTAATAACGACCATTATTAATACCAAAAAAACAAGAATGTTTATAGCAGGGTTACAATTTGAAATAGTGCCCAAATGAGTTATTTGAAAACTAACACATCAAATTGAATGTACAGCACATATATACATGAATATAGACATACACATATATAACTTTGGGATTTTTAAGAGCCCAATAAATTTGAGTGTTGGATTTCGAACTAACCTGTACTGATTGGTTGGTACTACTCAGATGCTTTTTATGTTTCATGGCACTCATATGTTTGAATATCTCCGTTTTACCACATTTGTAGTCCTTTTTGCAGAATCTGCAGTAAAAATAATGAGGCCCATGTATACTCTCCGATATCCAAGGTTTAACTGTAGGTATGCTCTCCCATTCCTTCTTATATTTTTGGGTATAACTTTTCTACAAAAAATGCTTTTTAGAAGGAATGACAAAGAAGGTAATAGTCAATTCTAAACACTCCCTAGATACACCTTATAAGATTTGATTTTTAGGGGACTCTGAAAAGTAAATTAACATAACGGACCTTTTTTTTAAGAGGATCCTCTTCTTTGATCTTTTTTTTCAACTCTGCTTTCTTTTTTGTTTTCATCCTTTTCGACAGGGGCTCATCTGAATCCGAATCTGTTGCTTCATTCTCATTTGGTTCAAAATCAGATTCATCAGAAGCTTTAAAATCCGAAAACAAATCCTTTGCTGTTTTTGGTACTGCAGAATCTTCCTTGTTTTCATTAGATTCTACTAAATTTATCTCTATGATTTCTATATTATTGGATTTATTAGCATTTTTATCGTTTTCCATTTTGTTTATATGCTCAAAGGCCTTTGGCTTGTATGTCATCTGTCAAAATATTGTCATAACCTCATTCGTTTTCTTCTTCTTATTTTTGTTGAGAATCAATTTTTCAACTATGTATCCAGTTTCTACGTTGATTAGAATGTATTTCAACTTGAAAACCTTGTATAATTGTAGAATATGTTGCCCTATCAATATAGTATATTGTATATGTTGCACTTCTTTCAGAACATACCCTAAAATGTTGAACAATTTCATATCCGATCATTAACGTAGAAAATTCATATCGGCCCACTGATTAATCCTGGTATCGGCTATTATCATGCCGTTTATGCTTTTTGTTAACCATGAATTTTACGTTTGAAAGCATTTTTTACTTATAATTTACGTCTTTTGAAATGCTACATTCCAGTTCCCGCTCGATCAAACGAGCAGGGCCAGAGTATCGAGTGCATTGGCCAGGTTTTTGATGCCTTCGGAACTATTGCAACACATCACGCCCGGAACGACAACTAGAACATTTTCAGCGATATTTCATCAGGATAGAAAATAAATTATTTTAACAATTTGAAAGTTAGTAACGCAAATTTGTTAAGGTTAGCTTGTGCTGTAAAGGCAGGGATGCTTCAAGTTTTATATTATATTATAGTTGACCATGAAATAGAGGCACAAGTTGAAAAAAGGCCAACCAAAAAAGTTTCTTCTCCTAGCCTCGGAAAACAAAAATAGTCCACTGAGTGTTCTGACACAGTATTTCTGTATACAAAATACTGTGGCTCTGAGGTCTGTAAAAAACATTTGCAGTTGCAATCATACCTGGTAGATGCCGCTGTCTCATCTGTCAAGGACATGGATCAGCTATCAGCTTTCAAAGAAATTAAAATTTTTAGGGTTAAGTTGGTTTCTATTTTTGTTCAAATCGAGACTATTTTTATAATTATGCAGATAAAAAGGTAGTACCCCGGATAAAAATGTCGCAGATTATGCTAATTATTGCCACAGCACATTTGGTCTATTGCCCTTTCACCAAAGTAGAGGAAAGTTTCAATTTACAGGCCATTCACGACATTTTGTACCACAAACTGAACCTCACTCAGGTAGGGTATTTCTTCCTTTTATCTTGCAAGTACCTTCTATAAATTATTTATATTATTAGATAGACCCCAACGAGTTATTATTAGGGAGACTGACTGAATCATGAATTTCCGAGTAAGGTATCCCTCAAGGATCTATACCTGGACTTTTTTTTTGGACCCTTGGGAGCTGTCCGACTTGTCCATTTAGTGCAAGTCTCCAGAAAACACTGCAGCCTCTTGAGCTTATTGCGTTTATTCTCCCATCTTCTCATGACATCCATTCCATCAGTCTCATTCCCTGTACTAGTTTGTACAGGTTCCTTGTTGGATGTTCCTCATATTCTTCTGGACGTAATTTTGTACGTCCATATATTGCCTGCCTTCTGTGATTCAGTGCCTCACATTCGCATAAGATGTGTAGAGCTGTTTCTATCTCTTCTTTGCATAATCTGCAGCTGAGGTCTCCGTTGTACAGGTGATTCAGGTGTTCTCTAAGCCCAACGAGGTATTATTGGGGAGACTGACTGAATCATTAATTTCCGAGTAAGGTGTCCTTCAAGGATCTATACTTGGACCTTTCTTTCAAAAATTTTGTGGATGATTTGATTAACAATTTTCATAATCATTCGTCAGTCCGCGCGGTGATGCAGATGCCACAAGTTTTCTTATCAAGAAGAAGACATTTCTAGAAGTGTATAACATAGGCTAATAAAAATTATATGAGACTCAATATAATTTAAATCGTGCTGCTGAAGTTTATGGTGGCCTTATGCAATAACTTGTAAAGCAAATAAATTAGCAGCCATCACAGTTCATAAAATTGTTATGTGTTAAGATTACTAATATGTTGAAATCTTCTTGAATGTGTATTATGAAACCATTTATTGTCTTTTGAGATATGGGATTTTGAACTGGGGTTTGGGATTCTCTACACGAAGGGTTTTTATTATTCATAAGTTAGCAGTTGGAATAATTGCTAAAATTGGATGGAGTCCTATAGGAGGGCTCCCAAAGAACTAATACTTCGTACATTGTTAGAATATATTTGCATGAATAGTGTAGTTTTGTTGCGAAAAACAGGTCAACTATAAGCAATTTCATAATTACTCAAAATGCTCTTGAGATTTTATAGCATCTAGATCATGTTGAACAGCCATGTGAAGCCATGTCTATCTCAACTGAAAATTTCAATATACCTGATTAGAACATAAGATCACCTCCTATTTTTAAATTCATTACAAGATATGAATTTAAACGGTCATTTATACTCTCCATATATTCATTCTTTGTTCTATTTGGTTTGTTTTTTCAGTAATATATATATTTCTTTTCGTTTTATAATTAATATTTCATTAATATTTCCAGTACGATCACAATGAATTCCCTGGAGTTGTGCCTCGAACTTTTATAGGACCTCTCTTTATTGCACTATTAGCATCACCTGTTGTTGCAGTCTTACAATTTCTAGAAATCAACAAATTTTGGGCCCAGTATTTAGGTGAGAATATACTCGTATGTTTTCTGGTTACAAATTTTACGAATCTTTAGCACTTCAGAACATATATTATATAACATACCAAGAAAACATCCAAATCTATAATTCAAGAGCCGCCTGTAAAAGTATATGAAAAATTCATCATACCGTTTTCTTTTCACATAAGTTTCTTTTATATGATTTCCACAGTGCAAGGTACATATTATTGCATTAGAAAGAATATAAATAAGTTCTTGAGACAGTATACAATTTAACATGGACAATCTGCATTTGTTTCCATTGTAAAGAGGAAACTTCTTTTCATTCGAGAATCAAGTCTTCTGTTGAGCCCATAGATGGCGTCATTGTGGGGGGAAAATGTCCAATAGATGGCGTCATTGTGGGGGGAAAATGTCAAATTATTTAATGGCTTTATTGCTCATACTTTTTTGAAAGTTATGCTACCTTTTTTATTTTGACTTCACCATAGATTTTCAGTATCAGAATTTAGAAGTTATATCACAGAAAATATTTGACAACGTTTGGTTGTCCTTTTCCACTTTTTAATTGAGAAATAATGTTGGTTATAATTGTTCTGTGTAATGTATACACTGTATATGTATATACAGTTATGGGATTCAACGCTTAAATCGATCAATTATTGAATTCATATCAATTCAGTTGAATTTTTCAGTTAGGACCATATTGGCAACAAGTGTGGTGGCAAGTTTCAGCATATTGAGCAAAACCTTAGAGAAACAGTTCGGTACGAGATGGTTGCAGTGGTTTATTGCAATAACTGTGACTCAAAGTCACTTCATGTTTTATTTGAGTCGTCCATTGCCAAATATTTTCGCACTGCCTTTAGGTTTGTATGTTTCCCTTGCTGGAATACCGTCATTACTCACATTCACATATTTTTCCAGTTCTTCTAGCTCTGAATGGTTGGATGAACAACAATGCTAAAAGTTTCATTTTATTTTCCGGTGCTGCCATCATAATTTTCAGAGCCGAGCTCGCCTTATTTCTTGGAATACTTTTGCTCTACGACCTATATTACAAGAGGATAACAGTAAAACGGTAGGTTAGTAATTTTGTCTTAATTTTGTGGTTTTCAGCTCAGGTTTATGTACTTAAATAGTGCAGACTTAAACAGTCCTTTTTGAGTAGTTTCCCATCTTTCAACTTTTACACGTAATAAGATATGACTAATACTCAGTCAATTTTATGATGCCTCACTAGAGGCGTCAAATCAGGTGATCTAGTGGGCCCTTCCAAGTGATCACCTTTGCCTGCCTAGCGTTTTAGATAATTGAGAAAACTTTACTGAGTTTTCAATTGATGTTATGTTACACTAAGATGAGGTACCTCTTCATTATGACATGTTGCTTCGAAAATGGCCTTCAAACGTTTGAATTGGTAGAGGTAGTCGTGAGAAACTCGTGAAGAGGAATTCGTGAAGTATTCTAGGGCTGAATTGAATAAGAGGTGTTCCTAACGAAACTACCTCAGAAACATTGCACGATATAGGAAATGTAAATAAAGTTCATTATTATCAGGTAGTGAATGGTGTACATTTTAAACATTTATTGAAATAAACTGCTGGTAACTCAGCAAGAGTTGATTGATTTCCAAAAATAAAGTACATACAATTGAATTAGTTATGAAAAGAGGTATCACACTCTCTTCACATAAAAAATGGTAGCGCCCTCTCTGCGACGAGCAATGTAACTCTATTGTCGTGTTCTTTATAATGAATTACTAAAAATGATATCTTCTCACCTAAATTTAGTTTAGTTTTCAATGGAAACAAGATAATTGTCACAACTTACGTCTTAACACTGGTGCATGAAGCTACCCTAAATTTCTTTTTAACAGTCTTCAACTTTTTGTATCCTAGATGATATGTGGATGGTCTGAAAAGTTATCAACCTAACAAAGATACACAACATTTTTCCATATTTTTTTTATTTTTCAACATAGTCTTTGATGATGTTTTCGTCGGTTGTTGCAATTTTTGGACGTCCCGAGCTCTTACGGCCACTTTTAAATTCAGCTGCCCAAAATTTCATTGTGGTAAATGATGGGGCAGAGTCCCCATACACAGAATCCAACTTATCTTTGATTTGCGTAGGCTCCAGTACAAAAACTATTCCTAGTGCAAAAAAAAAAAATGCATACGTGCAATGTTAAATAAAAATCAGATAGAATCATGCAAACCTCTTTTTAAAAAATTGGCCCTATGGCCCTATTTCCAATGGAATTAGGGTTTACAACCACCTATTGACAAAAATCCCTCAGGAGATATCTTACTTCAGATTCAGAAAAACGTTGAAAACATACTTACTGGATAACTCGTATTTTACAATGGATGAGTTCTTATTTTCATAGTGACTCTCTTTGTTCCTTATAGCATTTTAAAGTACATGTATTGTTTGCCTAATTTAACTTCAAATTTCTTATGACTTGTTTTATGACTTTTATGTCTTTGAAACCAATAAAGATTATTATTATTATAACAGGTGAACAACGAAATTCACTATCTTTTATTTTCGAGTGCTGCCATCTTTATGTTGCGGTCGGAAACTTTTCAAACCACCCTCATACATTTTTTCGAATTTTTGAACAAATGGAAAACATATTTCAATGCATCTTTTCAGATTGTTAGAGGTTGCCGTTCCCGGCGGAATAGTTCTTTTGCTACTGACAATCGTCATTGATTCCTTTTTTTGGAATCGACTTCTATGGCCTGAAGGAGAAGTACTGTGGTACAACACAGTGCTCAACAAGAGTTCTAATTGGGGAGTATCCTTTTATTTCAAAAGAAGCAGACTAGTACCAATAAAACTGAATTTTTTTCCACATACCTTAATCATCAAAACACCATTGTGATAACATAACCTATATTTTCCTTTACTTCCTCTATAGACTTCACCGTTTTTATGGTATTTTTATTCGGCTATACCAAGGGGCATGGCCGCCTCTTTTTTCCTCGTGCCTGTAGGGTTCTACTTGGATGAAAGGGTACGAAAATTAACTGTTCCTGCTCTGTTGTTTGTTTTTATATATTCCTTCCTACCACATAAGGAATTGCGATTCATTATATATGTTTATCCATTTCTGAATTGTGCTGCAGCTGCTGCTTGTCACCGAATGTAAGTATGAGTAATAGTAGCTTTTTACACATTATTGTGCATGCATTTGAATTTATTACTATGGAATGTTTCGCAAATTTCTTTCAAGTCTGTTCAAAAAACAAGGTGAGTGTTATAATTTCGCGGGCAACCTACATTCGATTAGCGATTTTTTAAATTTTTCATGTTGGTACATTCGCTTTGAACAAATTTTAGAATTAACTGTTTTAAACAAATTTATTTCTAACAATATTTCACCATCACAAACTAATTTATATTCAACACTTAGAGACTAACGCTTAATTTATTTCCACTGTTTGAATTCCTTGTTTAACTGCTCGATTCACTTTCTGAATTCAACTGCCCTCTTTGGACGAGAACCGGTAGAGGTCCATTTGTAGAATTCTATAGTCCGTTCGGTAGTCGCCTAGAATTTTCCCGGCGCTTTCAGACTGCATTCTTTCGCGGTGAGTCATGAATTTATACGATGAATCGGCTGGCGTATGGGTCAGGGGTGGCTTCGATTCGTTACATTGCCCCCCTCCTTAAAGACGTTTCGCCCCGAAATGTCATCCTTGGCGTGTGTCAAAGATGGAAAATGATTACCGCACACCAAAATCTTGATACCGCTGGATGTGAATATCGTTTCCAACATGCTTCTCACAATTCTCCAATCCAGCCTGTCGAGCCCAGAGGGATTGCCAAGTCAACGAGATTCTGGTCGAGCGTCGTGTCCCTCAGTCCGGTAAGACTCCTCCAGACATCTTTATAGGACGGTTTGTCTCGAGAATGCTTTTTGGTCACCAAGTAGAACATGTTTCTCTGACCATGCTTCAACTGTAGCACTCCTCCGACTTCAGGATTCCGTTCTCGTAATGTTTGGAGCTGACCGAATTTCTTGTTGAATACCACAGCGATACCCCTGGACATTTGGAGCTAGTGCGTAATCAACTGGAACCTGGCTGGTCTCGTGGCTCTTCTTGAGTTACCCCATGTACGACCTTCTGTCCATTCGAGTATAAAGACATGAACTTCTGGAACGTCATGTCATCTTCTGGTGGTCTGAGGGCGCGGACTTGGTCGTGATTTCCAGAATTCGGAGCCAGTCTATTAAAATGGACGACCCTAGGCTTTCCTCGAGAGCCGGCCTTATATATCGGTAGAGATCCATTTGTAGAATTCTGTAGTCTATTCGGTACTCGCCTAGAACTTTCCCGGCGGTTTCAGACTGCATTCTTTTGCGGTGAGCCATGTATTTATTCGATGAATCGGCTGACGTATCTGTTAGGGGGGACTTCAGATTCGTTACATTATGTTCACGATTTCAGCTGTTTAGCAAGTTTAGTTTGTTGGTGAGAGGCATACGAGTTGAAATTGTTTTGCACGTTCGGCAATTTTCTGCTATCGAAAATAATGGATCAAAAAATTTTGCCCCGGGACTTTTGAAGCCTTGTTTTATTGATCTGCCCTAAGCGCTTTCTGTTCAAACTAATTTCTTATTCTAAACCAAATTATTATTCTTACTTTTTCAAATTGTCATCAGCACTTTCAAAAGTGATATTTTTTCAGCTGGGAAAACAGAAACAAAACGCCAATATACCATTTCCTGTCTTTAGGCGTGGCAGGTCATCTCGCTCTCAATGCAATGTTCACCTTGTTCTTGCTAAGCATATCTAGTACTAATTATCCTGGTGGTACTGCCATTTCCCATCTGCACCGACTCGCGAAAGCCGAAACTGGCGTTCGAGTCCACATATCGAATCTTGCCGCCCAGACTGGAGTGTCGAGATTTACACAGATCAATAGCAACTGGACGTAAGCTTTTGTCTTTCTCGAGAAACAGATTACTCTTTCACAATTTTTTCAGTTACTGCAAGAAAGAGAATCTACATCCAGGGGACTATGAACTGTATCGATATACACATCTCATCACTGAGGCGAAGAGTAAGTTTTCAAATGCCCTTAAACCCTATTCCTCCACACATGACATCATAGATACGGTTGAAGCTTTCCATCAGATCTCGTTCAACTATTTGACCATTCCTCCGGTCAAAATAAAGACGAAACCCGTCTTGTTCATTCTGAGAAGGCGGTCGAATTACAAGCAGATTTTGCAGTTGGAGGAAGAGAGTTTGGAAGACAACCGGGAGAAAATCGGGGACCAAGTTGGAATACCAGAAACACCGAAGAAGAGCGCTGATTACAGTGAAAAAAGCTCTGAGGAGATAGAAGAAATTAGGGGAGAATTTGTTACAGATGGCCAAACTAGTGATTTAACTTTAGAGGATGAATTTGAGGAACAGAGAGGAATACAGAAAGATGATGATGAGGATGTAGGTGTACAAGCAAAGTCTGACTCCGTCGATATCGAAAAATCCATCAAAGCTGTTCCCGAAGATTCTGCAAGTGACCAGAATACAGAGGCAAAATTCATTCATAAGTCTGTGGAACCCTCTGTAGACAAAAAAATTATCAAAACAGTTCCAAGAAGTAAACCACTTTCATTTGAAAGCGAAATAGTAAAAGAAAAGTTTCACCATGAAGTTGAGGATGAATCTAATGGAAAAATTTTGAAAGTTGCTCCAAAAGTTAAAAACTTCAAGATAGAGGAGAGCTCAAAGAGAACAAATACTGATGAAAATGAGCATATTCCTGAAGAGACTGACGAAACTGAAAACCTACTGAAAAAATTGCCAAAATTCAAATATTTGAAAAAAGATACCATCAACACAGCAGCAGTCGTTGATGAAAAAACTGAAGACACTGTTATAAAGAAAGATGCCCCGAAAATGACAAAAATCAAATATGTTCCCAATGTTTTGAATGAAGATGGCGAGAAATTTGTTAAAAGAGAAACTCTCCAAGGAGCAGAGATTGATTCTGGTGTTGCAGAGTTGAAAAAAGCGAAAATTATGGATAGAAGCCCTAGAAAAATCTCTGGTCAGACTGAATTCTTTGAATCTCCACTCCATGGTGTGGAACAAAGCAAAGAAAATGATGAAAGACCTGAATCCATTATTGAAAATATTGTAAACAAAAAGCTCGTTGCCGAGAAAAAAGTTCATCAAGAGAGTAAAAGTACAGAAGCAATTAGAGAAGAAACCGTCGAGAAAGAACCGCCAAAAGCGGCTAGAGATGTTTTGAAAAGAGAAGCAATAGATAAAATCAAACAACTCAAAAAGGGCAGAGAACCAAACGAAAAAACTCTGGAACCTAAAGAGAAATCAACAATCATCACTGAAACACAAGATGATGATGCTCAAGTGAAGGACATCAACAAAACAGAGAGCTCCGAAAATAAATACCACGTGAAAAAGAACATCAGAAAAATCATACAGAGATACAAGAGAAAGAAATTCGATGATGAATTGAACAACCAAACAAAACCAAAGGAGGTTAGTCATGCGAAAGACACCATCAGAAAAATCATCGAGGAAGAACGCAAGAAGCGAGAAGAAGAAGAAATTTTCAAGATCCAGCAACAGATCATGGAGATCATAGAAAGCAATCCGAAAATAATGAATAAGGAGCTGATCAAGTCCAAATTGCAGGATACTATTATGAACGAATTGGCGAATGCTATTGATCCCAACATTCTTGAGGATGAGGGTCATGTAGAGGTGCAAAGGGATTTGGAAGTTGTTGAACCAACGAGGAAATTCGATGGTGTGCCACAGAAGCTTTGGAAGGTGATTCCGGAAAAGACACACTATAAAGAGCCTTTCAAATTTATAATTACTGAGGAAATATCTGAACTAACAGAGAGCTTAGGGAATAGTGACGAAGATTTTGAGACAGGAGAACAAGAGGACGTCTCAGATAGAATAGAAGACTATTCGGAATATATTCCTTCTGAAATTCGCGGGGAAGAAACTGATGACAACAGTCTAGAAGAAGAAAAAATTGAGTTCGTTAAAAGGTTCAAGAAGGCTAACGAGAAGTTGGACAATATAATGTCTATTATCGATGAAATTGTTGATACAATAGAAATAACAGACGAAGATTCGGAAGAAGAAATGTTGGGTTGATGTTTCATGTGGTACGGTTGTTGAGTTTTTTTTTCAATAAATGTTGTGTTTTGATTATTTCCTGTATTTGTTTTAACCTGTATTGTGCAAATATGTAAAATACTCAAGTATATTACAGAACATAACAAAAGAAAACATAACATAACATGATATAAAACAACTGAAACTCGTAAAAAAATTGATCTTCACAGCATGGATTGTCAAACAGATCAACCTGGTATGAAACTATTTCATAATCAAAGTACGAAGAAAAATCAAAATTATCAAACATTAAAAAAAGGAGAAAAAATGACATCTAAATTCAAATCCAGTCCAAGAAATAGTCTCCACTTCCATTTCTTTTTTCAAACCATAAAACAAAATGATGTAAACGTGAACATCCTATGTCAGCCATCATCAACCAACTACTGGTACCAACCTAACTTTGAAGGGGAATTTGACAGCAGGTATATGTTATTCAGCGTTGGTAGGTATATTAAAAAATACATTTTTGACAATCGGTCTAGATGTTAAGAGAATGAATGCTTTTAAAATTCTTCGGAGAAGTTGAGCATATATGTTTTCATTTTCAAAAGGATAAAAATAACTATGAACTATATGAAACTGACGAATTATTGAAATGATGCGATATCATACTGAGGGGTGACATTGAATAAGAAAATCTTAGAAATAAAAAACGTTCACCAGCACAGTCTTTTTACACTATGGTAATTTTACGCCAGTGGCATTTTACGATTTTTCATTACCGAAATTATATTCCCAAAGAGTTCGATTTCGATAATTCATTCAAGTAGATTCCGACTGTTCAGTATTTAGTTTTTAGCAAGTCATTCAGTAAAAAGAACGAACAAAAATTTCAGAAACTCACCTACATCCTGTTTTCACGACCATTCAAAGTATGGTCGGTTTTCAGCATAAAAAAGAAAGTTCCTTATGTACAAATGAGTAAGACAAAGTAACATCCAAATATACGCCATTTTATTATAGCTCTAACAAAAATCCAAAAAGTATAATACAAAACTCTATGGCTACTTACAATATTCTTTATACACAACAAATATATTCAACAAACTAATATAAATAAATACTTTTATGCATTATCTATCCACGGTAGGTATTGCTATTTAAAATACAAGTTTTACCTGGTAAGGGATCAGTAGGCAAAGTGAAAATATGAATGTAAATGTCATTTTTACAAGTAGTTTGTGAAATTAGACACGAAATATTTATATAATGTAAAGTACTCTCCTCTCCGTCCCGACTTTGATGTGAGATGGAATTTTATCGATACCCAATAGAGGAAATTATGAAAATATTGTTGTAAATTATCCCCAGAAAAATATAGCGCCGGCCGCCGCCGGTATTCGTCAATCGATTGTGACTTGGCCAAGGTCACGCTCAACTCTACTTGTGCTTCTCGATCGATCTAAGAGATGTCGCGTCGCTTGAAGAATATACCTATCGGCTTCCGAAGACTTTCATTGGCAGATATAAGGATTACCAATAGGCAGATGGGGGTAGTCTAGTGAAATGAGGTTAAAAGGTGATAGGTTACTTTTTGTGTTGTATTGTCAGTGTAGTAGAGAAATGAAGTTGAGTTCAATTCTACAGTGTGGTCAATTGATCATTGTCGAACCCACGGGGAAAACATAACAATATCATATTGAAGTTAATTCCTAAGATCTGTCGAATAGGGAGATTCCACTTTTTCATATTCCTGTTAGTACTGCGTCAAAGTTGACAAGTCGAAGCGAGTAGAAAAAAATATTGAACCAATTGCTAACTTCTCTTATCAATGGAAAGATCCGAATTAGATCATCCTCAAATCAATACTTGAAAAAACGAGAGGGTTCAAATCAGAAAAACGCACGGGCGAATCAAAGAAATCTCGTAGGGAAAGTCCCCATCACTGTCGGTATCTATAAAATCCCCACTCCATCATTTCTGGATCCGTACCTCCCTGGCATATAAGTCGTTATATCTAAGAAGTTGATATGATATGATATTATCTGTTACAAAATTTGCAGTCTCCATAACGTTCTCAAACAATCCTTCAAAATCCATCGACGTAACACTATTCGTATATTTACCACTTGAATATCTCTATAAAAAACTTTGTATTGTTTTGTTTCTATCTGAGCCTATTCTACGTTAAAAAATCTTTCAATGCAAATGCCAAGTTTCCCAATCTTTCCATGTCTAATTTCACAGTTGAATATAACTCCAATTTACTCAAGGTATACATAGTGTTGACTACTCTCCGATACATATTAAAAATCAACAACTTTTCACAACCTAGAGACTAGACAAGTACGCGTGGATTGTGGTAGAAAAACATCAACACTCGGTATACATTTGATACCTCTTATATTAATCATATAGATAGAATCTTGTTGCGAAATCTAAAAACATCAGATAGTCAGTTCACGTTATGTTGAAAAGTTGAAACTAGATGAAACTCGTTGCAGATGTGAGAAAGGAATATTGATAAAAATATTTATTTATTCATATAGTTTTGTTTTCCCAAATTCAACTATTAGTAAATATATAATGTTGTTTCTGGGACCAAATCCCATGCTTTTTCTTATGGTGCTTCATTTTGCAAAGTTTCAGATCTCTGAGTGGAGCCTTGTGGAACACCCGCATAATTTATGATACAGAGTAACGTCGGTTAGACAATCAAGATGACGGGAACAAATATCGGTTTGTTGTTCCACATGGTTCCGATCGGAGGTCTGAAGTTTTGAAAGAAGAAGCATGGGATTTTGTTCCAGAAACAGTATTGTACATCTACTACTATTGACATGACTGGAATCAATTCAGATGACTACTTTCAAAATAATTATATGGTTGAAGTCATGTTTAATGTGTATCAAGAACATATTGATGTGTAATGTATGAAGGAAATATCTTCAATTTATCAAACAATTCAATGCCTTTCCTATAAATAAGGATATACATGGAAATTATTAGGTACAAGGTCTACGACTTTGAACATCTGTGCATGGGAATATTTATAATTTGATGATCATTACCGAACTAAAAAAATTTGTCTTGATGTTTTTGGAAACTATGAACTGTTTCAGATTTTTGACTTTTTTAGTCACTTTATAGAACACTCCTGAACTATTTGAAATAGGCTTATTCTATCCTTCGGTAGTATGTAATACATCAAGTTGGAAATTATTGAAACTTTTTGTATTATGATCATGTAGTTTAGAATATTTTAATAATTGAATATTACTTTTCCAAAAACTTTTGGACAATTTATAACCATTGTGTATGAGGAAAATTAACTTCAGCACCCTCAGTCTGCTTTTAAAAATGTTTCTCAGATCTGCAATTAATTTTATCCTATACCTATATCGCATGCAGACATTTCATTCCAAAATATTTTATTGAGTATTCTATCAGACTTTCACTTTGAAATTATCAAGGGAACAGCTGCCTCGACAATATCAGTAATAATTGGGAATACATACATATACATACAAGTCAGACATATGAGTAAACCGAATGAAATGTCTGCTTGTTTACAGTTCAACTCAAAAGTGATTGTTTCATAATTTCATACTTTTTAGTGAGAAAACAAATTACAGAGATTTATTATATTATGCAACAATGAGCATAATGACATTAAGTTTTCTTTACTTGATAGATCAACACTGGTAGAAGATTCTTCCGGAAAATCCAGGGAAATGATTGAAACCCTTCTGGGAAAATCAAATTAGCAACAGAACCCCAGCTTATTCAAACTTTTTTTCAAACCCATTAATGATTTCACTTCCATTATCTAACATTTACACCTTGAACTTTCTGCAATTTTTATCCAGGTTTCCATCCATCATAAAATCTCAAGATGTTTGCTTCTCTACACATTTGAAGTCTCACTAATTAAGAAACTCTGTACAAAAACTACGCAGCCAAGGAAAAAACTTGAAGAAGAGTTAGCGGAGCCATAGAAAATCGCGTCAAAAACTGAAACTTGTGTAATTTTGAGAAAGATGTCAAAATGTTCAGTCCAAGATTCAACATTTATAGAACACAGCCTTCTTCATGTTCTAACTCTTGCTAACGAGATTTCCCCATGCAGAGTCAACCGAAAACCTCAATTAGGTTTAGATATCACTTTCTGTTCACACATTCGTCCTAACAATAGCGTCACAGAATTAATGGCTCGGAGTCACTCGAAAAACAAACCACCCGTTCCACTCTCCAACAAGGTACCTCCTAGACGTACCATTCTTTGATATCTTTGCTGTCGCGCTTCTTCGACTTCTGCATCTGACTCTTGTCGCCATTTCTCAGCGCCCCGTTCACCTGGTACTGCGTCTGGCCGTTCGTGCTCGAGGTGTTCCCCAGGAGCGCGGCATTGGGCCCTTGCTGGTAACCCTTCGAGTCGTCCACTTTGAATGACCTGTCGCTGCGGGATTTGAACTTCAGGATGACTAGGATGATGAGGATTATTGCGATCAGTGCGCCAGCAATGATACCTTTAACAAGAAATTATGGTTAGATTTGGCAACGCTTTTTCTTTGACAGAGTAGCATTTTTCCGAAAGTAGGACGTTCAGTGAAATCTCACTACAAAGTGTTATTTGAATGTAATACAATTTGATTTGAATCCCGCTTTTATTGTTACCTACCTATGATGAGCGCAACAATCTCCGATGTCTCAGAACTGATCCTCTCGGGTCGTTTCGTCGAATGAGGTCTGTAGCTATTGGGGGGGTAAGTCTGCTCAGGGGGCAACATTGGAATAATGATGGGGTGGATTGTTGATCTCTCGGTGGTGGTGGTAGTAGTAGTGGTGGTGGTGACGGTCGTGGTGAGTTCAGTGGGTGTGTGTGAAACTATCGTCTCTTGTCTTGTGGTCTGCTGTGGAGTGGTCGTCGTTTGTTCCATTATTTTTGAGCCGATCGTGGAAATGTTAGTGAATATCTGACTGGTTGTCTGGGCTCCTGGTATGGAGAAAGCTTCTTCTGTGCTTTTGGTGCTCGTGTTGTCCGAGGTTGAGCCAGATTCGGTCAGGTCTGGAAACGATAATGGAAAACGTTATAATGACAGTGGAGGAAAGGAAATCAATATTGATATACATGTTATAGCCTTTTCAAAATTTTTGTCTAGAAGCATCCATCACCTCCTTCTCGTGTGTCTTCAATGTTCTTTTTTTTCCTACCTTTAGCTTTAGCTTTGGTGGAAGAACACAAGAGATTGAAGAGAGCCAAAGTGCCAAATGTCAGACGAAACGTTTGGAACTTCAGGTTTCCTTAGTATTATTCGTATTATTACTTGTATCACCCTTCATAGCAGGATCCCTCAAGTGAATACAGAATGCCAAGAATTGAAAAACTTTTTGCCCATCCACCACAAATGTTATCTCCATTTATATAGGTTTACGGTGTCATATCGAACGGATTATAAACATAACCTCCACCGTGCCGCACCGCCATTGTAAATAATTGAAAAATAAGATGATTCCATAAAATTTACCCCCCGTAACAAGATAGCTTCTGAATATCTTCAGCTTCAGAAATGCGTTCTGTTCACAAAAAGATTTATTATCTGGACGAAACGTAGGTGAATGCTGGTCACACAGTATCTAGATCTGGCAAGATACTACTGTAACTAGTTATCGTCAAGCATTTGTGGACGGTTTATCAACAGGGTTACGCGGACCAACGGGTAAAGGGCAACGACTAACTGTCGCCCATATAGGTAGCGAGAGTGGCTTTTTAGACGATAGTGCACTAATTTTTTTATCCAAAAAACGGGGGATTACCACGAAGAAATGGACGCCCAACGCTTTGAAGGATGGTTTGAGTCCCTTCTTTCATGAGTCGAGCCAAATTCGGTAATAATAATGGATAACGCTTCTTATCACAGCCGATTAGTACAACAGCTGCCAACTTTGACCACCAGAAAAGCAGACATGCAGAGTTGGTTAGGACAAAAAGGAATTTCATTTTCTGAGGACATGGTTAAGGCCGAGCTTATGAGTGTCATTAAACAGCATCGTGACAGATATCGCCAGCATGTGGTGGATACAATAGCTCGTGCTAAAGGCATCACCATTTTGAGACTTCCTCCTTACCATTGCGAGTTGAACCCGATAGAATTACTCTGGGCTCAAATTAAGGGTTACGTAGCTCGTGAAAACGTGACATATAAATTAGAACTCGCAATCGAACGGATACGGAAAGAAGATTGGGCTAATGCTGTAGCCCATGTGATCAAGGAAAAAGAGAAAATGTAGAGATTGGACGGGATGGTAGACACTGTTTTCTACCAAATAATAATAGATTTAAGTGTGACTGTATTAGGCATAATAAGAAAATGTAATCAGTTTTACCATTGCCACTAGGTAGCGCCACCTACTATAACAATTTTTACGTAATTACCTATGTGTTTTAATAAATAAAAATATTATTTTGGTACGCTTCTGCAAAGTTGGTAAGAGGATTATCCGTTGGTCACTTAAAGTGCGACGTTGCTAATGAATCACCTACAATTGAAAATTGTTATAGTATAATATATATTACCATTAAGCACCGCGTGTGTCTAAAATATAGAACTACAAGTACGCTCGGAATATGATTTTGTGTCGTTTAATGACATTTTTGTTAGTTTTCTTCGTTCCTTTCGAATATTGGGATATTCTTCAATGCTTTCTTCATACTGCTTTTGCGTACAATGTAAAATACACTTTTAAACTTTATAAAATGTACGTGGACCCCTCTGTTGCAACTATTCCAGTATGTGTATGGCTTTCATTATTGATTTACATGGTCTGATTTTGATACTTTGTTCGTTTACATTGTTCAATACAGGAAATACGGTCTCAACACGGATCCCTGCAGCACACCGCACCCTTACCAGTCGTTTTCGTCGTGGCCTCCTCTGTCACCTCTCCCGACCCGGACCCATCAGGAATGCAGTCTTCGTCGTCGCACGGTTTCGTTTTGTCATCGCCTTCGGGCTTCTTCGGTTTCTTGGTCGGCGGCGGCTTAGTGGGCGGTACATACACCGGAGTGATGAGGTCGTCGTCTCCTGACCCGGACTCCGGCAGCGGAGGGCACTCGTCTTCGTCATCCCCGTTGCACCCTGAGCCCGCGCCGCTGAAGACGAGGTCGTCTTCCAGGCCGGGGAACCCCGAAGCGGGTGTCTGGAATAAAGGAATAGTATGAAAATAATCTTATGCACTCTAATACTCCTGCACTTGACCTAGTATTCGAACGGACATACGAGCAGAGAGGGCCAAAGAGAGTATCCGCTGGCTGAAACGAGAACCTGCTCATCGATAGATTTGTAACGCAGGACTCAATACAGTATAAGCGTAACCTCTCTATGGCCTGGATCGATTACTGTAAGGCATTTGTTACAACATCGCATGAGACTATTATACATTTGCGCAGATGCCTTGCGGTACCCGACAAAATAGTCCTTTGAACAACTGACACCACTCTGGAGGCTATGCTGTCTAACATTTATTAAACGATCATGACAATAAAAATTGAGTACACAGGAATTATAAAATATCAGATAAATTCAGATAATATATTTATTAATTCCTTTACTAACCTGTTGCATTTTTTGAAGATGATCCTGCCTGTCCATTATTCCAGATATCAACTGTACGTCGCCTCTGATTGAGGCGTGAATATCCTTCTCTGCGGCCAAATCCAAAATTCGTAGTCCATTGACCACTACCCCCGAAATAATACCGGAAAAGGGCCTTTCTATCCTTCCCTTTTTGTTCCATTTTCCTCCTATCTGTATTTGCGATTGACTATTGAACACTTGTAGTTGATGTCCTGTCGAAATGAAGAAAGATTATTGTGTATTGTTCAAACTGAAGATATGAAATTGTCATTAGATGGGTATCTTCTCCTGAATATTATTGTAGATCATGCCCGAAAGAAAGTAACGCCGTCTGCCACTGGTAACTATGAACCAAACGTGACGTAGCTAAGAGCGCGAGAATCCCCAATGTTCCCTGCCGCTCGAGAAGCAGCAAGAACTTCAGCGAAAATTCTACGATGGTCAAACGATTACGATATTTAAACGCAAGCGGCGGGCATATCGACACAGTCAAGTGTACAGTCAATTGGACGTTACAGTGAGGTACGCGAAGTTATCTATTAAGGCGGTAGACATTCAAATAATAGTTGAAGTTTTAGTTGAAATGTTCGTTGTATTTAAAGTGGAATAAAATTAAGTTTGATTATTCAGTGTAGTCAATTATCGATCAACCCACGGGGAAAAAAGTAACAATATACTAAAATCAAGTTACACCTGATATTTCTAGCCCAATATATTTTCCAATTTCATCTGCTTATCGTAACAAATTATGAAGGAAAATCACAAATAGTATTTTTAGAAAAGACTGTTACTGTGGATTGTCACTATTTATGAACATAAACATAACATAAATTTTATAATGACGAAGATGTTCTCAGATAGTAAATGCTTTATAATCATTATCGAAGATATTTAGTAGATAATAACCTAGTGGCAAGAAAACAATAGTTTTTCTCAGGTAATTAATTCTTGTTATCCAAAAAAACTTTATAAATATGACTTATTTAGAACACTAGACTATTCAACTAATATCTATGATGTACATCATAAGATTCTCTACAGTTATTTCCTTTTGGAAGTGGGATTTTGCTACCCCAAATGTAAGTTCACCTTCCTCAAAATGTAGAAAGCTTCTGCCTCATCCTTCTGAAGCAAGTACTTGAAGAGAAGCATCAGTTGATCAAAGGTATGGTGAGTCTGTAATTGTTTGGAATAGAAGAGTCTTCGTTTTTATGGTCGCCTATCGATGAAGCAATCCACAATCTGCTACTCCCCATTCTGCCAAGAATTTAAAATTTTTGACAGATGACGGAGGGTACTAGGTAGTTTCTTCCTCCAATAAGAGTTCAGTCAATCCGGACCCGGAGCTACAGAGTTTTCGAATGTCTTCGGGGGTTATCTGTTCGCACAGTTCAGGCTGTTAAAACTCTACAGGCTTGGAACTGCGCTTGGGTTGAAGTATCTAAGTGGCTGCCAATGATCAAAAGCATTCCTCTAGAAATATTTCCGCTGATCATCAGTTGGCGTTGAAACATATAGGTATTCTTGAAATAAGCGGGTCAGGGTTTCTCTGGTCTTTCGTCATTTCCCTATCTGTATCTGTAGAGTAGGGAGGATGAGTGTAGACTCACAGTACTTAGGCCACATGTGACCCATTTTACATCCTCCCGAGGAGTTGTCCTCCTAGGTCATCGTCCATCCTTACGGTGGACAGGTCACTAGGAGACATCTCTTTTATATTGGCAGGTGTAGGCCAAGACTCGCCGAACACACACTCTCTTCGGCAACCTTGAGGTATCTCACGGTGGCCTCAGCGAGAGTTTTAGAAGGTGCAGCGACATTACTGTCGTTGCGCGGTGTTTTCGACCTTTTTGAGGTTCCCTCCATGGAGGTGCACATGTGAGGGAGCTTTCCTGCAAGGGCAGCCGATTCCTTGCCTTTATTCAAGGCGGAGCTCTTGGCGTCCGCCGCAGGAAGTGCCCTTGCTGTTGAAGTGGAGTCTTTTTGGCCTTGGCGCCGCAAATGCGCTTACGCCTTGGCCTTTGTATCACATCACGAGGTGATCTGCTATGTCCAGCCTCATTCCAAGCGATAGATTGTGGTGGACATTTCTGTTCATCTCCAGCCAGCGCCATAGATTGAGGTGAGCACTGCTTTCCAGCCTCGGGATCGGTTTTTGTTGTGTGTGTTTGTTTTTGTGTTTGTTTCATTTATGTGTGTTCCCACGAGTAGCAGGAAAAAAGGGTGGTCACCTCTGGTAGAGAGAGCTCTGCATTACCAGAGGTAGGCTGATTACAACGAGGTTTCGCACAGTTCCCCAAGGGGATCGTTCGTAACTGCTTATCACCCTGCGGCCATTCAGCTGTCGGCGCGATTCCTTACACCTTAGCTTGGGTAGGCTGGTCCACGGTGGCATGCTTTGCAAAGGCTTTTGGGGAGTTTTAGTTCCCCTCACCCTACTCATTTCTGCCACCGACCTGGAGTCCGGAAACCCCGTCCGTAAGACCACATTGTCTTCCCGTACAGGGCCTCCAGTCCCCTGGCCGTTTCCCTATCCACCACCTGGGGACGTGCTCGATAGGTAGCCCAACCCACGGACACGGAACTTGTTATGGAACAGAATTGAAAATGCAAAGATTGCTTCCTAAATCATAGAATGACTTTTTTGCCAAATTTTCTTGTATATTATATAGATTAGATCGATATGATTATTAATCTTCGAGAAGAAGTTACTCTTTCAGTGGAACGATGACCTTGGAATATTAATCTCAGTAATCAGGACTAATAATGATGCCATGACGAATACAAAATAGTAAAATGAGGGTTACAGGTGTATTTTGAAGGGGAAGAAGGTTTTACCAAGCAATATTTTTGGTAATGTCCTGGTGGAATGGCTTACCTGAGGGATGATTGGTTTGGACGTTGTAATCGTCGACTTGTAGAGTAGAATTGTGACCGTATCTATGATATCTTATAACGTGATATGCATTGTCGTTTACTTTGACGGATATTTCTCCAAGGAGTAGATCGTTCGAGCCCAAGTTGTAAACTACGAATACATTGCCTTCAACCTTAAAAAAGATACGGTTACTCAACTACAAATCCAAAAAGTTTCTAGTCCTAGATGATTTTAACAAAAATTGTTGTACTGTAACTATAAATGATGAATCTGTACTTGTTATCTTCAATTAGTTACGTATCGTTGATTACTCACAATGTACATTTCAATATAATCATTGGAAGTCCCACTGACGATCCTTAGAAGAACAGCTTCAGATTTGGTGGTGACGAGACCAATGGTGATCGTATCCTCTTGCATTTCTGGTCTGGCATCTTCTGGATATGTGTATGTTATAATACCTCGGTTCGGACCAAACTCGTATGATACTGATTCTACGAAAGGAAAAGTCATTTGAATTGATATAAACAAATTCATGATGATGATTCACAATATGGAATTGATTTTGAAATACGCGCTTTGCCACATAGTGGTATCCTCAGTTGAACTGGTACTCTACTGGTCCCCTACCCCTACTGATATTCTTCTGGTAAAGTACCAGTAAACTGGTGCCCTACTGGTTCTCTACTGGTACACTACTGGTGTTCTACTCGTAGAATACCAATGAACTGCTACCCTACTGGTACTCTACTGGTCCTCTACTGGTAATCTAATGGTAACCTACTGGTAGAGTACCTAGGAGGAGATTTCAACTCCAAATCCTATATGTGGAACTCACCGGTGGAACACAGAAGGCGCCAAATTCTATCTGAATGGCTATGCGAGGAAGATCTCTTAGTGCACAACGTGGGAAATGTGCCAACTTTCGTGAGGAGAGATCCTATATTGACCTGATTTTCAGCACCAACGAAATTGCAAAATTTGTGAGCGGCTGGAAGGTCAAAGAAGAAGAGAGTCTGAGCTACCACCAACATATAGTCTACGAGATCATAGGAGAACAGAGCAGAGACACGATCAACGAATGCAAAGAATGGAACAGTGAAAAAAGACTTATAGAAAGTCTTTGAAGAAATTGGACGGAAATTGGACTAATAAAAATTAAAAAGGCTGCTTGTAACAAAATTTTCCCGAAGAAAAGAGTGAAAGGTGATGGAATTCCGGTATATTGGTGGACTGAAGAGGTTGCAAGAAAACGTAAGGCATGTGCTCAGGCTAGAAGAAGGGTGGTAAGATCGAACAGAGGTAATGATGAACCTCAAAAAAGACTGAGGCAAGCTGAATACAAACAAAGCAAAAATGATCTGATGAAAACAATAGTAGGAGCCAAACAGAAAGAGTGGAGATCACTGATAGAAGAAGTAGATGCGGATATCTGGGGAAAGGGCTACCAAATAGTAGCTATCAAGCTTAGAGTCAGACAGCCGATTGGACTTACTGAAGAAGAACAAATAAAATTTGCTAACACGTTGTTTTCATCTCACCAGATTAAAAAATGGGACAGACTACCAACGGCTCCGGAGGAGATACCACCGTTCACAATGGATGAACTCATGGAAGCCAATAAAAGACTAAAAGAGAAAAAAGCCCCCGGTCTGAATGAACTCCCAGCGGAAGTCATCAAAGTTGTCGTTAAGGCACACCCGGAATAATATTTGAGGATAATGAACCTATTATTAACAAAATGGCAATTCCTCAAAAAATGGAAAATAGCCAGACTCGTTCTTATCGAAAAAGGTAAAAGTAAATCGTACAGGTCCATATGCATCCTGAACATCATGGGAAAATTCCTCGAGCATCTGATCAAGGCGAGACTCTTGAGAGAAATAGAAAATAAAGAAATGAAAATCAGTTCGGTTTCCGAAAAGGTAGGTCAACAACAGACACACTGGCGAAGGTACAAAACATCGCAGACCAAGCAAACGAAAGGACTAGCAGAAAAAGGTGCGCCATGATAACGTCGGATGTACAAAACGCTTTCAACTCCGCGCAGTGGGAAGGGGCTTTGAACGAAATCAAAAGAAGAGATGTACCTCCATACCTGTACGATATGATTGCCAGCTACCTTGAAGAGAGGGAGTTATTAGTAGGACACAAGGGAAAAATTAACATCACCTGTGGTGGTCCACAAGGATCTGTAATTGATCCCACATTGTGGAACATATACTATGATGGGGTACTGAATCTGAAGGTCCCTAGGGAAGTTGACCTAATAGGCTACGCAGATGACCTAGCCGTAGTGGTGGTGGGGAAAAATGAAGTGAGTCTGGTAAGAACTTCCAATAGAACTGTGAAGGATATAGCCGAGTGGATGACAGCGAAACAACTCAAGCTTGCCCCTCAGAAGTCAGAGGTAGTACTGCTGGCAGCAGGAAGAAAACTGAAAAGTATTACAATTGAATTGAAGGAAACGAACATCCCTAGTCAAGAATCTGTTGAATACCTGGGAATCCACATGGATCGAAATATGAAAATTGGAGCTCATGTTAGAAAAATAGCAGAAAAAGCGGGAAAAGCATAAGCAACATAAGCAGGATACTGCCCAACATTGGGGGTCCTCAAGAAGGTAGCAGAAGAATTCTACGCTCAGTCGCCCAGTCGATCATGCTATATGGCGCAACGATATGGAAAAGAGCCATGGATAGAAAGGTATATAGGAATATATTACTTAGTGTTCAACAGAAAGAAGCTATAAAAATAGTGTGTGCATATAAAACAATATTAACTAAAGATCTGCTAATGATTGCAAGTACCGCCCCCCATAAATCTGCTGGCGGAAGAGAGAACAATGGTACAGAACAACGTATCGAAAGGGTTAGCAAGGTTACAAATTATGGAAAAAGACGAAACGCAGAAATGACGACAGGAGAAATAACACCGGAAAACATAATAGGGAAGATGCCCAGAAGTATAGAAAACTGGGAAGCCGTTAGTAAACTCTCCAAGACCATCCTGACAAAGAAAAGAACTAGATGAATAACAATGAAGTACTGAAGAAAAAGGAAGAGCCCTGAACCATCACTACAGTCTGCTAATCTGAAGTAATGCCTGAGTTCCAGAGTAGCTTGCTTGACTCATGAGTGGTTTCTTAGTCGGTAAAAATCCGACACTATCTGGTTACAGGGCGACTAGGTGTCTTTCGAAGATTTTTCCACTCGCCGATAAAAAAACCAGTGACCTGGTAATCAATCAAGGCAATTAATTTCTTTCATCCAATTCTAGTGGACTGGAGAGTTTCAATCTGAAAATACTCATTAAATAAAGTGCGATAGTGTATTTCAAGAGAAAATACGAGTCAGTTAAAATTATTAGGGTAATTGAAGGTTTATTCAAAAAAGGTTGATAGTCCCTCAGTTCAACTGGTACTTTACTGGTACTATTCTGGTTGAGCCTATAATTAATGAAGAAAAGAGAATTGAAACTCTCTATGTTTTTTACCACTTTTATTTGTAACTAACGTTACGACAGTTTCATCCTAAAAGGACATTTTCATTCATATACATCGTACTAACAATGATTGATTACATTAGCCCTTACATAATACCACTGTAGGTAATAATAGAGGTACTTAGCTTGATTGAGTACCTGAATTTTGTTTACTAGTGACAATGTGGATATGCAAATATCCACATATAGGTACAAAAATACTAAACTAAAACACAAAAAGTTCAATTTGTTTTCTCACAAAAACTCACCATCCGAACACGTGGGTCCTGTAAAAGAAGTCATATCACAGTCGCAAGTGTAAGAATTCCATTGCTGAACACAAATACCGGCATTAGCACAGACATTATGGCTGCACTTTGCAGATTGACCTAGAAAAGAGGAACGAGAGTCAGGAAAAGTAATATACCCACTTTAAAGGCATCCATTTCATAGCAACTCATTGCCAAGTTGAGAGCAATTTTATCCTTTACAAGATGGAGGTGAATTTCATCGTTTAGATTGGTTATCCATGCGGAATGATTTCGGAAATATACTGAATTGACAGCTTAAAACTGGATGATAAAATCCATATGGCAGATACTTCGTAGCAAATTATTTGCTAACAAGTATGTTCACTTTATTCAATGTGTCATGATGCATGGTTTCAGGCCACCAAACTTTCCCTAACCTTAGTCCCCTTGAGCTATTTTGGCGACCATCTTGTCTTCTGCCACTTTGATTTTTACTCTTGAACCGTATCATTCAATATCTGTATCATGGGGATGCATAAAAATATCATCTATCATTTTTGACAGTTCACCATATTGGATTTAAAGTGACGTCATTCTATTTTCCGTATTCTTTTAAGCAAACCCGTTCATTTGATATCCATGTCATGTGGTGCACGAAAAACTAGTGTGCCTTCTTAAGTGGTTCGCCATATTGAATTAGAGTGGCCACACGTTATTTTTCGTATTCTTCACAGCAAATAATTTTATTGAATCCCAATTTATTTGCTTAGGGAATTAATCTATGTTGGCAAAAGTGCACTCATTCAAATGGCGCTTATTTTGAATGAATTGATTAAGTATCTACTGAAATATTAGTTTCAAGTAGACTCATAAAAACGAAGACTCTAAGCGTCACTTAGTTCGCTTTGTTTTGATGGAAAACAAATCACTCAAGCAGTGAGAATTGCACGATTCCAATAAAAGGTGGCCTTGAGCCGAAATTGCTTCTTTCGAACCTCGAAATCAAATATAAATCCAGTCGTTGATGACAAAAACAAACGAATATGGAGTAGCACATTTGTTCAAAGTTCGGTTAGACTCCGTTAATTGTCTTCGTCAAAGCACTTCATCAAATCACTTTCAGTAAACATGGACAACAATGGCGAACAGGTGTTTCAGAAATATACAATTATTGGACTAGAGGCTCTGGAAAAACATGGGTATGCCAAAAAAGTGGGAATTCGACGGGTGGTATTATATTGACTTCGACTGTGGGTTGTTTGAAGGAGAAGAGTTGAAAAAAGAGCATATACATAAACAAGTTCTCATTGAAACCAAGACTGGTTTGATGACAGTCAAAGTCATTCAATTTCTGCGGATGCAGAAATTCTTGTAGTAATTCTGACCTTGCCGCAAAATGGTGCTATAATTTATTTCAGTCATCAATAGATCTTCAATAAATGACGTTGCGAATTAAATTATTGATTAATGAGAGCACAAAGCTACGTAAGTTGAGGTTCGTTGATATACTGGGATTGTGTTTAATTTGAAAAATTATCATTGCTGTTAATAGACTCGTTCTGTTGACGTAGCCTTTATTAGAAATATACTGTCAATATATAGATAGATGACATAGAACGGAGTTCTAATATATATGTTCCATGATCCTTTGTACTTTGTTTTTTATATATAATATAATAAAAGATGGTTGTGTTAATTATAAATGTATTTAATGTGGATAAATGCAATACAGAAACGCATTAATCTTATCAGCCTTTGCTATTTGAATTGCTCATTAGGAATTGAGTGGATTGTGGTGATGGTGTGTTTTGAGAGAGCACCAAAAGTGATGACTCGAGTAAAACGTTATATATATAGCTAGGAACAGTCTGTAAAATATTCAAGAAACGATATGAACCACAAAGAAATTGAAAATAGACGTAAAAGAAAGATGTGCGACAAAGTAAACAATTGATTCAGCTGAAAATTTTGTCATACTTCAGGGTCATAAACACTAACATAATAAGAAAAAGTGGATCATCGAAGTCGCGAAATTAAAAAATTCCCTTCATTTTCTGAACTCACAACATATATCATATCTAATATAAAAACAGCGTGACTACTAATTTGGGAAATAAAATATTATTCAGATACAGAAGTTCGTCAGAATCGTAACATGATCCAAAGCAAACATGTGCCCACATTTCTTTTCAAATACTGAAAAATTGAATTGATTGCATAAGATCCGGCAACACTAGTTCTATGAACGACGCGACGTCTATTTATGGTGAGTAACGACGCAGCCGACTTGTAACGTAAATAACTTGAGAAAGTGTTTCAATGTGACGTAAATCGGTTGAACTTCGAGTACTAATTCAGCGGTATGTACATTTTGTTCGCAGAAGAAATTTAACACATATCCTCGTAACGATTTAAACTGTTTTATTCGCATTCAAACGAAAATAGCGAGACATGCAAGTAACTCAATGGGCATTCCTTCCATATTTTGAAAATGAAAGTAGATTCAATAACTTGTAGCCTAAATGAAATGTTGCCCCAATGAATGTGGCTCAAATTTAACCTAGATAGGATGTAGCTTGAATAAAATGTAGCTTAACTGAAGCTCAAATAAATGTAGATTTAATAACATGTAGCCCAAAGAGAATGAAGCTCAAATGTTGCCCAAATAAATGTATCTCAAATGATGCCTGGATAGGGTGTAGCTTGAATAGAATGTTGCTTAACTGTAGCTAAAATAAATGAAGATTTAATAACATATACCAATTTAGCAGTATGTACATTTTGTTTGCAGAAGTCATTTAATACATATCCTCGTGTTTTATTTGCATTTGAACAAAAATAGCTAGACATGCAAGTTACCCCTTCCATATTTTCGAAATGGATATAGATTCAATAACATGTAGCCTAGATAAAATGTAGCTCAAATCTTGCCTGAATAAATGAGGCTCAAATGATGCCTAGACAGTATGTAGCTTGAATAAAATCGCCGAATGTAGCTTAACTCAAATAACATGTAGCCTGGAGAGAATGTAGCTCGAATGTTGCCTAAATGAATGTAGCTTGAATGATGCCTAGATAGAATTTCGCTTGAATAGAATGTAGCTTAACTGTAGCTCAAATAAATATAGATTCGATAACAAGTAACCTAAAGAGAATAAAGGTCGAATGTTGCCTAAATAAATGTAGCTTGAATGATGCCTAGATAGGATGTAGCTTAAATAGGATGTAGCTCAAATATATCTACATTAAATAACATGTAACCTAAAGATAATGTAGCTCAAATGTTCCTAAATAAATGTAGCCTAAATGATGCCTCGATAGGATGTAGCTTGAATAGAAAGTAGCTCAATTATAGCTCAAGTAGATGTAGATTTGATGAAATTGTAGTCTAAAAATAATGTAGCTTGAATGTTGCTCAAATGAATATAGCTTAAATGATGTCTGGGAGAATGAAGCTTGAATGGAATGTAGCTCAACTGCAGCTCAAATGTAGCTGAAATAAATGAAGCTTAAATATTTCCGGAATGAGTGAGGCTCAAATAATGCCTAGATAGTATGTAGCTTGAATAGAATCGCCGAATGTAGCTTAACTCAAATCAACAGCATGTAGCCTGAAGAGAATGTAGCTCGAATGTTGCCTAAATGAATGTAGCTTGAATGATGCCTAGATAGAATTTCGCTTGAATAGAACGTAGCTTAACTGTAGCTCAAATAAATATAGTTTCGATAACATGTAACCTAAAGAGAATAAAGGTCAAATGTTGCCTAAATAAATGTAGCTTGAATGATGACTGGATAGGATGTAGCTTAAATCGGAGGTATCTTAACTGTAGCTCAAATAAATCTACATTCAATAACATGTAACCTAAAGAGAATGTAGCTCAAATGTTCCTGAATGAATGTAGCCTAAATGATGCCTCAATAGGATGTAGCTTGAATAGAAAGTAGTTCAATTATAGCTCAAGTAGATGTAGATTTAATAAAATTGTAGTCTAAAAATAATGTAGCTTGAAAGTTGCTTAAATGAATACGGCTTAAATGATGTCTGGGAGAATGAAGCTTGAATGGAATGAAGCTTAACTGTGATTAAAATGTAGCTGAAATAAATGTAGCTCAAATTTAGCCGAAATGATGCTAGAATACTTTCTAGCTCCAATTGGAGAACTGATCTCAACTAGTATATTTGATTGAAAAATACCCCTACCTTCACATCCCGACGTGACTAACGAGCTATGCACAACCGCATCCTCCATGATATTCGGCGACTCCCCATTGAGATCCAAACCGGCGATGCACCCTTCAAAGCCGTGCCTGGACTTGATGTCGTCTTGGGGGAGCAGCGCGTACAAGTCCTTGTAGACGCCACCTAGGTACAGGATGCCGTCGAGCTCCAAGTTGCCAGTGCCGAAGTTTGCCGCTATGACGATGTCGTTGTCCACCATCAGAGTATGCTGTTTGACGGAAGGTCTCCTGATTCCAACCGTATGCCACCGGTTATCGTTGAGGTGGTCGCGAACTGTGTCACGAAGAGTGACAGTTCCGTCACCTAAAAATAATGATAATTATATTTAAAGAGTTTACCGTTCGTTCACAGTGATTCAGAATTGGATCTATTCGATTTGTATGTCATGCAATGAGGCAACAATTCATTTTCGTTCATCTCCATCCACAAATTCACTTTCAGGAAATAACCTCAAACTAACCTCAGCTATCAGTAAACTACTAAACGGTCAATAACTCTCTGAAAATTAAAGGGAACATCTGTTCGTGGACGAAACATCTTCAGTGAATGCAGTATCCCTAATAAATTGTCACCAACTCAAGAAGATCACCGAGATCCTTGAAGAATTCTTCGACAACCACTCCCTGATGATCATCACCAGAAAAACTTCATATGAACTACTTTACTGACTAGTTTTGATCATACTTTGGAATCACAATCAATCATTGCAATGCTTCTTGCGACAACCAAATCAAATTTCTCTAAAGATAAGAACCGACAGACCTGCCAATAAAATGTTGGCAATATGTTGATGGATTATGACACCATATTTGTTAAACACATCAACTTTTCAGCAGTGTTGCAGTGTTGGTCTAAACCAAAACAACTGTCCTAACCAAACCAAACTCAGTTCTGAAGTAAAAATGGAACTGAACATTGCTGCTGCTGGTGCTAGTGTTGCTTCCATCATTGTAGCTACCAATGCTCAAAACGAAAAAGAAAATGGTGACAGAGACAGTTTTCAACAAATGGGACAAGCTATGACAACTCAATTTCAGATTGACTTTTGAACGAAAGTATATCGTTTGGCAGTTTTAATGTCCCGCAATCTGGCAGGAGCTTCAAACATTTCAATGAGTTCCCTCGCCAGTTCTTTGGTCCATATCATGTTTATTGCTGAATAAAATAACAAATGAACTAGGTCCTGAAGTTCGAAGATTGTGATGAAGAAGCTCACTAGCAACATCACTTGTTGACAACACCATATAGACTGAGTGATGTTTTTCATGTAAATAGAAAACAACAGCATCATACAACACATTTCTTTTATGTCATGCCGCCCGATGTTGACCAGTATCCATCAACTATTTAACGGAATACATGTTGACAACACCAATATCAACATGTTGCCAACATTTTGTTGGACTGTTTGTACTTTCCTTAAGAAAAATCGACTCTGAAAACTCTCAGCACCCACTTTTCCATTTCTTAATAGTCAGATCAACTGCAGTGACTCGAGGAAATTTTCAAGGTTTCAGGTTCAGATATTCATACTAGAAACTTCAATAAACCAACACTGGTGAAGTTATATTTCTTCAAGGAACAACGTTGAATTCTATGCTGCTAATGTTGCTAATAACAGTATGAAATCATACTTAACTGATCGATCCCAGAGTGTAATCATCAACACAACTCAGAGCCAATCTCTCATTGTTAAGCAGGGAGTTTCCCAAGGCTCAATTCTTGGACCTTTGTTATTTTTAATCTATGCTAATGATCTCATTAATTTCCTTCTTGACATTTCTAAAGTCCAAGTAATATCATATGCTGGTGATACAAATGTACTCATAACTGGTGAAGAAACTACTGAACTTGTGATAACATCAGAAATGGTATACAATAAAGTAATGGAGTGGTCCGAAATAAATCATCTAACGGTAAATGTATCTAAAACCTCTTTGATGAAATTTACTTTCAGGGAACTATGGAACAGTTTCAAATTTTTAATAACAATGACATGAATGTATATGCTAGTGAAACGATTAAGTTGCTTGGACTAACAATCGGCTATAAACTATTGTCCTGGAAACCACACGTCGATATACTTTGTAAAAAGTTAAGAAAAAATTGTTATGCCTTGAAGTTCTTATCAAATAATTGCCACGAAAACATAATATTAATCGTTTATTATGCAAAAATCAACTGTCATCTGCGATATGGTATTCTTAACTGGAGTACTTATACCTTTTGGTCACGTGTTTTCGCTTTGCAAAAATTTGCTATGAGAATTGTTGCAGGACTAAATTGGAGGCAGTCATCTAGAGAGGCTTTTAAGCGACTAAAGATCTTAACTGTGACAGACTTGTATCTGTATGAACCGTGTATATATGTATACAAACATGACGAAGAATTTCAAGAACGAAGTTTTAATAATGAACGAGAACGGGAATGTTTCCTGCTTATTCATCAAACTCAAACAACTGTTCATGCAGTTACAGTTTCGTAAGAAGGTATCATCTTTCCCTCCAACCGATTTCCTGGAGTCTTTGAAGTCCACTAAATACTCGTTAGGACAACAAGAGGATTGTTCCGAATTCTTGGGGTTCTTGTTGAATACTCTTCGTGAGCAAAACAATAGCAAAATCAATACTCCTGACCGCTCTGGACTGAATGATTCCGTACAACCCATCTCGTCTTGTGTTTGTAAATCTTTTGCTGGAAAAATCCTCACTTGTTTACTTTGTGGTAAATGTTCAAGAAGTAATGAAAACTTATGTGAATTTCTGGAACTTCATCTAGCGTTTCCTAATACGACTAATTACCAGTCCGTGCAAAGCTTATTGTTAAATCATCTGAAAATGGAATTTTTAACAGGCGATGATCGACTGTATTGTCAAACATGCGCCAAACTAACTGACTGTTATAAGGAAACAAGTATAGCTGAGGCACCTGTCAATCTAATAATAACACTGATGATTTTCAAACAAGACTCAACCTCTAACGGAAGCAAAAAACTCTTTGGAAGGTTCGAAATAGATGAACATTTCAAACTAGCAGACCACTGTTATAATATTCATGCAGTCATTGTTCACTGTGGTTCTGGCGTTGAATGTGGTCATTATTACGCCTTGGTCAAAGAAGAAACGGCCTGGTATAAGTTTGACGATAGTCGTGTCACGAAGTGTTCTGGTGATGCATTGAATTTATTGGAGCCTCTGGAGACACCCCACATTTTGTTTTATGAGAGAGAGGACATTGTTAGATCAAGATCTTCAGATGATGTGGTGCTGCAGGTTTTTCCGGGTTTTCCTGCAGCTGAAAAAGCAAATGCGCCACTGGAATCAATGAAGTCGCCCCTGAGCGCCAATTAATTTTTATTGTTGTATTTATTTTATTTTTATCGTTGTTTTAACACAAAGATAAATTATTCAATAGAACAGATTATCAATATGACACTAGATCCAGGAATCTTCTTGTGGGATGGTTTTCAATCACCTCGAGGTCTCTATTCAAACATCTCTAAATAATGATATTTTCAAATCCAGACTTGAAGCATTACTTATTGAGAAAAACCATTACAGTATTAGTGAATTTATGACATAATACTACATTTTATAAAGATGTTTTCTTTTTGACAACATTTGTTATTCGTTTGTTCGAAGGTGATTGATAATGTTTCATGATGAATTTCACTAGTTCGGACTTTCATTGTCTACTATATAAAATGATTTGAAATCCCTGAAACAACTAAAAAAAAATTGAAAATGAATAGCTGAAAATAACAATTATATTAACCAAAATAAAACTGAAATGAAATAATAGTGAAATAAAATACAGGTAAAAATAGAACAATTGAATAAATAAAAATGAAGAAATGAAAAAGAAAATAAAAATAAAAAGTGGAGAGATTCTAAGTCACGTTAGTTCACGACGTTTCGATTATTAGTATCTACAATCGACTTTTTAATTGAAAAATAAAGATTTATTATTATTATTATTATTACATAAGGAAGTTTACCAGCCAGACATCTTTTTCTTTGCACTCCACCTCTGGAAGGTTGCTGATGGCCTCAATGGAAGTAGAGGTCATCAGTAACTCGTTCCAATCACCATCGACAACTGTTTCAAATGCCCCTACATAGCAACAATTCATGGCAAACTCCAACAAGTGATGGATATCTGTTTGAAGAATACATTGAAACTGACATTCCGAATACACCAAAGGAATTCAAAAACTCAATGGATATAGATGCATATCATTATCAGTATACTCACCAACATTCACAATATAGTTGATATGCCCGTCTACCAGTTCCACAGCTACAAAATCTTCCTTCTTCCCTCCATTGAATAAAATCAGTCCGTTCGCCTCTCTGGTTCTGAACATAAAATCGATATGTATGCTGGCGTATGCTCTCAGCATGGGTAGCCCGATGAAGGTGTGTTTCGACCGAAACGTCACAGGTCGATGCAGATTGTCAGTGGCGTGCTTAACGAATTTTGCTGCCACCTACGGAATGAAACATGAAGGAATGTATCCAAATAACACTTCATTGTGAGTTTTATAAAAATAATTGTGTGAAAATCTCACATTTAACAGCTACTTGAATAAGTTAACATAGATTCTTATCAGAATATTAGCAAGTTCTATTACAAAAATATGGTGGGTTTATATGATAACTGGTGTTATTCAAGGATCTATTCTTAGACCGGTTATCTTACTAATTTTATAAACTTGCTAAGAGAGACCAAACTGCGTAGAGGTCAAGTGAGTTGATAGAAGTTACTTCATGTCAGATCACGGAAAGCACAACATATGATTATAGAAACAGGAAAGTAGTTTTACATGCTTTCTTGGGTATTGGGGAAGTATAATAATAGTTTGAATTGAAGGGGTTATATTTTTAGGAGTGATTAATTTTTGGGGAAGAAAGTTTTTGGCTTTCAACAACTCCATCTCCATTCAGTGTTCATATAGAAGTATTTGTTTCGAAAGAATTTTTTTCTTTCGTGAAAGTAGCTGTTTCAGGAGGACTTTCTTTCAGTTTGTGTCTGAAAGTTACTTCTTTGCATGATTTACACATCCATGTATAGAGTTACTTATTTTTAAATTGATTACTTCCTTCCTTTCTTTGGAAGATTCCCTCATCCTTTTTTTGTATCAAGATGGAGTAGTAGAAAGCCAAACACTTTCTTTCCCAAAAATATAATGATAATCTAGAATCGATAATCCAGGTATCGAAGGGAAGAGAAATCCAGAAGACACGCTGCAAGTAGACTCGGAGGAAGATTAGTAACATGATTGATATAGGAGCAATGGCAGGCAATAATGAAAGTAATGCCTTTATAATGTCCCCACAATGTTCTTATAATGAACTGGGCTATTCAAACTATTTAGAAAATGTAGAGCTGTATAGCCGCATACAATAAGCAGAAAGAATCATATACAGCTCATTATATTGAAATTTAAGTCAGTGGATTGTAGAATTTGAGTTACTGGATTGAATGATTTCAGCAAAATATGGAAATTCAAAATCAAGTATGGAAGAAGATAACCAACAAACGAAAATAATGAACCGAACTTTGTATCAATGTGTTGAGGATGCATAAAACAAAACAAAACATACTTATGCTGAAGATTTTATACAAACATATGTTTATAACCACTTTATGGTTATAAACAGCAATGTTCGATCACCGCACGCGGTATTTGAAGGTTATGTTTTGATCGATATGTTGGAATTTGGTGTTTGGGGCGAAATGATCCCTTTCTGTGTGTTTAAAATGATCCCTGGAATCATTTTACCCCATTAGAATTTGTTATTTTTACAGATCATGCCGAGAATTTATATACGGAAAAAATCGCCAAATCGACATTACGATATGTGTCCCAGAATCAACGTCTTCTGCTCGAGCGCGAGCTTTTAGACAAGCCTGTGGTGGATACATTTTTTTCGACTTTGAAAAACGTGCAAGAAAAACATTATTTTCCACCCCATCGGATATTTAATGTTGACGAGACGAGTTTATGCACTGTCCCAACAAAATACTCTAGAGCAGGGGTGGCCAACTTGATTATTTTATTTTATTTATTATTTATTATTTGTTCAATTACAATGAAGTAAAATGCCCAGATGAGCGTAGAACATGTCAGTGTAATAAATATACAGTTAAAAACATTTAAAAATTGAAATCAATTAAATGTGAGACATTTTAGCAGGTAAAATCTGAAAGGATAGTATCTTTAAAATATTCATCAGTTGAGTAGTATGCTCTATTTAGAAGAAAATTTTCAAGTTTATTTTTGAGTGTTGTTTTAGAGAGGCTTCTTAGTGCATTTGGAAGTTTGTTATGATGATGATTAGACATAAGATCTCCTGTTTACTAACGGAACCCTGTGCGATCTACCACTTACATACATGCAGATTCTAATCGTGATTTACATCGGTGATCGTCGAAACGTCGTAACTCCAGTACCTAGTCTCTGTCGTCAACTGTCAACTGACTGAATGAGACGTGACCACGGAACTGATTGACACACGCCCCCCCGCCGCATTCCACACGCTTCCCTCTTATTGGTCATCGCGTGCCGAAAACAAAAAACTATACTGTGTAGAATAGAGGATAAATACCGTGACGGAACAGCGATTGAAAAATTATACAAGATGATGCTGTAGTAGCTGGTAATTACGTTCCGCAGTCTGGTCTATTTATTTATATTTTTTGTCTTGCCACGATCGATTGGACTAATGGTCGCGATCGACTGGTCGATCGCGATCGACCGGTTAGCCACCCCTGCTCTAGAGTGTTTGCACAAACAGGTCGTAAACAGGTGGCGCCAGTGACTTCAGCTGAGAGAGGTGAAACAACGACTGCAGTGATTTGTACCTCAGCTTCTGGAACTTGTGTTCCTCCAATGTTAATCTTTCGCAAAGTCCTAATGAAAATGGAATTGATGGATGGCGCACCTCCAGGCGCAATATGTGCATGCAATCCATCTGGTTGGATGGAGCTAGATGTGTTTTCTCAGTGGTTCGATCACTTTTTAAGTTATGCCAAACCGACAGCAGAAGATCCGGCTCTTTTGATATTGGATGGTCACCTATCTCACACAAAAAAATTGAATGTGGTATTAAAAGCCAGGGATAATCACGTCACTATTCTATGCCTGCCGCCTCATTGCACCCACAAACTCCAACCCTTGGACGTCGGAGTCATGTATCCGCTAAGCGTTCATCATAACCAAGTGTTAGAGAAGTGGATGAATAACAATCCTGGGAGAGTAGTGACCGTGTTCCAAATAACGAAAATTTTCATAGAGGCCTATCTAAAAGCAGCCGTTCCACTGAATAGTATGAATGGATTCAACAAAACAGGAATATATCTGTTCAACCCTGACATTTTCACTAATGTGGACTTCATTGCGCTGAAACGACTGAAATGGATGTTGACAATGACACGGTAGAACCTGAGACGTCCAATCCTCCATTAGCAGAAACCGAGCAAATGGATGTCCAAGAATCCCTTCATTCAACACCTCAGCTGTGTCTGATTCAAATTTCGACTCCAGTGGTGACTCAAACATCTCCACAAGCTCCTCAGTCATCGTGGCAAGCATCGTCCTTCCAAAAAAATATCTCAACGTCTGAATTTTCCGGAAGATTACCTCCAGCTTTGGCTGCTGGTCTTCCATCCACATCTTTTGGTGTTGTTAACCCCGAGAAGTACGACCAATACCAAAGATAGTTGGAAAAAGAGCGAGTGCAAGACGAATAAGAGTAGACTCATCAGTATTGACCAGCACACCCTACAAAAAATACCTTGAAGAGGAAGCCAAAAAGAAAACAGATATAGAAGAAAACAATGCCTTTAAGGAAGCGAATAAAATAAAAATCACGGTGACCAACAAACAGAACGATAAAGGAAAAGGAGGCGGGAAGGAAAAGGAGGCGGAAAAGAAAAAGGAGAGGGAAAAGGCAAAGGCAAAAAAAGCAAAACAGATCAGATTCTTCTGAAGAGGAGAGTGATACCGAATGCTTCTTCTGTACTGAAAGCTATTCCAAAGACAGTATTCCAAAGACAGTAAATGGGGACATGAGGCTTGTGCGGGAGTAGATAGTAACGATGAAGGTGACTTTACCTGCCATATTTGCCTCTCTAGTAATCAATTTGAAAGTGTGAAAGAAAAATTATGGCTATCGGTCTTTTTTATTTCTTTCCTGATAAAAACATTTTTATTTTTTGAACGAAGAGTTGATTTTTCTGTTGCATTTAGACATTGATAAGGTATGAGTACTCTTTTTTGTTTTTTTTTTATTCAGAAGAAGAGTTTATTTGATTACCTATTGCTTGACTAGGTATGTTGTTAATTTTGCAAACCTTTCAAAAGTTTGTTGCAATGTTTTATTGTTTAGTTTTGTTGATTGAGTAGTAGATAATTACAAAAAAAGATCTCTAATGATACTAGAAGACTGCAAAAGTTTTGTGTAACTTACTCAAATTGTTATGAACAATACATGATTAAAATGAACAGCTGAGTTTTTTATTTCATTAATGTTTATTAACTTTTGGTATAAAATGATTCCTGGGATTATTTTACCCCTACCCCAGGGATCATTTTATACATAGGTGTGTATAAAATTATCCTTTACTAAACTTTAACAAAAACCTCTAATACAAGAAAACTACATACATATAGTAAAAAATAAGTATGCAGTTACAAAGTTAAGTAAATTCACTACCTCCAACAACAGAATTCTTGCGATTTTGCCTTCAACTTTAGCCACAGTTACGTTTGTCCCTTAAGGGGATCATTATACCTCAACTTCCCCTGCTAATCACTGATTAATTCAATACAAGGTCATCACAAAATAGAACTTTGAAACATATGTTCCCTGTACCTCTCATCTGCCCATGCTCATCAAACTAGACAAATCAATGAATTGTTAACGGAATTCAATATTCTACAAAGCAATCATCCAAATGTGTAGATGTGAAATGCCCCCACCAATGGAACAGAGGCATCATTTTTAATATTAAAAAAAATGGGTATGCATAACATTATTCATAGAACAAACAAGCTGGTAAGTAAGTGAGTAAATGAGTAAGTGAATGTTTTCGATTCAGTTGAAAGACAGATTCATATTCGTCTGACAGCAGAAAAATATATAAAGACATGAAATGAAGAGATTATATAAACCTAGGAGAACCAATGAAAGTTAGGGATACCTATTGTATTGTAGCCAGCAAATGAAATAGTAATTCTAACCCTATATAACCAGACATACTAATTTTGCAGGTTGGAGAGGGAAAAGGAAGGAAGAAAAAGATAGAGGACGAGAGAGAGAGAGAGAGAGAGGGATCTATTTGTGGTGGTTATTCGTTATCCGAATATCAGAAGAGACAAATCATGATTAATGCCAACATTTTTTTAGCTCTTCCAATGAATTGATTGATGTAGCCGTTACTACATGGTAGGAAATCATGATGAAGAAAAGAGAAATGGAACTTTCTATGTTTTTTACCACTTTTATCTGTAACTAACGCTGCTGCAGTTTCGTCCTATACGGACTATCCAAACTTATACAATAAACTATATGGTTTCAAAAGATACTATCTAGAAGTAAGTCAGGAAACGAAGCCGGAAATTCACTTACAGATTAATATACCATCAGGTCAAAAAACCAGAAATCAAGAAATGGGTATCGCTAACATATTTTGGAAAAAGAACAGAGATAATTGCGGGTTTCTTCAGGAAAAAATAATGTGGAAGAGCTGTTGAATTATTCGCGTTTGAAGTAGGTACACATGATTAGCAAAAACACCGTACTTTGTGACACTGACGAAAAAATTGACACAATTTCAATGTATGTCAAAGCACCTCCTATTTTCTTCTCCTTCGAAAGTGTATAATAAAATATTTAGTTTCATTCATATGTCAATATCTTCATCACATTCAATTGATGCTGCAGTTGGGAGCAATTTTAAAATAGCTCCGTTAGAGAACAGTTGATTGAGTTACAACGTGACGACCTTTAATTTTTCTTATAATTTTTTTTCTGAAAATATTCAACACTGCTACTAACCTTGATATTTGGGAATCCTGCTATAGATTGCTCAGTGCTCAGAGCCCTTGCCAGCTCAATATAAGGTATGTTATTGAAGTAGAACTGCTGGATGTCTCCAACGAAATTAGGAACCGTTGTCGACATGCTGATTTCCTCTTCGAGGTGATACAGTCCGCCCAAATGAATAGTACGCCACTGGAGGGCGGAATATTTACCCTGAATTTCAGCTATAACAAGAAAAAAACGTCTTTAGATCGATGATACATAACGATTGCCTGAAAAGTTCGTAGACTGTCACAGAAAAAATGATTAATAATATTGCACTGCCCTCATTGCATTTCCAACAGAACAATCCACCAGAATAAGCAGTACGCCACTGAAGGAAGAAATATTTACCCAGAATTTTAGCTGAATCAACAAAAAACCGAGTCTGGATAGCAGTGAAGAGTGAAATTGAAAAAAGTTTCGAAATGGATTCCCGTAAAATTAAACGGTTATTGGCAGAACATTTTCTGTTTGCTTTGTTATTAAAATCCAACACTGTACAGTTGTTGCTTCATATATTTCAAGGATTATTTGGCTCGCGAGGCTGAGCACAATTTAATTTTGTTGAATTGTATGTTTGCCTTCTGCCGTGAGGTACGTCGATAGTTAGGGAAAATGTATCTCAATTTTGAAGCTAGCCTCGTTGATGATGTTTATTTTCAATTATTGAATATTCGATGAACGTGTCTGTGACTTAGATGAGTGTTCGAATTGCGATTTTCAATCGGGGTAAAACACACAGAAGATACGAATTATAATTAATGGAATCAGTTACTTTTTTAGACCACTTTCATCACCCTTTGATTTCTATTTAATGGTGTCGTGTAAACTATTTTTCAGCATCCAAACTTTATTAAAAATGAAGAATTAATTAATATTCGCCAAATAGTATACCGGCGAATACGCCAAATGTTACACAAGAGAATTCGCCAAATGTTACATAGGAGAATCCGCCAAAAAGTATAAAGAGAATTCGCCAAACAGTATAAAGCGAATTGGCAAAATAGTATAAAACGAATTCGCCAAATAGGATGCATGCGAATTTACCAAATATCATACAAGCGAATTCGCCAAATATTATATAGGCGAATTCGCCAAATATTATATAGGCGAATTTGTCAAATATTATATAGGCGAATTCGCCAAATAGTATACACACAATTCACACACAAATAGTATATCGTTGTCAAATCCGATATTGTGTATTTTCTATATACACACATCGGAAAAGTCTAGGGATATTTTTATAACATACTAAATATCATAAAAATAAATGGATGAGGTCGTTTAATTTCGATTAAATTGGTACACTCGACTACCCTGTAGATTTCTATGGGTTGAACAAAGCCTGCAAAAACGGTAACTAATCTTTTATCAAGTTTTTTACAAACTGTAGGTTTTCGGCTAAAATGAATAATCTGAAAGTGTCGAGTTTGTACATTCTATGCAGTTCTTGCTCAGCAATTAAACTGGAAATATTGTGCTTTAACATGGAACACCATCACTTACCATTGGCTGAGATGAATAGAGCTGTAGGGCTTCTTCAAGGTGGCATGCGACAAAATGATGTAGCTCTTCGTTTGGGGGTCTCCCAAAGTGTTATCAGTCGATTGTGGCGGCGTTTCCGTGAAACTGGCAGTCCAGCCGAGCAACATCCAGGGCGAGGACGCGCTACAACTGCAGTTCAAGACCGATTTTTGGTCTTAACCGCAAGAAGACAACCGACAATCACAGCACCTGAGTTGGTTAACGTGTTGCAGCAGACGCACCAGGTAACCATTGGTCGTGATACTGTCAGAAATCGACTGCATGAAGCAGATCTCCACAACAGAAGGCCACTTAGATGTACACCTTTGTCGAGAGGCAATCGCGGTAGAAGATTAGAGTGGTGTCAAGAACATCAAAACTGGGATGCAAATGATTGGGCCACAGTTTTGTTTACAGACGAATCCAGATTTTGATTTCATTCAGATTCTCGTCGAGTAAGACTGTGGAGACGACCTGGAAATAATGAACGTTTGAGACACGTCCAGGAAGTCTACACATACAGAGGTGGCACAGTAATGCTATGGGGCGGAATCATGATCGGCGGCAGAACCGATCTCGTTTTTCCAAATCGCTCCCTCACAGCTCGACAGTACCTCGACACCATTCTTCTACCTATTGTCCCTCTGTTTGCTGGTGCTGTTGGTGAAAACTTCCACCTAATGCACGATAATGCTCGTCCACATGTCGCGCGTCTAGTGACTGACTGGCTCACCAACGCAGGAGTTGATGTATTGGCATGGCCAGCACAATAACCGGACCTGAATCCCATCGAGCATGTGTGGGACATGCTTCAACGAAGAATTACTCCGCATATGGGGAACATTCACACAACGTTTCAATTGAGAGAGCTTTTAATCGCTGAATGGGCAAATGTACCTCAACAAGACATTGACAATCTCATTTTGTCGATGCACGATAGATGTAGGGCCGTAATAAACCAGCGTGGAGGCCATACTTTGTACTGATTCCAATTTTTTTGTGTTATGATTTTTTTTCGGGGTGCCAAAGAAGAGCCATATTTTTTTTAGTTTTGCTTATATGCGCACTCAGTATTTTTGACCATTTTATACATTTTGTTGTAAGTTACATTCGTTTAATAATCACCCGTCAACTTTTTTTTCCCTAAAGCGATCTAAAAAAAAATATTGCCATTTTTAAAAATATCCCTAGACTTTTCCGATGTGTGTATTTTGATAGTACTTGTCATTTGGAAAACAACGGCAATAGCATCTACCGTTATCAAGATATGCAAACTTTGAAACCGCGCATTTGTCGAAAGCTAGTGTGATGTCACGAGATATGTGCCATTGTTGGTATAGACTATAGAGCCTGATCCACGTCTGAACTTTTATAAATTGTAGCATTGAATGTTTGATGTTCGAAAGATGTGTTATCAAAAATTTGATGATGGAAGGCGTTGCTGAAGTCCGATTATTCAAACACGATTATTTGCGGTATTGAGAAATTGAAGTCAGGCAATATATTTGGTACGTTTGGGCGATAAATGAAGTTTAACTCTGTTCATGAATATGTGATATAGTAACGATTTATTTTCCCAAGAAATATACAATGTTTATAGCAGAAAAAAACAGTACCATCCACAAAATCGATTCGTGAATTCAACCCCATCATGGATCGAATGAATAACAACATACTCATGAATTCATTATTTCAACAGTGACATTCAATGTTTTTCTGATGGGAACAAAGCGAGCAGATGAATATCACTCCATTCTATTCATCCACCAAAAGGTAAACCAATTTATCGGCAACGCATGTCCCATTAGCTTCCATCAAAATATTTGCAGGATTCGCTTCATCTATCATTGAAAATATAATAAACCCAAAATACAACCCACTGAAATGTATTAGTTTCGCTGGCAAGTATTCACTAAAATGTTCAGCTCAAAGCATTGTTTGATCATAACGTAGGATTTTTCAGTGACATATTTCACGGGAGCGTAGCCTTTGTTGTTTGGATAGTAATTCCCAAATGCACTGGGAATTTGATATGTTTCATATTGAATTCATAATAGTAATTTTTCAGAGTAAACTAGTGTGGAAAATCATTTTCAAAAACTTTTTAATCTTGAGTGATGGAAGTTATACAAAAAAATATCAATATGATATCCATATTGAAGACTACAGGAAAATAACCCTTTAAGATAAGATAAGATAAGATATATATTTCATCTTTTTAGGTACACATGGTATACATAAGACAGGTCAATATAAACAAAATATAAAAGCTGAAAATGGAAGATAATTGTAGAAAAATATAAAATACATACAGCCACACTTATTTTAAAAGTAATATAACAAAAAAAAACATAACTCACTTTTCTTTATGATTTAAAAATTCTCTAAGTGAATAAAATTTGTTTTCCAATAAAAATGTCTTTAATCGTTTTTTAAACTTTTTGTGATCGGGAATATCTTTAATTTTTCCTTGAAGGTGGTTGAAAGCCATTGCTCCGGCATACCTTGGCGATTTTTTGTATTCCAAAAGATTACATTTTCTAAGATGAATTTGATGGTTTTGTCTAGTGGGGTAATCGTGTATTTCGCGAGATCTAGTGAATGAAGACAAATTTGAGTGGATGTAAGACAGTAATTTATAAAGATAGATACCAAATACCGTCAGAATTTTATTTTTGAAGAAGACTTCTCTAGCAAATGCCCTTTATTGAAGTTATTTCTTAGAGTCGCAAATGCAAAGAACGTTTTACCGAGTTTTTTGCAGAGAAATTCGATGTGTTTTTTGAAGTCAAGTTTGCTGTCTAGTTGTGTTCCTAAAAATGTTGTGAGAGCTGAGGTTGTCAAGGAAACCGAACTAATATTTAGATTCAAGTCATGAGACTTTCCCATCTTGCTAGTGAATTCAATGCAAACTGCTTTAGACATATTGTTAATAAGATGGTTTTTTTGGCACCATGCTGTGAAGTTGTTAATTACCTGGGTTAATTACCATGTTCAATGAAACGGGGCAAGTCATTAACATAAAGAAGGAAAAGAAGAGGGCCCAATATTCCTCCCTGCGGCGTACCAATTTCGGTCTGCCGTTCTTCTGAGCACGTCTCATTTATCTTCACTTTAATTATTCTTTCAGTCATGTATGAATGAATCCAACTGTTGATGGGTCCTCGTATGCCTATTTTACATAATTTTTCACACAAGAATTTAGGATTTATGGTTTTGAATGCTCGTGTGAGGTCAAAAAAGATATCACAAACATGTAATCTATCATTTAAATTTTCATGAATATATTGTATCATTTCGGCCGAGACAGTCTCGATCGAGAAATTCTTACGAAATCCATGCTGTTGTGGGGAGATGATATTTATATCGAGAAAAAGCATAATTTGTTCATATACGGCTTTTTCTATCACTTTGGAGAATTAGTTCAAGACGCATATTCCTCTGTAAACAAGTGGTTCCACCACGGAACCACCGGAGCTACAAAAAAATTGCTGACTGAAAATAATTTATTCTCAAAAAATAAAGCTCAACATTGTTCTAATGAAAGGCAGCAAAACAGTTTCTCATATCTTGAAGGCAAAGTCCAACATTACATGAAGAACAGTGCCATTAGGTTCTTTCCTTGTGCTGCAGTGTGAACATCTAACTTTATTACCATGCAGTGGCGTATGTGCTGCTTTGTCAGTACAGATTTCCAATGGAACATGAATTTTAAATTTAAATTTTTCAAACAGGTTTTTTCTTTCTGTACTGACTCTTTCTTTGAAAAGGAGAAATGCGTTTACAACAGTCAGATCGACAAAATGCCAAAAAATCCGGTGCTACCATGTTTTAGATTTCCTATCGATCTCATAACATGACTTGTACATATCGCTTAGGTCTACAAAGCCCATATTCTTATTATAATCTTTCACCATTTTCAGGCATTGGATCTCTAGGCGAGAGCCGTCTTTTTGCTTTCTTGATACCTCTTCAATATCCTGAGGGTTGTGAAAGTTACGGATGAAATGAACCGGTTTATTATCATTATTTTATAGAAAAAATATACCACCAACTTACCATTATCGTTTGAATGTATAAGAAAAAGGATTACTATGATGATACCAGATATAAATCAATCAACCCTCAACTGACACTCACTGCACATGTACGACTTGAACTATTCGTACGCTATTACAGGGAGCTATCAGGAAACTCTCCTTTCACGCGATCCAGACAGTGGTCAAGTCAGCGCTTACTGGTCCGCGAGAAAATAATTTTTTGATTTGTGGTTCCATAGTGGACCCACCTGCCCACAAAGAAATAATTGACTCGTTCAAAAAGCGGTGCCTGTGTGAAAGTAGCGATTCACATTGGAAAAACGTTCCCAGGAAGTTTATGAACCAACCTCCATCAATATCCAAACAGACCCTTAATTAGCCAATATTTTCCTCCGTCCGATATCCCTTCCGCCTACATATTTTCGAGTGAGTATCGAGGAGAAAAATGCCTTTCCGGCTCAGCAATGGCCTTTCGCGCGATTTCCCACCGTTTCTATTAGCGTAAAAATGGATTACGTCTCCCCCTTCATTATTAATCTATCGTGATTGACGTTCACGGTGCGAATTCGCAGTGAGGTTCATTCGCGATTATAATTGGAGAAGTGACTGCCACCGCAGTGGTATCTGGTGCATGAAATCGAATCTGGATCGGCCTTGACCTCACCCCAATCCGGGGTTTATCCAGAACTCATGGAATTTTCGAAATTACCGATTTGTTCAAAAAGATAGGAAAAAAATTCGAGACAGTTCCATTGAATGACAATAATAACACGTGGGGCTTTACCTATTGGGCTCCTGAATCCACAAAACTGGCTTTTTTGGAGAAAGACGTCCCTCATGCGCTAATAGAAGATGCTGACATCTGTCAAATCAACAGCAACCTGTACAATTCCATCCAAATAGGGATTACACGAGATAAAAGCCAACTACGGCATTCCATCCCACTTTAACCCAAAGTGTGCTGCTTACCAGGTAGCACTGCCTTCGTATATAACCTCTTCACTTATTAAAGAAGCCTTTGTATGCTGCAGATGATCCGCAGACCGCTGGTGAGGTGAAATCGTTCTAGAAGGATTTTTATTTCTACTCTGTAGAGAGTTTCGACAGCTTGAGCTGAATGACGTTCAAAGAACCCATGTGGGTTCGAAAAACTTTGCTGTTCCAGGAATGGATAAGCTGGACACCTGATGGTGGAGAAACCTTCCAAGTACCCACCGTGATCTGGTCTGAGTTTTCATGACTGACTGATTTTTATACTTAGTCCTGTATGGTATTCATTAGGATATTATGGGAAGTTCTTCTGTAACTCTAGCTCCATGGAAAACCTGGAGGAACTCTAACCCATACTCTCAATCGGGTTGTTTGTTTATAGGCTCACTGTTTGAACCACCAATTGTTGTTTTTTGCACGTGCTTAAGCTTGGTTGTGGTTGGTGTAAGCGTAAGCTCTCCCATCAGACTGATTCTGATTTTTGTTGAAGGGATGCTTCTTCGTTGCTCAAAACTTCGTTCAAAAGAAAGACTTGTTACTAGTTGACGAATATTCCACTCAGTTGAAGGTTTCTTATATGCAGTCGAACCACGATGATGTTAGTCGAGTCCCAGGTACATTGTATGGATCGGATCTTTCCTGTACTGACGAAGGGTAATATCCAGAAATCGGCCTGTTGGTGATCTACTCGATTGATTTCAGCGTGATCCCGCAGCTTTATGATCGAAAAGAATCTGCAGGACTAATCTCTGTGAGGTGATTTGTATTAATCATTATCATACACATATCTATTCACTCAATACAAACACAGATATATCGAAGCTTGGGTTTCTAGACTTCAATATATTCATTGAAATGCTTGACACTGATCATATATTTTGTTATGAATATTAGAGCAGATGTGAATTATGAAGGTACTCTTATTCAAGAGTTCACAACCCTGAAATTCCTGGTCTTTCAAGTTTCTTTCGGCATTTCTTGTCAACTGTCAACTTCTTGTCTTGTCAACTGTCTTTCTATACAAACAGTGTTGCCATTATTACTAATGTTAGATCTAACGTAGACATTAAAAATCTAACAGGTCCTTAACAATAACAAACCTGGTGATGACGACTTCAATCATCAGTCTAGAGAATTGGAGCTAAAGCCATATATTTCACAGAACACCTTCTGCCATCATATATTTTTGGAAAACATCGTCGAAAATAACGAATAGTTATTACTCACCTCTTATGGGAGACTGACTATCGAGTTGCAGCTTCAAATTCGATCCTCTACGGGACATTCGTATCGTGTGGAATTCGTTATCATTGACGTTTTGGCCGGCCAACAAGATCTGGAAATTAAAAAGGCGTGGAAGTTTATTGGAAGAGTTGTGAAAAGTTCTCATATTTACTATACTTGTACAGATTTATGGATTTCGTTTGAAAAAATGGACAAAACTAGATGGAGTGTGATAGAAAATGAAAGCTGTTACATATTCATTACATTATTCTTGTTTTTTAACAAATGTGTGTGAATACCCTTAGAAGTAATCTGACTGAGTTATTGGAAAACTATTGAACCTTATCACAGTGCTACAGCCCATTCTTGAGTTTCAGAGAGTAGAAATGTTAAAAGAAATTGAAAATTTCATATTCTTGAACACAAATTCGTGAGTGAGAGAAATTGAAGCCAGGAAAAAAAGAAGAAATCATAACCTTAAAAGTTGTACTGTCAAAGTTTAGTTGAGTTGATTTATGTAATTGCATTTCACAAAACCCCATTTTGAACTATTTGAACTATCATGTACCTACGTCTTTAATCTACTAATTTGTTGGAATGAGTTAATGAATGATAATGAACAAGAATCTATGGAAACGCATATTGATGGGAAAGTTTTCCACAATTTGATCTTATTAAGTTTTATATTTATATTTCTGCAGATTGTCATAGTTTCATCTTGAGTACTTTTCAATCACATGCAAGAGGAAGCGCTTAAAAAATGACAGGATCTAAACTTTTGTTACTATTACTTTCTTCAATACAACTTTTTCAACTCATTGAACCACTAGAGAAGGAAAATAAATTGATATTCAATGAACTATTTATATTCGAATCAATTTTTTTCAAACTATCAGAATTTTCCTGAATCTTTCAACATCCATTGAGGAAGTTATAGTTATAGATCTGACATAACCTCAATTGTCAGTGCGCACATTATGTCAACTGTCATAACCTAACAAACTGAACATCGTCAATTCGTTCATTTCTTATTTTAATTTTTTGAATGTCTTGATAGTTTTTCACCTCTTCTTCTGAAACATACAAATTTAACAAATCGAAAATTATAGAAATCGGTTCACCTGTTCTTGAATTATGAATGGTGTGACTAACACTACGTTCATTTCTTTCGATATCATTTGGCATTCTTTCCAATTGAATCATCCCAACGTTCAGTCCAAAAGTTTTTGTCATCTCATTCATTTATCCTTCTCAAGATTCCAAAACTGTTGATACTTCCGTAGACAATAGACGTCTCAACCTCCGACACTTGCACCAAATTAAATAACAATCGACTCATTCTCTCCAATGACGTCGGAGACCAATTATTTTTTTGCGACATCACACAGCCTACTCACCTTATCCTTTTCTCTGTCCTCCTTCTTCTTCTCCCTGACCCCGAGACGGAGCGCCAAACGAATGCGACCCGCTGCCACAGCCAACTCGATTCTGTCTCCTGTCTCGACAGTGCTCGTGATCAGTAGCAATCCAAGCGGTTTACTAGTCCTGGGGAAAAAATTGGCAAGGTGAAGGTGGAATTCCAGTGGAAAGTTAGAAAAACTTGGAAGGGGACTTTAAAATATGATAATAGTACACAAGCACTAGGTAGAAGGTGGTGAGTGTGTAAGATAAAGTTAGATAAGATATTTATTGACCTTTAAAAATTACAAAAATGTTTAGGAGATAAATTCACAACATAATTGTGTAGGTACGTCAAGACTGAGGTGCAGATATAAAAATGTATATAAAATTTGTAAAACTATGTAGAAATAGAAGTGGTGAATACTGTAAAAATGAGATAATCCTAGAAACTAGGCTTTATGTAAGGTAGTGCGTTAAATAGATAGTGCTAAATATTAAGTCTATATATGGGAAAAAACATCTTCAATATTATAAAGTGGATTTACAAGAAATTATTTTTTAAAGTAGTGTTTAAATTTTTTTGTAGTGAATGTCTTCCAATCCACCGGTATAAGGTTATATAGTTTAATTGGTAGAAAGTCAGTCTGCTTCATTGTTTTAGTGTAGTTCACTCGAGGTAGTCTATACAATTCTTTATTGCGGCTTTGTACTTATGAATTTCACTCCCCGTAGTGTTCGCATTTTTTTGTTTTGGTGTATCCACAAGATGGCTTCTGTGATATATATACATGGAACTGTTAAAATTTGCATTTTAATGAACAATGGTTGGGCATGTTCCCTTGGTCCAGCCTTAGCCATAGTTCTAACAATTTCTTTTGATTTATTAGTAACTGGTGGCACGCTGAGCTTGTGCCCCATAATAGAATCCCATATATTAAGTGGCAGTGAACCATACCGTAATATACCGTTTTCAGTACTTCAATTGATACTATTTCTCTGAGATTTCTAAATAAAAATTGACTTGTAGTTATCCAAAGATAAATATTTGCGTTAAAATGAGCTTCACCTCGTGACAGTGTCTCACTTGACATTCTATCAATCTCTTCTAAATTCCTGCTTCTGATTGAAAAAGTTGTCTGATTGAAAAAGTCTGCGTACATAAATACATCTGCGATGTCTAAGAAGGTTGGCAGATCATTAATATAGATTATTAACAACAGTGGCCCCGGGACTGAACCCTGAGGCACACTATGTTTGATTCGTATGGTCCTGGAGGTCACTTTATTGTAGGATATGTATTGTTGTCTGTCCGTAATGTAAAATCGTAACAGGTGGTTTTTCATATGTCACTACTACGGCTAAACGTGAACCGAATAATAGTAATTTCCATGGAGCGCTAAGAGAAGGGAATGTCAACTCAAAAGTCCACAGAGGAACTTTTGTTGGAGAAGCCTTAATATACTTCAACAACTTTTTTGCTTTCTCGAAAGAGGTTTATTTTCGAACTTACGAAAGAATATGAACAATCAAACTTCATTTCAGGATGGAACTGAGAGATTCCGATTTTTCTGCACCGTGGATTCCTATGAATATTCTGGATTCATTGTTATACATCTTCTGGGTCTTTAATTAATCACTTTCTTCCTTCAAATATAAATAAAATAGAGAGTTTGAAAGACCAATCGACTCTATAATGTGTCGAATATACCATCGTTCAAAAGGCTGCCACGGCCTCTCTGGGTGGAACGCATCCAAAACCTCCAATTTTCCATGACTCTGGCTGAATTTGACCTTTTGCATGGATTATGTTGGCTTTGAGAACCGCTGTGGTTTGTGACTCATTTAAATATTTTTTGATGACGAAATGCAATAGCCAAAGCCATCACTATCAGCACTTTACAATTACTTTCAATATCTAACGATGGTGTCAAGACTGAAGATCAAGTCTATCTCACCAACAACCTGCGTTCAATTCTTCAACGAAAACTTTTTTCATGACGTCATCAAACAAATATGTGCTGAGCGAAAAATTGGGCTGACGTAAGCGCGCCACGTGACTGGGAGGCCTGGCTCGTTAAGGGATACGCCTGATCCTGATTTTCTGTCTGCTTGAATTATTTATGTCCACAAAAAATTCAAATCTCCCGCCACGATGTTCTGAAACACAGAAGCGTGCGCTCTGATTAGCTGGCGAGCTGCGAGACAATTTGGTACGCTCTGATTGGCTCACCGCCCTGCTAACTGGGTGACAGGACACCACGTGATGATTTGATAGACTCTGGTTGCCTGGGAGAGCTGAGAGGTAACCTGACAGGTGTGATGACTGATGACCATTGTCTGCCTGAAGTGCCGCAATACCTATCAATACCGATATCAATTGTCAAAGTTTAGGAGTTGTTGTTTAGGACCCTATATAAACAAACGACTACCTTCAGAAGACTCCATAATGAAGTTGAACTGAGAGCTGTCGCTTCCAAGTGTTGGAAGGTGAGTTAAGAAACTCAATAACTCTTCTTTTACATACTGTATATCAAAGCGTTTTCTGAAAAGTCTTCACATAGTAACATTGGCATTTTCCGTGTTCATCGATAATGTATAAAAATTTGATCAAACTCTAACAAGAATTCAAATAATGCGAAAACTTCGTAATGGTAGTTTAACTTTCTGATAGTCACGCAACGTATCGACCTTGAATTATTAATCCGCCTTCAGTTGCTCTTTTCGTTGCTGTGAAAAGAATAAACCTTTTCAGTCTGATCGTTATATCACAAATTATATTCATTAGAAAGGAGGATCTCTTGTGATCTGTCGAAAAACAAAAAGAAGAAGAAAACTGTTTTTGACTGTTCTGAAAATGAGGTTATTGTTCAAATTTGGCGGGCTACATAAATGTTATTTATGTTGGTACAGTTGTTTTGAACATATGTCCACAATTTCAGTTGAGAAAGATGAGAAAATTGATATGGAGATTCGTCGAATCACCACCAGAGAAATTGCTGAGGATGTCAACTTATCTCGTGGCTCATTCTGTGCAATTTTTTCAAAAATTTTGGGCATGAAGCGTGTAGCAGCAAAATTCGTTCCAAAATTGCTGAATTTTGACCGAAAGAACCGTCGCATGGGCATCGTTTACGAATTGTTGGCAAAGTATTTTCGATAGATTCATTTTTTGACAGAGGTTCCAGTACAAACTATCATGAAAATTTGATAAAGAGTAGAATTGGGACCTCTAGCGTAGAACAAATCCTGAAAAAGATTATTCCCAAACACCAGAAGTGCTACACTCATCTAGATGCCTGTTTTACCAAACACGGTGGTGTCTCCAGAAGATGGAATACCTTCCTGGATCAATATTTGAGTCAAACACGAATTATTCCAACACCATCATTGTCTTCAATGTTGAAACCTGAATTCATCCTTTTTCATCCTCACCTGAACCTCAGAACTACATCTTCAGTCTGCGTAACCTGTTCGGCATCCATCGTAACCGACATGTGCTGCGTCCCGTTGAAGCTCAGCGTGGGGGCTTCTTTACCGCACGTCGGGCCACTGAAGAGCGTGTTTGTACAGTCGCAGATGAACCTGTTCCAGCCTTCGGTGCAGGTTCCGCCGTTGAGGCACGGTTGGGATGGACACTGCTGTGGTTGGGTGTGACACAGGGTTCTGATGGAACCTGGAAAGATGAAAATATTTAGTGTGGCAACTGTCACGAGTGATATCAGGGAAAATTAAATATAATACGTCTTCGTTCTATGTCGGTGTATTGGGTAGGTGAATTAAACAATACCGGAACCGGAACAGGTTGATTTTATATTCAAGGAAGAAGTTATTCCATCATAATCTCAACTGTCATACCTGCTTCCACGCACCTTTGAGACCGCCACCATTAGAATTTGAATAAGGTTAGAGGTGAGTGTGACACACCATTGTAAAGGTGATTTTATAAGGAGTTCATCCATGTGACTGTTCACTACGTAACTTTTTATTTTGGCGCCCTCTTGCGGAACAAAACATTGTCATCAATATCTTCAGAAAGCTTCAAAATAATCTCCTATATGAAAATACGTCGATAGCTGCTATTTTTCCTACACAAATCGGCTATTTTAGATGTAGGTTAGGTTAGGTTATTTTGGCGCCCTCTTGCGGAAGGAAACATTGTCATCAATATCTTCAGAAAGCTTCAAAATAGTCTCCTATATGAAAATATGTCGATAGGTACTACTTTTGCTACACAAATCGGCTATTTTAGATGTAAGAAAACCACTGACCCTAAGCTGTCAGCTGTCAAATTGTGTTTATTTTGGGTTGTCAGCACTTTACTCAACAAATGGCGGCAAATTCAAATTACCCTGTTTGAAGGACTCGTTGAAACGTCAAATTATAAAATACAAGAAGTTTTTGCAGATGACATTTCATATGATTGGGATTACCTAAGACAAATTTTATTTTGATACTATAATTGATTTTTTAACCTATACAGTTTGTAAGTCCTCTTCGAATGAAGAATGAGATTGCGATGAGGAATGATATTCTCTTTTTCATTGAAAAGTCAATTCAAGAATACATTTCAAATTATCATCAACCGTACATTTTTCTCAAGATATTTCATGACTTCGAATGAATCCTTTCTAACCAAACCACCAGATTCTAAAACTCGAAAGAACCTTAATGGCTGAACATCAAGAAAGCACTTTATTTACAGCGGAAATTGGAAGAACAGAGGTTTGAATTAGGAGCGCTGATTGAAAAAGAATTCCCTGAATTCATTTTGGACGAGATGTTTTTTGAGATTGTCACTTAAAAAGATCCACTGTAGATGAGAAACGTAATTGGCTTATTCCAATTTCTGTTGAATGGCAGCAAGCCGGAGCTCCATTGTCTGAAAGCATCAACAGATTTGAAACCAGACAGTAAATAAATAATTACAAAGTAAATGAGGTTGCGCAAAAAATATCAAAAATTTTTAAATGTTAAAATGAAAGAAATTTTTTGTACTTTTCCTCTGAAACCCTCAAATTGAATGTGTGAGGCTTTTCTACATGATGAAAAGTATTAACTTTGTTTTTCTCATTGCCACGTCTGACTTTTTACTATAACCTCAAGTTAGTAAGTACATTTTTACCTATTTATTTTACAGTTTTGCTGCAATATTTTTAAATTTTTTGTAGATGTCTTGATAAATGGAATAAACATTCTCGAAAGCTCGACCATATAACAAAGAGTATTCTTTAAACAACAGCCCAGCACTTTGACTGCATCCCCAACAATATTCCGTATTTTTCCTTATATATATATATATATATATATATATATATATATATATATATATATATATATATATATATATATATATATATATATATATATTCTGATCATTCGCAAAATGATTTCAATTTAAGAGCCACCGGTAGATATCTATTTCAGCCTATCCTATTGGGCATCGTCAGTACCGGGCAGGCGGTCCTCGATTGAAGACAAAATGTGAAAAACCAAGAGAAGAACTTGATAGAAATAACTGCGTAAACGCAAGCGAGACATAAGTGGAACCATCTATTGGTGTGACACCCAAGTCAACTTGCCAAGTTCTTATGTCAAACTTGAGTAGAGCCTAGATGATGATAGCATGACCAGCTGTCGAAAGCGCTAGCATATAATTAAATAGAAGTTATAAAGCTTCAAATCCTTTTTGTGACTTACATTAATATTAAAATACTGAAAATAAAGGAACGTTTGTTGCATCATATACATATAAATAGTACAGTAAAACGGATTAACGGGGTCTCTCAGTAAAAAATCGAAAATCAAAACTCTGCTTTACTTTGCCAAGCTTTCGCTTCTAATGGGCTTCTTCAAAGAAAATACTTAATAAAAATAGCTGCGTAAACGCAAGCGAAACATAAGTGGAACCACCTATAAACAACCATTTTAGATGAAATTCACAAGCGAAAACACTGGCCAATGAATTTAGCCATCAGCTTAGTTACAGTTAGCTTCACATGTGTTTCAATCACCAAGTAATCATCTTCAAAAGGAAGAATAAACCCCTCAATCTTTTTCTTGAAGATGATTACTTGGTGATCGAAACACGTGTCGAAGTGACAAAATAACAGTTTGTTGTTGAGTAATATTCATTACTACACCAAAGGTTCCAAACAGTGCCTCACAAGTTATGAAATAACGTTCAAAATCACAAATTTTCAAAAAAGAACGTCCAAACTGAATACAAAAGCAAATTTTTCATAGCATCGAAATTCAATACTCAAATGTCAGAGTCAAATTTTGTGATGGCTAGTGTTGCTTCCAATACCTCGTGCCGGTTTAATTTGTGAACGGACCACCAGTGAAATAATCAAGCCTCGAATTTCTCTTCCGCTTTAAGCCTCCCTGCAAGCTTCTCCTGCATCATTTGAAGGATTTATCGGGTTATTTTCGAGACCGGAAGTGCAACCACCTGAGGCGAGCTGCCAGCCTACATTAGATCCCTTCAAATCCGAGCAACGAGCTTTTTCTTTCCCGCCAGCGGCCTTTAGTGGAGAACTTTATTACCGCGGTAAATCCGTTACTGTGAATTCTTCATGAAGATACATTAAACGTGATTAATGACGTTAAATTACGAACAACCAGATAGACGCTAATGGATCCCCTGCGCTTATCGAGCGACGTAAAAAATTGATTCAGCTGTAGGTTGGGGTAAACGTTCACCAGGCAATTGTAAACTGAAAATATTAGTCCGCAAACAGAGTTAGATATCACTCCATCTAACGGTGATCAATCAATTCAATAGGACTTTTCATAACAATTTTTTTGTGCCATGCGTCAGTATCAGCCATCTTGTACTTGGAACCAATTCTTCTTATCCTCTCCGATAATCCTCTGATGAAGGGAAGTGCAAGCACTGGTTGTGACGGCTTCTCTTCCTTGCGAGGCTCCTGCTGTCTTTTAGCCAAAGTCTTTTCTACCATCGCTTTGGAGTATCCATTCCGCTGAAGATCATTTTTGATGATGTCTAGTTCCTTCTCGAGACCTTCCTTTGTAT